TGTGCCCCCTTATATTTTATGTTCTTTATGCAATCTGGTAATCTCCTTTGGACTCCTGTACCTAGGAATTATACTCTCTTCTGCTTCACATCCTCCTGAACCTCTGAACCCTGACTCTGAGCCCCTGACCCGCAAGCCTCATACAACTCGCTTCAGTTGTACACCTGTTTCTAGATCTCGCCTCCGAACTCTTGCCTGTCCCTGTCGTGGTGTGCCTTGGGCTACCCGACCCTCAGACCTTGTCTGTTACAAGGACCCAGAGTCAAACACATAACCTTATACATTTAGTCATGTACCATACCAATTGCACTTCTATATATAATAGACTTGGAGACAGCCATACCACTATTCTCTAAATAACTTGAAATAGGACCATAGGATTTAACAAGTATACAAATACAGCCTACTACAAGAACTTGGAATACTATATCATTGCCTGTCGAGCAATCCAGAAAGTCAATATTGTAACTACAAAACTCCTAGTGGAATCGTCACAAAAGGAATCAAAAAATCAAAAAAATATCAAAGTAAAAGCAAAGTCAACAAATATCCCCGACGGTGGGCAATCGGGGAGAAAGGTTCTGAGTGATCTCCTTGTTACACGGAAACCAGAATTACTGGAACCGCTGGAGCAACACCAAGCAGATTTTATGCACTCTCCTCCAAAAACGCAATGTGTCGTCCTGATCCTCTGATAAGGTCACTCCGCTATGCTCACAACCCACCATCACGATTCCCCCCTCGCGCGCTGGGCAATTTCTCATTGCTGGCCTAAAACACGGCAAGCTTTGGAGAGGCGGTGAGAATTCACGTAAGTGAGAAGGACAATTTAAACACGAAACCCCTGCATGGGCAGAAACACTACAGTGAGCGGGGAATGACACCGGTAGTGAGAAATCGAGGACTCCTCCCCAAAGCTTCGAGTGAGGCCCTGCTAGTGTACGACACTGTAGGAAATTGATGTTCTATAACTCGCCCTAACCCACCATTTTAACGCCGGTTTCACCGGTCTTTCTGCCCCCTGTATAAGATTTTCCATCTGTTATTTCACTGCCAAACAAGGAGGCCCTCCTGCTTCGCAGTCCCTCCTCAACTGCACACCTGCCCCTAGCGTAGAGTATCACACATTTCCTTTCCGTTATAATTCACCCTCTCTTGTATCAGTGATGGATCTAATACCGGAGGTAGGAAACTCCCTACATTACACGTGACAACCTAAAGAAGACGAGAGGGAAAGAGGCTTATCCCCGATCATGCAGGTGAGTTTCCTTTCTTGAAATTGTGCCCTCTCCAAAGGTGTCTTGGCTGACATCAAATATCACTCGCTTAAACTTCCTGACCCTGGAAGAGCCCAACTTTACCTTCCCCCGTGGGAAAGTGATCTACTCGGCCAAGGAAAATCCCCTGGCCAAGGTGAAATTTTTCCCGGTGGGATAGAACAGATACATCAACCCCACGATTAGCGAAGTAGAGTAAAAAATCACCTCACTGCCCTTCCCTTCCCTCATCTCCTCCCCTCCCACGGCACCAAAAATACTGTGCCCACAAGGCCAACCAAGCAATTCTCCTGCTTGTGATGCCCCAGGTCCAACCCCACCATTGGCCTAACAGCATGAACCGAATTTTTTCCCTTAGGATACGACCAATGCGTAATGAGGGGCTACGATGCTCCATGGCTTTGAAAAATGGCATTCCAGGAAATTAATACTTCCCAGAGACCCCACCGCCAGAGCATCTAACTCCACAATTTTCAACGCACCACACCCACCACTATCAGCAGCACCGGCACCCAAGATTTCTATCATCCCTAGGCATTGAACGTCGTAGCACCTAAGGCGACATTATTGGCTTCAGGTCTGGGTGTATCATCCTAGAACCCCCAAGGAGCCTCAGAGACAAACCGAACGGGGGTAATGGCCATGGGAAACATTTCTCCAGACAATGGCGTTCTCAGTCTCGCACTCAATCATAAGGCAGATACTGGCCGGTATTGAGAATTGGTTCAATCCTCCTACCATCCCTAAATACCAGTCGGAGAGCCGGAGACTCACCCGCGGGGAGGTTTGTCTCGAGTGAGGGTCCCTCCCACCCTAACTTACCCGTCCGTACCCAGCGGGGAACCAATTGGGTGGGATGCGAACTACAGGAACACTAATTGCTGGCGAATATGTGTCTCAAACTGAACCGATCTCGTCCCTCGGTACCGAAGTCAGTATCCTGGCGGTCTCCAATCACTCCCACTGTGGTAACTATAGCTTTCTCTATATTTTCGCCAAAGTCGCCGAGATGGTTAGTGATGACGGGGTTCGAGAGGGAATTTGCGGGGGCGGCTAGGTACCTATCCCAGAGCTCAAGGACTCTAACCGGTGCTCTATTCACGAACGATGCGAATAGACATCTCAGAACAGTCGATGGGTCAGTTAACCAGATGTTCTAACAGATGTCATGAGGCGCTAACCTGATCACTTATTACCCTAAGACCTACTCCCTATACCCATATTCTTTAAACCCTAGCTGGCGCGCTAAGAATTCACGAACGTTTTGTAAACCCCCCCCCTCCCTTCGTCCTAAGCATCCTCGTGGCCTACAGCGGCGCAAAGTGCTCCCTAGTTTTCTAGACAGCAGTCTTCATAACCGAAAAAGTCGACCGTCGAAAATTGATAATATCCGGTGGCCCAGGCCAACCCGTCTCCATGACAATGCTTGAAAACCCCACTAGCAGCCTTGGCACAGCCCGTGGCACCAACTCCGCGATACCCCCCTCACACCCAGCACCTCCTTCGTCACAGGGGGGCTGTGCATGGCTATACCAAGTAGAGATCATCCAGCTATCAGCCAGAGGCACCGCAAAAGCGAGATCCACGTCTGCGGATCTGATGCCCAGCTGGTTGGCTGCCACACATTACCTCTGTTGCCGTGGATGCACCCATTGTGATTGTCGGACACTCCTTCTATCCGGGGACGGCGCCTAGATGCTTGGGGGAGCAGGCCGGGCCCACACAGGGGGGGACTTAGTACACTTATAATAAGAAGAATGGAGAACTATTGGCCACGGAGTAGCGAGGCCAGCCCAGAAATCGAGGGCAGGGGAATGGGGACCCTAGTCATCAGGAATAGTTAGGACTCCATTGCCCAACGAATGATCATCCATGAAGTAGGAAACGTTTACCCCTAATACCCCCCCACGCATATATGTTCGGCCCCATCGATCCCCAGAGCACCCTATGTGCATATCTTCAGAACCAAAACCAAATATTTATGACATTATAAAGCCTTCATCATATCATACCGGTCCTCATACGAATGAGACTACATTGCTCCTTCACCCACGTACCCAAGCCACGTACCACTGCACTTGGAAGAATTCTTTCTAGATGCAAATAGCTTTATAGTATAGTTGATAACCATCCCCACTTACCCCTGATACCCTGAAGTCTTGATTTTTTCCATCTCCATAATCACGAACAAGCTTATAATTCAACTCAGTCTTTTCCTGTATTATCTCATGTCGGTTTAAATTAAAAACACAGTCACATTAGGTGTGCTTTCAATAATATCTCTTTCCAGTTACAATGCTCGCACCACATGTGGCTCGCACATGGGCAATCACTTGTCATGTCATACCATATCAGTTTCTCCAGAGCGTGCTCCATGCGACCACTCTCTGTTCTCTGGCAGACAATACCTCTAACCCACCGACCGGAACACCACCCCCGATGAATCCTATTACCACTGCTATTATACTTCATTTGCTTTCAATAGCCGGGACATACCGGTTCTTTTCCCGCATTCCCCCCCCCCCCCCCGATCTTGATATTGCTCCTCATCCCATTATACCTATCCTCCAGTACAGACACGGCCTTTAACAACCTCTACCGATTGCCTTTATCCCGACTTACCAAAAGAACTTCCACCACAATTCCAAGAGCCTTTTATCGATCTCGCAAAGATTGTATATTGTAGGACCTCCAGCCCCCCTTCCAAAGAGCGCTGTCCTTCTTCTCTGGCGAATGCCCAGCACTTAGTGTGTCTCGACCCAGACCCATAGCATTTAGCACGTGTATCAACCCCAGTATACCACATCAGCTAAGCCGGTGCCTCCCCATCAGCCGACCTCCTGCAGGACAAGCTCTGGGGATGTTTGGCACATCAGGGTTTGTAAGGTACACCAAACTGCAGTATAATGCCGAAAAATTCCACGTTACAAACCATGTGCAGCCAAACACACCCTACCTTATAAACCGTGGTTAGTAAGGTAATACCTTATGAGCAGTGGTTTACAGGGTATTACCTTACAAATCTTGACGTGCCAAACACCCTCTAAGATGCTAAAACCGTCCCACTAACACAAAACAGCTCCGGGCTTCACACATCAGACGACTGTAGTCCTACTTTTTTTTGGAAGCCCAGGTCGCTGTGGGGTGGATCGCTACTGTCAGGAGCCATACTAATTCCTGCGCCAAAATAATACATCTTAGGCTCATTGACGATCATCAAACATCACCCAGTGATACCTCGAAGAAAAGAAAAAGCAGCTATATTGCAAGATATCATAACAAAACACTAAACGAAAAACAACATTTCCTTTAACAATGAGCTACATTAGCAGACATCAGTGCAAATGAGGAGACCGCCAATACCAATCCAGAAACGGGTAATTTTTACTACCGGTACACCAAAAACCCGCTAAAAACGTGCCATAAATAGCAAAAAGTCAAAACGCCGATACCAAACCCACAAAACAGCCAGAAGCCTGTCTCCGTCCGGGAAAAAAGGTCAAGGGACCCTACTCCTTTGGAGCCTTTTGACCCCACCAGCTCCCGAACTCGACACATTCGCCACCTTGCAGGCCACCGTGCTGGAAGAAGTTTACCATCATGTCCTTGTACCACCTGTCCCAGTCGTCCATTGCAATACTGTTTGTCTCACGAAGGATCGGCTCGAGTGACTCTATTAGCTGGGCGAATGTCAGCCGTGCAAGCTCACGGACAGCCTTCTCCTCCCCCGATAGCGGTGACTTAAGCGACTGAGATTGGTTCGAGCCGACCGACGTGGATGACCGCCGGTGTACCGATAGACTATTCTTGCGGTTCTTGCTATCGACCGTGCTGGTCGACTCCATGCTCGTTCGCTTCCGTCGAGGATCCTCGAAGTTTGTGGGGCTCTCCCACCATATCTCATCGAGCGGTAGGGCCATACGTTTTGCCTGTACGCCGGTCAGGCCCTCCTCCATCAGCAGCTGGGGACCCGCAAGGGTGCACGGGACCGGTGAGAGTTGGTATTTTGTTAACGCCCTCGTAATCCTTTCGTTCCAGGCCGTTACGAAGGGATTTTCGGCAGACAAGGAAAATTGGGTGGCGGAAGCGATTGTATAGGCACTCGAGCCTGGGGTGAAGGGGGCGGCTGTACGTTGGAGGGAGCGGATCGAGTAGTCGGCTGAAGTTTCGCGAGCATCAGTGACTGACCATGATAAAAAAGGCTATGATGCACGCATGCACGCACGCACCGGGATATCACTCACAGCATTGCAATTCAAGGGTTCCGCCCGGCTTTAACACCCGTACGCAATCCGCTATTTGAGACCCGTAGACATCACTAACAGGCGTCACCATGGAAACCTCCCGGCAGATAACATAGTCAAATTCACCATCGGGGAATGGCAGCGGTAGATTCTGGAAATTGTGTTGGACAAAGGTGAAGTTCACGCCATGCATGTCGGGGTAGACGGGGACTATGTCCAAGCCGACGAATTGCACATCCGGTCTCCCCCGGGATGCGAAGCTATCGGCAACGCTAGCACTCCAAATAGCCGTCCCGCAGCCAACCTCCAGCACCTTGTTTGGAATACCATCATCGGGGAACTCGGCACAATGGTATCCGCCGTACACCTCGCGCTGCACCTCGTGGAAAAGTGACTGTCGGCTCAGCTCCTGCACATCGCAGGGGAGAAAATAGTGTATTGCTTCGTCGCCATGGTAACGCCGGCCACCTCGGCAGGTGAAGGTTGATGGAGGCTTCGGCAGGGATTGAACACTTGCTTTTCGCGCGTTTGGCTCGCGAGAGGACGTTGATGCCTCGTATGAGTGAGGGTGTGGAACCATGAATGCTATAGGTGGAACATACAAATCCACAAACTTGTCTCTCAAACCCCCAAGCTTTTTTTCTCTCTCTCTCTCTCGCTCTAGACTATTCAAACCAAAAAAAAAAAAAACCCGGTGGGGGACCGACGCTTATAAACTGCTGTGAATCAACACCCCTCACCAAACCGGGAAACAGATTGATGGGATATCTCCGGCTTGCAGGAGGTCCTTGCTTTTGTGATTTTGCTTTTTGGGGACAGGGGTTTTGTGGTAGGGAATCCGATCGAAGTGAAGGTCTGTGCTTTTCTGGATTGCCAATCCCTAAGTACCGTAGAGAGAGAAGTCTGGTGAATTTGTTTGGTCTCGCGACGGTACTGGTGCCGGTTTTAATACGGGGGGATAGTGGGAAGTGGACTGGAGGGGCAAGAGGGGTTTAGTTGAAATTGGTTCATCAGGTGCACCGGTATCACGGTACCGAAAAGAGGATCGCGGAGGAGAATGGTTATACCGGTAGTGAACAGCTCGCTATCCCGCTTGGGCTGAAGCCTTTTGATACCAAAGCAGCTATTGCATAGTGGAATCTCCCCGCCGTGCAATAGACTAACTGTGCAAACCTCCTTCAAAGACGAGATCGGGATTTGGAATCTCCAGATGGCCGATCACGGTAGACGGGAAGCGGTCAGAGGAGTCATGGAAGGGAGTATGAATGGCATGAAGGGGTTTAAAACGGGTTTGAAAGAAAAGGAGCGACGGTGCCCTTTTAAAAAAGAGCCCGCAAGATTCTTTTGCCGGAGGTAAACTGTAGCGTTAATCCGGGGGTGAGGATCAATCATTGTTCATGCAGCCGCATGCTCCTGTGTTATGTACATGTACTGTACGGAGCCCACTGCAGCTGCCTCTACAGTATCGTAAATTCTGGCATTTTCCATTTCTTCATCCTCTATCCATTTGCCTTCCTCCGGTGTCCATCACACCGGTACCCCTACGGCCTCACAGCGTCCGAGATGTGACAGCTTCTGGACGCACACAGCTTCTCTGAGGTTCTGTTGTTCCCCCGTTCCGCTAAATCCTCGTAGCGATGAAACACAACCCTCGCCCACAACACCAGACACCAAGCATATTCCCCGCTGAAACCTCTCTTGGTACTGTGCCGTGCAGGAGGGAGTTTACCTGATAGAGAAACCTCAGCACGAGTCCATGTGCCCCTACCGGTACTTGGAACGGAAGGAAAAATCATGACACGAGTGCCTCCGGACGGCATTGGTTTAAAGGATAAAGTATGATATGCGCAAAGCCGCGGGGGCGGATTGTCTAAAATGTTCAATGCCCAGAATCATGGTTGACGGTGCGGGGGAAAGCGGAGGGTGGGAAAAGAGGAGAGAGGAACGAAGGGCATGGCCCATGGTCAGCATGGCGGGGCAACCGCCCCTTCCAAAAGCCTGGACTTTAATATCCGACGACCTGGGAGTCCAATTAGAAGCTCCATACCAGATCACCGGTGTCGCGCATTGTCGAAATGTTCCCCACTGCGCTCCACGGACCATTTGAGCACAGTACCTTTATGGCTCTTTCCGTGCGCTATTATTTACATCTGCAAATAAGGGCTTACTATGATCCAACCTACAGGGCAAATCCATACACACGCATCATACATACATTCATGCTCTCCCACCGGCCCAATGCATGACCATTTTTCAAACCAAAGGAGTGATGTCCGGCCTACTCATGAGATCCAAGGAAACCCGCGCCCCCCGTCCAGGCCCCCTTCTCATACCATACCTGTACGAGTACTGTACTGTACAGTACTGTAGACTACTACGGTACTTTGGGTGTTCATGTACCAGTACGTACTCGAGTACATATGTGCTCAAGTGGCTAGGGAGTTTCGCTGTCGCCGTTCGAGTGAGATAGACTAACGGCCGGGGCCATGTTCGAGAGGCGGTGGGTATAATAATCTTGGCAACGCATCCCCTCAATGGTTGTAGCTTGTTCGAGTATCGTACCCTATCGGCGGCTGGCTTCTCCACCTGCCCACCAATGGATGGTGAACCATGATAACTGCAGTGCGGACATCCTTCGGGATGGCTTAGCTTATTACGGCGCCCGCGCTCGTGCTGTGCTTTTTTGGAGATACCCCTCACATCTGCGGCATCCTATCTCATCCCAACCCATCGCTTCTCCCACTCTTTGACTCTTACACTGCGTGATTTGCACCTATTACTCGATTCCTGCGAGTACTCGAGCACAGGTGCTCGCAAAGTGTGGAAAGATCCACGTGTTCTTCCGCTGTGGATGTGAGACTTGGATACGCCTGTAACCCGATGTTGGTGGCAAGGTGGGGGAGGAAGGTTGGGAGGGATTCTGAAAGGATTCCACCCAAGGTTCCCTATCATCTACAATTCAGTGATCCGATTCGCAGACACCGCTGAGCTCGATCAATCGTGGTTTAAAGGAAAGAGGCCAACACCTCCTATCAACCTTCAGCGTCTCGAGAATCCCCTGTCTACACGAGTGAGATTGGGTGAAGTACTGGAGGGGAGGTGGTGGCTCTAACCGTGTCCCTGAGCTTTGGGGAGTTGCTGGGCCTTTCTAAGACTTCACTGCAACGCCATATGTTCATAGACCGTGTCTGCGCTTGTCATTCCCGTCGATTTTCATGGCCGGGGATGCGTGACCTTTGGTAACCCTCTTGCTTACTTAGGCACCATGTAGCGTGTTCGAGTATGAGACGATACCATACCCATCTCTTGTCCGAACCTTAACTTATGACCTGTTGCTCTGGTGGTGATCCTAAATTCCCCTTTGCGAGATCCTTGAAGTTATGGTGCCAGTACCGTAAATTAGACCAGGGAATTGTATGTGTACTCGAGGCATCGCAATTTTGCGTGTGGGTATTGAACTTACCATGTTTCTGCGATTGTTAAGCTTCGAAGCATTCTTCTCATTACTCGTAGTTGACTGCGCCCCGCCAATCAATAAAAAAGATATGATACATACAAGGGTCAGTCCCACCCACCCCCCACAACCTTTTTCGGCACTATTATATCCCTAAGAGGCATGGATCCCGTATATTTTTTTCGCCTAAGTTAAATTCCAACTCCCCCTTTTCTTTTCTCTACAAGATCATCATCGTCCACCAGTCCATCCTGAAGTACCGTACTGTACTGTACTCGTACTCATACATTGTAACCCCCGTATACCTCCTTATTTCCTCGACTCCCCAATCCCGACTTTTTTTTTTTCCGAGAAAAAAAAAAAAGTCGAACTCCCCTTCTCTCCTGTTTCCTGATCCCCATTTTATGCAAACCGAACACACACAGGCTTCTCAAGGTACAACGCCGTCCACGGAACCCCTTCCTACCCCACGAGCCTCTACCGGTCAACATGGCATACACAGCCTCTCAACAACCCCTCACCCTCTTAGCGATCTCTCTCTGGGAGCTGGTGCGGGTAGCGCCCGTGGAATTGGCGATGAACAGGGGAGTGACGATGGGGCAGAAGATGCTGGGATGAATTACGATTCCGGCGGCTGGGGGGGTACGACACTCCCTAAGGTTGATGGGAATATAATCTCTCCCTCAAAGCAGAAAAAAGACATAATTAGCCAGTATGAAGCCAGGGGTGCCTCGCCTCCTCATTGCGGTACCGGATTTCAGGTTAAAAAGACCAATTGGCAAGGCAGGCTTGATAGTCCGATATCCAGATTTCCGAACGGTTATTCCTTCACCTCTGTTCTCTGCCCCAAATTATTTGGACTAACCCTGGATCTATCTACAGAGGTTCTTGTCCACTCCTTATCATTCCTCGACCCGCAAACATTACTTACAGCGTCTCTCATCTCTCGCCGCTTTCGTTCCCTCATTTCGTCTCCCGACGCATGGCGATCCGCGTTTTCTCGTTATTTCCCATCTACATCACTTAGCCAGGCTTCCTCGGATATCCATGAATCTGCCGCTTCTTCCTCATCTCAGGATCGTCGTTTCTTCACTCGATTGTCGGCTGGAGGGAGCGTTGGTGATCTATGGAGAAAGGAGTATATTCTTCGTACTAGGCTTTTAAGGGGCCTTGCGAAAGGGAGAGCCCATACATTTACAAGTCGTTCGAGCCCCGCGAGCAAAGGCTCGCAAGGAAACGTCATTATCACTTACAATGCGTTGACTGGCCCAATGAGTGTGAGCCATATCGCGGCAGATTTCTCTTCAGGGGGTGTGAGGTTGTTGCATGCCTCAGCTGATACTATAGCCATCGCTGCAAGTGATGCCACCATCGGTAGGAGACACTCGCGGTATTGGATACTTGCCGGCGGGGTGCTAACTTGGGTATAGGAAAGGTTGAGAGACCTCCGTTAGCTGCCGCGATGCTTGGAACACCGGCTAGGCCCGATTTGCATCAGCCTATTCTGGGAGTTGCAGGCTTTGAAGTCGCTACAGATATGGGTGTCTCGGGGGTTATGGATCTTTCTGAAAATATTGGTTGGGTATATGGCGAGAACGTGCCGAATGGAAAGTGTTACGTGCACCCGTACCCGTCTCCCTATCGGTGTGCCTCCGAGAAGGGGTTCTTCCTCCGACATGACCCAGTGGCATCCGGCTGTCTCCAGCCTGCCATAACTGCGGTATGGATTGCGAAGAAACGGTCTGGCGGTGTCATTGAAACGTCCAAGGGCCGGGTCGGAGTCATGATCGGTAACAGCAGGGGCTTCGTCTCAATATACGGGCTAAGTTTTGGCAAGGAGTGCCAAGTTCCCCTTACCAACATGTTCTGCATATGTCCAGGTATACCAATCGTATCAATCAAGGTGGACGAAGACTATTCATCCAAGAGAAAGAGACAGAACAATGCCTGGGCGGCTGTTGTCAACGCGCTAGGCGAGGTTTATCATCTTGCAAATCCCAAGGTTGCTTGGCAAATTATTCCGCAAACCACCCGCATACCGACCGCGGTCCACGGCTCAATTTTTCGGACACCCCCAAACACTGTAGCCGGTGAGGATATGGGGAAAAAGCAAATTGAGGAAAAGGATTTGCTGCTTAATACCGAGTACACCCGATTGAAACAGCTCTGGGAGGGCTGGGGAATGGATTGGTTTATTGAGGTGGATTGGCCTGGTACCAATATTGTGCTTGGAAGGAAAGGAAGCGTCAATCAGCTATCCACGGGTAATGAGCAAACCCCGAAACTCATTAGATATCATTTTTCGCCCCACACACTCGATGTCGAGGCCGAAGAGCTCGTACGCGAGGTGATAGCTGGCGCCTCGGAAGGGACCGGTGCCGGGATATCCTCGAGATCTGTATTTGATGGAGAGCCACGGTCCCAGCCCTCCGAGAGAGCAGAAGCGATTGAAGTTTTGATGCAGCCGCCCCAGTTCTGCAAGCGTCCGACAAAGTGGCTTGCTGCGGATTTTCTGTTTGGAAATCAGAATGTTGGCGCGATTACCGCTTCAGCGATTGATATTTCCAACCTCACCTTGCTTTCTCCCAGTGAAGATCCTGGAATAACCGTAGATGTGCCCGGTGGAAATGCAAGGCTATTTGCAGTTGGCACCAGCATGGGAGATGTTTTCATTTGGAATATTCGGCACCAAGCATCCTCCATTGATGGTGGCGGCGTGCCGTCCAATGGTTTCTTGCCACAAAGAGTGATCCGGACTGATTCACCTCGGATTTCAACATTGGCTCTCTCATCACTTTATCTCGTCCATGGAGGAAACGATGGGCTCGTTCAAGCTTGGGATCTTCTGGCTTCCACTTATTCACCTTTGAGGAGCATTTATTCTAGGTTTTCGACCCGCGCGCGCCGGAGATTAGCACAAGCGGATGCAGCAGCTTTGGGCCCGGGTAATGATGCCCTTGGGGATAACCAGTTTGCAGCTCGATGCTTGGTTCTTGACCCCGATCCCACTCGCCTTCGCGGGGCGGTTGCCTTGGGCACGCGCATTAGATATTGGTGCTTCTCTTCCCCCTCTTTAGGGCCAAACACCCCGAAGCGGTCAAAGAAGCCAAGAGTCGGCGGTGGAGTCAGTGGTACACCATCTAGCGATAGAGGAGAAATTAAGGGCATCATCATATCAGATTCTGGGGATCTTCTTAAGGAACGTGAGCGCGAGAATAAAGCAAGAATTGAGCTGGAGAAGCGCTATGGAGTAACCAGTGGGCGGGCAGCGCTCAGCGAAGAAGAAATGGTGGAATATGCTAGGATGATTAGTATGGAAACCTATGAAACCGAGGGCGGTGGCAGCATCGAGAGTGGGGATAGCAGCAACATCATTACGCCTAAAGACTCGAACCGTGCAATAAATAGCCATAGGACCACGGAGTCCAATGGTACTGAGGAGGAGGTTGAAGACTTAGAGTTAGCTCAAGCGTTAAGGCTGAGTTTAGGGAAAGCATGGATGGAAACTCCAGCTGTACCTGGTGATACGCTGGATTCAGAGATTTGGGAAGACGCCTCCGAATATCCAGATCGCCAAGTGTCTTTGAACCCCGTCGCTGCCGGCCCAAGTCATCAAAAACGATCTACCTCGAATTATGCCAATTCAAAAAGGAGCGCTGATGCCGACATGGAATGGCCGAGTGTTAGCAGGGCTGCAGGAAAGGGTAAAGATAAGGCGCAACACCACATCCCAAGGACCGAGGAGGAAGAACTCGAAATGGCGATCCAGCTGAGCATGGAGGAAGAGGAACGCAGGATGTTCCTAAGCGCATTGGGGAGTGATGAGCAGAGTGAAGTGATAGGGAAAGGGAAAGGGAGATGGAAGGGGTGGTAAAGCAGTAGCAGTGGAAGGTCTCGTTTGTTTCAATGTTTATGGTGATTGAGGGGTTTTCAGCAGTTGCCGTAGTGCTAGTGTGGGCACCTTTCTTTGAGCTGCGGTATTTTTATTACTTTTATTTCCTTGTCTCACATAATCTAAGCGCGTAATACGATTGGTTTTTCTCAGCCGGGTACCAGAATGCACTAGTGATTAGTTGGAGTTTCTTGTGTTTGAAGTGCCTAGTATCCGTTTAATTGTTGTGTGGAAATTATCATCCCTAGGTATAGGAGATTATCCGCCCACATGCCATCTAGAGATCATAGCTAGTCACGGATAATCACTCGTGCCCTCGACTTCGAGAAGGCTCTTGTGAGGTCTGTGTTTCTTCCTTGCCCAGCCCACCACGCCTAACAAGGGACGTTTCTGTATAAAACCCCTACTCGAGTACTGACCTTCCCCCCCCCCCCGGCCCAATCATCTATCAGATTCAGCTATACCTCCCCCCCTCCACTATCAATGGCAGGCTTTTTTTTTGCGAACCAAAGCGTGGCATAACACCCACATTGGTGCGACAGAAGTACATCGGAAAGAGATTTCGATTCATCTACCCAGCAGAAGGGTGGTTCCAAATTATCAGCCCGTCATGTATCGTTATTGCGAGTCGATCCTCTAGTCGGTCTTGAGGTTTGCCGGCTACGCGTATTATAGGAAAGGGGGGGGGGGGTCATTGGATTTGGTATTTTTATTTTTTTTGGTGCCCGGGCCTGTTTCGTATGACGTAATTTATGATACTGGAGAGCATAATTCAGGGTCTCCAATGAGATTTGGCAATAATTGGGCGCGAGGTGTCGCCATAAGTTGATATGGGTGGATAGATCATGGATAGATTATCATATAAATGAGAAGTAGTGATCCTGTCTTGGCGAAGCTTTTCATTGTACTGCACCAAAGGTGCTAAATTTATACCTAACTCCCTCCATCCCACTGTTCCACCGTTTGACCCGTCCGCAACATCCGCAGCGTCCACAAATCCACACGTTCCTATCATCGCACCACCTACAATATCTCCTCCACCACCCAGGCGGCTCGACTCAGCGCAGGCCGGAGAAGCGGTACAATGCCAACCCTAACAGCAACATACGCATCCCCCCTCACCCCAACCGCCCCCCACACAATCACCAAGCCGCTCCCGGAAACACTCGATAAGTCTGCCGCGCTGGCGGAACTCCGCTGCGTGGTGGTGGGATTGCAAAATGAGGTGAATGCATATCTTACCGCGAGGATGGAGGAGGAAAAGGGTGGGGGTACGGCTGAGCAGGAGCAGAAGTATGGTGAGGAGGAGGAGGAGGAGGGAGGTGAAGAGGAGGAGGAGAGAGATAACGCCAAGGGCGGGACGGTAGTGAAATAGTTGTGGAGCAGAGAGTTATAGTTGGGTGTGCTTAAGGAACGAAAGTCTATTATGGATGGGTATGATTTCTATGATATACACGCTATTCGGTTACATGTTGGCGGTAGTTACGGATATGAAGGGTGGATGCTCATCGCCTTTTCCCTAGCCTTTCGTGCCAGTTTTTCTTTGCGGGGGCCGTGTTTTTGGCAGGCGCTGGTAATGATGATAATGATGCTGTAGATGACCCGGCGGTGACTCTGGGGTCTGCGTCTCCGAATAGTGCGTGCCAACCCTACGGGAAGTTTTAGATCATTGGTGATTGGGAGGGGGACGGCGGCAAGGGGGGAGCGCGGCACATACCTGGATTGTATCCAATCTACATTTGCTTATGCATTCCTCTGGCACAGCGGCTTTCCATTTAGCCATGAAGGCGGACCTTGTAATCAAAGTTGCCGTATTCGGTCGACGTGCCACAATTTCCCGAGTCTTGATCTCCATACAGTCTTGCAATAGTGCCTCTCCAACGAACACGCAGCATTTGTCCTTGTTTAATCGCCAAGTGTTTTCGTCCGTGCTTCCCTCCACCCGATCGCATATACTCCCGATCACCACCGTGACGAGTCCAGCGGGTATCTCTACATCATCCAGCATCCCGAGGATAGCAGAACCCGTAAATGCCGAAGGTGAAGAGAGCGGAAATGATTCTGCGGTAGCCGAAGTATTGATTTCAGAGATCGTTCTCAGGATTGCTGTTGCTGAAGGGCGACAAGCCGCACCATTATTCGCCTCAAACGCGAGAAGCTCATCCCAAGCGGCGGAAAACTCTGCATCGCTGATGGGTATGGAGTCGAGTAGTCGAGCTCTAGATATTGGCTCATCCGTTGTCGGAAGCGCCGGATCGTCGTCTGCCCATCCATGGTATACTGGTATCTTTTCCCGTAAAAGGCTTGCGCAGTCTGCTGTCACGGGAATTAACTCCAACCAGGAACTAGCAGTAGCAACTGCTCTCAAACATGTGGACGTAAGAGAGAAGGTCTGCTGTTGCTCATCTTCAACTGGATCTGGAGGCGGGGGCTCCGAAGGCTGGACGAGGAGGATTGAATTCGAGCAATGAACGTGTCGGAGGGAAAAGGTCTGCGTTGGAGTACAGAGTACTGCGTGGTTTTCCGACCCACGGGGGGCGGTAGCATTTGCGGGTGTTGGAGCTGCTTTTATTTTGATTCTTGGGGCGAGTGTCAGTCTTGGAATGGAGTAGAGAGGGTGTGGAGAGGGGCGCACATCGGTGGTGAAGGAGAGGTAACGAGCGATAGGAGAGTTGGTGGGAGCTCTATTAGATGGATGGGAGATTGTGAGTGGGAGTATGAGAAGGGAATCCCAGTGTTTGCTTGTGTAGACATTGTAGTAGCAATTATACTGTTATGCGAGGGTTTGGGGAATCTGGGCGAGTTTTTGGCGGTGGTTGTGCAGAACTTGGAGTATGATACCATTATTGGGAAGACGCGACTCTTGACGCGAATTTAACGCGGGGGAGCATGCCCGTGAGTTACAGACTCTCTCTTGCCAGGTACAGTATCATGAATTGGGGAATACTCTACCGTATCATGCCTCTGGCTTTCCAGCAGCGATTTGAGCAAGAGGAATAGTGGCAAGTGGTTCGTGTTTATATATATATATATATATTTTTAAGATTTATGCTTTTGGGTAGGGGAGAATTCTGTTCTGTGTTTCCCTCTTTTTTGTCGTCTCTCTCAAGTTCGCGGAGAACATTTTTGCCCCTTTATGTGGCGCGCACTCGCACCGCCACATTGTCCGGCGGCCAAGAAATCGCTAACCACAGCTTTAGTAAATTATGTATCATGCGTTTCCGTCCAAACCACAACTGCAGCATAATCTCCCCCAGACCACATCACGCTCCTTCGCCATGACATCTCTCGCCGCAGGTCTGTCAAACGTGCTCCCAGCTCCTAAATACTCTGCCGAAGATGATGTTACGGCTAGCCGAAAGCCTACTGCACGAGTGCTCGGGGGCGGCGACCCCGACCAGCAGGGCTTAATTCTTAAGGTGAACTTTCGCTCTACAATGCTCCTTCCTTTCTCAACTGGGGAGACTAATGTTGGTACTTCTAGAAAACTGGTCCACCCCCATACGGCCGGCGATCGACATGGCGACCTCGATCCGCGGATGACTTCGGTGATGGAGGCGCCTTTCCTGAGGTTCCTATGGCACAATACCCGCTCGACATGGGCCGCAAAGGATCGGGAACCAGTAAAGCTCTCACGCTCCAGGTCGACAATGAAGGAAAAGTGAAGTACGATGCAATTGCCCGACAAGGCCATAATGATAAACGGATTGTACACGCGTCATTCAAAGATCTCATCCCCCTCCGTCAGCGCGCAGACGTGGGCGAGATTTCGTTGGAAAGGCCTTCGGAAGAGGATGTAGCAGCCACAACGGAGAAGACAAGGCAGGCGTTAGCAAAGTTGGTTTCGGGTGCCGTGGCTGCTCAGAAGCCGAAGAATGTCAAGGGTACGAACAGAAAGGAGGCTCAGTACGTCCGCTATACACCATCGAATCAACTGGGCGACACGACCAAGCGCAGCGACAAGATCATTAAGATTGTGGAACGACAGCAGGACCCTATGGAACCACCAAAATTCAAGCACAAGAAAATCCCCCGAGGACCTCCGTCTCCACCCCCGCCGGTCATGCACTCCCCTCCGCGGAAATTGACGGCAGCAGACCAGGAAGCGTGGACTATTCCACCCCCAGTCTCGAACTGGAAGAACCCAAAGGGATACACGGTCCCGCTTGATAAACGTCTAGCGGCCGACGGCCGCGGACTCCAAGATGTCACCATTAACGACAAATTTGCGCAATTCGCCGAAGCACTCTTCACCGCTGACCGACACGCAAGAGAAGAGATCAAACAGCGGGCGTTAATGCAGCAAAAATTAGCCGAGAAGGAGAAATCGCAGAAAGAAGAGCACCTCCGGATGTTGGCACAAAAGGCCAGAGAAGCCGCTCACGCCGGTCCCCGGGGCCGCTCCCGCTCAAGATCGTCGGACCGCTCGCGAGACTCCAGATCCCGCTCACGATCCCGCAGTTCGTCTGAAGACTCTAGGTCAGACGATGAAGCGGTGCGTGAGCGCGAGAGGATGCGTCGCGAGCGTCGGCAGGAAGAGGAACGTCAGCAGCGGATGAAGAATATGGGTTCTGAGCGGAAGATGCAGATGCTAGCTAGGGAGCAGGGGCGTGATATTGGTGAAAAGATAGCGCTAGGCCTCGCAAAGCCGACACAGAGTCAAGAAACGATGTGGGATTCAAGATTGTTCAATCAGTCATCCGCCTTTGGCGCGGGATCTGGCTTCAACGAGGACCAGCCCTACGATAAACCGCTCTTTGCAGCGCAAGAAGCAGCGAATAGCATCTACAGGCCGAAAGTTAGTGTCGACGAAGATGACGAGGATACCGCCAGTAGTGAGATGGACAGAATAAAGAGGAGTTCGCGATTTGAAGTTCTTGGGAAAGCGCAGCAGGGATTCAAGGGCGCTGCTGACGCTGAGGTTAGCCCTCCGAACCCCGCTGCTAAGTTACTTTTTTTTTTTTTTTACTAACGAACAATGAACAGGCCCGCGATGGCCCCGTCCAGTTCGAAAAGGACACAGCGGACCCATTCGGCGTTGAAGCGTTTGTTAAGGCCGCAGGCGAGAAAGCTGGTGCGAAGCACGGATTACAAGAGCGGGATTCGTCGCCTGGGGGAAGTAAACGGCCAAGGGCAAGTTATATGTGATTTTTTTTCTCTTTTTCTCCTTCCCTCCCCCCCCCCCCCCCAACCCTACGCCAATCAATGCCAATTTGATTGGGGAGACCACTCATTTATGGAAGCAAGAGACGGATGAAGGACGAGTTGTTTGGAAGCATGTATACTATCATGGTTTTGCTTTTCTTTTCTTTCTCTTTTTTTCCTGATATACTCTCGCCCGTGTTTGGATTCCTTTCCGATGAGTGGGGGGGAATTATATTCTAATTCAATTTCTATTACGGCATTTTATTTTTAAAAAAGTTTTCGAGGTCTGGATGTGAGTTTTCCATTGTGTGAGTGAGCTTTCGTGATTATGACCGCCGGTGACTTGGAATATATTTGTTCGCCGGCAGGGAATGGGCCAACACTTGAACTCTATGTATGATACTGCTTTATACGCATGGGTCGCTCCTCACTTTCTATAAACAAGTGCCACGCTTTCGCGGACCCATGCCGGTCGGTACCTGTGCCCCCCCGTTACTTCATTATCCCTCCCCGGAAAGCACGTATCATACTCTATCCCACGATATGATGCCCTACGGTTGCGTTAACACTCACCATTGCTGCGGAGGCGCAAGGCCCCCACGATATAACTTATAGTATGGCCTTTCCCCTCCCCTCCCCTCCCCTCCAAGTCGTTGGCTCGCAGTTTGCGCCGCACCATACATACCGGGAAGAAGTATCACTGTACCATATGTAATTGTTAGGGATATAGATTATATAAATTTATCTCGTCCGGAATCCATCACAAGGGCGGGGTATCGTACTTGTACTGCGGAAACGCGATCGGAAAGCGGGATATGTATATACGAATCTGACATGCGACTTGAGTGTTGGTTGGGTTGACTTGGGCGTAGTATCAGATCTGAACCTACATTGATAAACTGACATGGAAGACTGCTGTATGATAAGAAGTTCTTGCCGTGAGTCATTGTTGTCATGAGAGATCACTCGTGTTTTCTGTGAATTGATATGACTGCGCACGAGAAAAAGAAGCTTGATTTTCTCGCCACCTGCGCGGCCGTGGGCTTTTATGCTAACTAACTATCAAGTGAAAGAAAGAAAAGAAATAACAAAAGCCCAAGGTCGGTAACATGAGGACCTCGGAGGAAAGAATTTGAAAGAAACCTCGGTGAGGAAGAAAAACATATGAGAACCTTGGAATAACCATAGTTGAATATGGCATGGTTGTGCAGTTGTGAAACGAGTAGGGAAGGAATGAAGAAAAACTCAAACAGTAACTAACGTTGAAGGGAGTGGTGAGGAAAGTACTAGGAGAAACTAACTAAAAAGGAAGCTAGTCTGTCTGACGGATAAGCACTAAACTCAACATTTTCCGTGATCTTAAAGGGTTGAAGGTTGATCTCGAGCTTCGAGAAGATGGGTGGCATAATAATTTACTTTGTAATAAGTTACAAATACTTGTTTTTCTTTTCTTCTCTTTTCGTTTTTTTCCCCTTGTTCTCGCTAGGTTTGATATAGCTCGGAATGATCAAGAAGGGTACAAGTACTCGAGTATTAATTCTTCCGCGACGCTTTCCGGGAATAGGTTTTCCTTTTAAATCATATCCATCGTGGTACGGTAGTCTAATTAGGTAACACTCAACCAACATCTATTATTCACAAGAGGGAGGAAAGAGAAAAAATTGTGGAAAATATAAATGCAGGGTACACGAAATAGGATACGTATAACCAAAATAATGCCAACCAAGCCAAATGTAATAAAAATACAATATCATACGGGTCGTAATACCCCCCTTCCTCTTGTTCCGACTTTTCAATTTTTTTTTTCAACGGAGACAACTACTGTAGACCCCCGCTCGACAACACTGGTATCATATGAGAGATAACAAGGGAAATTCAAATGGGCTATTGCGGAAGCGTGACATGCACGTGTCGGAAAATGGCGAGGGGGACTATGCCTCTCTGGCTAGAAATGGGGCTGGGGTTTGCGGCTTTCTACGCAGTAATAACCCCATGACTCCCCCACGCCTAAGAATAGTGGCGTAGGAGAGTGGCGGTTGCCCTCATATGCCGGTATCTGGCCTGTAGGGGTTGACATCCACTCACTCTACCGTAGTAGCAGCTTCGCTGTGAACGAGAATGGTGTTCGGTCTGTTGGGGTCAACATCTTTGCGTCCTAGTAGTACCCCCAACACTCGCTCGCGTCTCTTTTCGGTCGCGAATGAGGGCGGTAGTTTACCAGAATGATCTGGCTTGTTAGGGTTGGCATCGTGCCGTTCCAATAACAGCTCCAGCGCTCCTTCGCACTCCTTCCCAACCAAAAATGTGTCTTCCCTATCGGGGTCGACACTTTCCCATTTTAATAGTATTTTCACCACTCCCTCACGCCCTTTCTCGGCAGCCTAGACGGTCTGTTTGGTTGACCTTACAACCTTTCATCTCTATCAAAGCAGCCACGACTCCAGCAATTCCGAAGAGGGATGCGCGGTGCACCCCGGCGAATAGCGTGAGGGTCGTGAGATAATGGTGGCCGGTCACTCGGCCCAAAAGTAAACTAGAGGATGTGCGGCTGTCTCCTGGCCGGCGACCCCTGGTATATGGAAGAGAATTGGACAAAGGATTTGCTTGCCAGGCAGCACTGCGTGTGGGTGATAGGGCCTTGATATGCTGGAAATTTAGATAGGTCAAACAGGTTTCTGCCATCATCGGCTGTGCTCTACCAAAAAGGTCCAGATGCGCGGAAAGATACTCTTGAAGGGTAAAGTGGATTAAGCGGGGGGTCGAAGCCTTTTTATCCACACAAGACCTTAACAGCAGCGTAGCAATGTCGATATCAAAGGAACGCCTTTAGTATTGAGATCCGTAGATCCTACTTCGACTACCGGGGCGTGGCAGAGTGCACCCGCCACGAATGAGACACCCTCGTGAGAGTCGCCAGCGCAGGGCTTGCTTTCTCGCTAGTCCGAGCCCTCATCCGTTCCAGTGTCGTACCATACACATCCTCCAAACTTGGGCCACTCGTCATTGTACTGAACTTTTGTCGCCTGCGATAGGTGGTTGCTTCTTGGAGGGTTGCCTCGACTATCAAGGAATCAAGTAGAAATCTAGATGCATGTCGGTTAGCGGATACTTAAAGCAGTTTCCCAGTGTCCTTGGTCCTACATACATGTCCGAAACTGTCTTTGGAATGTCTTTCAAAATACCCAACCTAAGACTGCTATCTATTGCTCCGGGTGTTATGTCCATATTTAATATCGTACGGACATATCGGATGATATCATCTTTGCTAGCCTTTAAAGACAGGGACGCTGCTCTTCCAGCAAGGCGCTCCCCGATCTCATCCAGGATGTGGGGCCTTTCGGCCTGGAAAGTTCGAGTCCCTGGTGGCCTCAGGACAATCTCTCTTAGGGAATCTAGAAGCTGTTCGTCATGAGCGTCAAAATATATGAGGGTCCGCTGCGAGGCCGAGATAGCCTGGAGCATCTTCGCAATATCCGGAGGTCGCAGCTCGCGTCCATCAGTGGCCCTCTCCCGGTCTCGAAATGCCTCGACGATTCCTTCTGGAATCTTCAACCCCCCAATAATATGTTTCAGCAGGGAACCCGGTATACTCGTCGGAGTTCGTTCCTTTCGGAAAGCAAAGTCAAAGTAAAAACACGCAACTGCGGAATTTGGTCCTCTAGCCAGATCGCACAAGGAGTCCAGAGAGCTAACATAGCCTGTCAGAAAGAAATCTCTTTTTTTTTTTCGCTTCAAGGATCGCCTCTCTTACGTTATACTTATACAGGTCTTGAAGGCCCCTGGATCGCCGTGACAAAACAAAGTCTCATTACCATCAAATCCGCCTCCCCCACTACCATCACACCAGCTTCCAAATACATCGGCTCCAAGAAGCCAGTATCCAACACTCCCAACTCGCCCAGTTCGAGCGCTCCGATGCCGTGCCCCGGGCTCTAGCAGAGGTAACCAGAGCAGGAGTCTAGATGGATCATCGGCAGCAGTATAATGATTCGAGGCATTGAAAGGGTTGATATTGTCGCTAAGATATCGGGACATCATTTTTTCTCCCTCTTGCTCGGAATATCGAGGATGGATAGATGGATGGATAGATGGATGGATGGATGGGATGGAGAGGACTGAGGACGGTTGGTGGTTCCAGGGAGAGGAGAAAAGCGGGGTCCCATCGCGCGATGATTGAGGGCACCAACCGCCAAAGTTCGCGCTCTTATTATAGCCACCGGATTGGGAAGCAGAGGCAGCACGCATGCCTCTGGGCTTATCTATCACACTGCGCACTAAATGACTTGTCACATAAACATCATGGCCAGGGCCATTTCCGTGCACGGGGAGGTTAATATTAGGAACACCATTCTCGTACGATGGTCACTGGTATGACACAAGGTTCTACCGGTCTGCAGCTAGGGGCTGTATTCGGCAGCCCCGTCGGCATCGCTGAGTAGGGTACCGTTCCACACAACACACAACCACTTCTCCATCCAAGGAGTTCAAGTGGGCAAAGAGTAGCTAAATTCGGCGGTGAAAATCTCCCGTCGGAAGACTTAGTGCATATTTCCTCGATTGGATCAGGGATTACCGTAGGGAGGTTCGAAAGGGAGCCGTGAATGTGAACTTGAACTTGTTACCGGCAGACTACCGTACTACAGCAACAGTCTTTCACCCCTCCTGATTGTGTTGGTTGGTTGGAGAAGTGGTTACCGTGATCCAAGTGCAGGCCGGGGTCCTGGTCGGTCTCATGAACTTGTAGTCTACCCGAGTGCTTGTACGAGGCTGGCGACAAAAATCACCGGTAGGTACGGGTTTTCCACTGAAAACAACCATATTCATGACCTTCCAACCACTGATCTAGTGAATGAATTCAGAACAAATCTCCATGTATGTTTGGGTAATTCTCCGGATTTTACTTCCCAACCCTCAGAACTCCGTATCCAAACTGGCTGAGCAATTATTAAGAGAACAATGGTTGGTACATTGGCCTTGGCGCAATTTCTGAAGATTTTGTATGGCAAAAGGCAAGGCTTGGCGCTGTTTTCAACCTCAATTTTACAATATTGCATGCCAAAGCAGTCTATAATTTTTCAATAATCTGTGAGCACTGGGAGAGGTGTTTCTAAAGAGCATTGGACCATACTATCAATTTTTCAAATTTTTACACCTTTAGAATATATTGAACAGAAGGCATGAATATAGGTGTTTTCGGTCGGGTACCAGTAACTACCGATAATTTTTGTCGCCAGCCTCGTACCGGTTGCGGTATACCGGTGTTGGATTTTCAGGCCAACCGTTTGTTGTGCAGGTGTGTCCCTACTGTACTCGTAGGGTCGGACTTCCGTTTGATTTCGGCAGTGCCCCTGTGTTGTCAAAGGTTTGGGGGACTCCCGACCGTCAACTAATATGGTGCCTCGGGAAAGACTGCTTTGGCTTAACAAGCGGGGGTGAACGTTTTTAATGTATCACAGGGTATCAAGATGAGATGCAACAGTTGCATTGAAGCCTGCAAGTACCAATCTACGGCCCGACACTGAACCATATACCGGTATCATACATCTAGAAGACTTTTTGATCCCAACTACTATACATACATATCCAACATGGGCAATGTGAAAGACCATTTCTACCGCTTTGATGGCCGGTTGCTCTTGTCCCTCCTCCGATTCTTCAACTTCACCTCTTTCCTGATCTGCTCCTTGGTCTTGATCTCGCTCCTCACCGCCCCCTTAACCAACCCCTTCTCCTTCGCCTCCTCAAACCTCCTCTTCCGCACATGGTAATCATCCCGCGCCTTATCCGCAGCTTTGGGAGCCTGAACACCCTTATGAAACATTCTCCCACCAAATCTCCCGCCCATTCTTCCCCCACACCCAGGTCCACTGAACCGGCTCTTGTCCTCCATCCCACCGACACGCGGTAGCTTGCCGACCTTGTGGGCCGACTTCCACGCGGCGAAGCGACCGGACTTGAAAGAGGCGGCGATCTTCTGGCCCGATTCACCGATGATCATTTTTGCGCCTTTGGACCCGTCTTCATCGTTTGCACGCCGGACGTACTTCTTTGATTTCTTGTCCCACCGCATTCCCTTCGCTTTGTGGGCTTCTGCGAAACCCTTTCCCCCACTGTCGTCGTTTGTTAAATCCATGGTTGCGTTTCTGGCCGCTTCCGCGAAGGAGGAGGATATGCTGTATCCACGGTCTTCTGCTAGGGAGATGCTGGGGGAATATGACATGTAGTGTTCTGTGTCAGTGAAGCTGCTCATTGTGGCCTTTCTCTTGGCTCGACGGTTAGCGGGCTTTGTGAAGGTTGAGTCCAGGTCCGCATCTGAAGCCGAGTCCATGTTTGCTTCTATTCCTTCTATATCTCTGTCGCCGCCTTCAGCAGTAGGTCCAATCGTATCTTCATCACCGGAGAGGTTAGCTCCACCCCTTCTCTTGCTGGGGTCGATCTTGATCTTTGCACGGCGGGTTTTCATTACTGATGCTGCTTCGGACTTGTTTAGCCCCCGCTGGCCGATTTCGAAGATGGTCTCTGAGGGTCGGAAATTGGCCACACGGGCTAGCATCTTTGCTCTCTCTGCTTCTGCATCGTTGGCATCATCCGCGAATAGCGGGTTGGTGGTTGACCACCCTTTTTGTGCAACGATCTCCCGAGCGCGCTTGGCTGATTCCGCCGATGCAGCGGTTTTTGTCCTCTGGTAGAGCTTTTCACCCTTCGCGCTAACGCTTCTCAAGCTCGCGAGTTCACTATCTTTTGATAAGAGCACGTTGATCCACTCTATGCAGCGTTCAACCGAGTCCCGTATCAAGCCCCCAACAATGATATCGGAAGCAAAGTCGAAGTCCTCCACCGACCCGCCCTTCGAAAGGACAAGCTTCTTTCCCAAGAACAGCTGTAAATCAAGAAGGTAAGGCGCATCTTCGGCCCTGACAAAACTGTATGCCCATCCCCTCCTTCCAGCTCTTGCAGTTCTTCCAACTCGATGCACGAAAACCTTTGGCTGCGGTGGGAAGTCATAGTTGATCACATTCGATAACAGAGGGATATCGATTCCTCTTGCCGCCACATCCGTAACGACCAATATAGATGTCTCCCCAGTACGAAAGCGAGCAACTTGATTCCTACGCGCGACTTGGTCGAGTGTACCATAAACGTATGAAACCGGGAATCCAGCCTGGGTAATCAGCTGTGCGAGGTACTCCACATGATGCTTAGTCGCGGCGAATATGATTGTAGAATGAGTGGAGGCAGTTTCGTGAAATTGATGTGTGCGCTTTCTCTTTTTGCCCTTATGAGATCCCCCCCCCCCATTATCCCCCTCGTCTGAGGCGTCGGCTGCAGTGTATTCATCCTTGGGAGGGGCGCCCTTAGGAATCTGAATCACGTCTTGTAAGAGATGTAATAAAGCGCCCTCCTTCTCGCTATTCTTCACCGTGAAAAATGCACACTCAAGATCCTGGGAAATCTTGGAGTCTGCATCCAATCGAATCAGGTTCGGCTCTTGCAAGCCGGCCTTCGCAAATTCAACAAGCGACTTCGGGAGCGTAGCGGAGAAAAGCAGCGTTTGCCGATTAGGTGGCAATGAATGCAAAATCTCCGTCAATTGCGCCGAGAAACCCATTTCGAACAGACGATCTGCTTCGTCAAAGACAACATATTGAACAGACCTAAGATCCAGTTCCATCTCAACTTTCAAGTGCATAAATCGTCCGGGCGTCGCAATAACACTGCAATTCACCAGTCAGACATGAAAACCTCAAGGATTAACCGAGGGAGAGAAGAAGGAGAGAGGACACACATGTCCGGATTCCCGGCCATATACCCAAACTGCTCCTCAAGACTGTCCCCTCCAACCAACAGTACAACCTTCAAATCCGTACCCCTCCCAAACTCCTTTACGACCTTCATAGTCTGCAACGCCAACTCTCTACTCGGTGATAGCACAAGCGCCCTCATCCCGACCTTGACGCTATGGGTCTTCAACCTCTCAATCATGGGTATGACAAACGCCGCTGTCTTCCCGCTACCTGTCCTTGCCATGCCAACCACGTCCACCCCATCAAGCACTAAAGGTATGGCTTTTCTCTGAATAGGCGTGGGAACAGAGAAGCCCTTTTTTGTGATCGCCCTGAGAAGAGTCATGTTCAGTCCCATGGATTGGAAACCGCCGCCTTTTTTGACAGATTTGCCTTTTATTGTTGAGCCACCTTTGCGGTTTGATGCGGCTTGCTGGGCAGCGATGAAGGCTTGATCGCCATCGCTGTCGTCGCTTGCCTCAAGAATGTCATTGATGTCCAGTGGGTTGTTGGCTGATTTTGAAGCGGCTGTAGTGGGGTTCTCGCCATCTGAGCCTAGGAAATCTGCATCAGCGAGGGCGTTGGAGATATCGAACTCGAATTCACTCCCTGTGGGGGAGGGAGCGCGGTATCGCATTGCCATAAACAATGTTGGTTCACGTTAGCGGTTGGCCAATTTTTTCTGAGCTTGGGGGTAATTTAACTGGAGTGGGGTGGAGGTGCAATCTGTACGATATAGACTAACACCTTTTTTTCTTTCCCTACGGTACCGGTAATCTACTCACAGCATAGAGATCATCATAGCCCTAACCCCAACAGGACAAAGGAACGACAAGGGTTTCACACAAACTAATTTCACGAATACTCGAGCATTTCCTTGCATAAAAAGAAGCCGCACCATAGCTAGGGTAGAATACATTTTGGGCACAATCCAGTGGAAAAAAGCAATAGAAATAGTAAAAATAAAATAAAATCCCAACCACGGTATGCTCTCTACAGAACCCAGTTTGAAAGTAGAGGAAAACAAGGACAAAAGGAAAAAGACTTGAAGGGCCCCAGTTATCATAGTAATGCCCCTTAATTTTTGTAACACCGCAGTAGACATTTACCTCATGCTTCTATAAGAGGATGAGGGAAAGTAATCCTCATCGCCCCCCAAAGCACCATTTGCACTATCCCTCGCCTTCTTCTGAGCTTCATGGATTTTCTCGGCCTTGAGAGAGGTTCATTAGCGTTAAGATCAGTGGAAAACACTGTGAATTTACTAACCATAGAGTTGGTATGAGAATCAATCCATTGCAGACTCGAGAGATGGTCGTTAAGAATTTTGACAATTTGAGAAAGCTATGCCATAATTAGTGCTCTGAATCATTTTATAGGGCAAGGCGTATGCCTACCGGATCATCGGCGTTGGTAGTTTTGTTGATAGTGGTGCTTGCTTTATTGATCTCTTTAATCATTCCACCAAGTTCACTACCCATGCCCGCCAGCTGATCATTCAATTTCTCAGCCAAGTGATAGGCCTTCTCTCTCTCCTGATCAGCGGGCTGCATCCCTTCGACACCCCCCATCTGAGCTTCGAAAAGATCCTTAATTTGAGCCTCATAGTAGTCTAGTGCAGTTCCCAATTCCTCCTGATCACTCTCGAGTTGTTGTAAAACAGTATCCATCCTTCCTTGTGTCTTCTCTGCCTCCAAAGTCTCGGAAAATAGGTTTGTTATCTTTTCCCCATTCTCAATAAGGATGTTATCCCATTTCTTGATATCGCCTGCTTGTTGAACGAATTCGGCTTTGTACTTCTCGAGGTCGCTGGTCCAACGGTTGATAATTTCCTCCATAGACTTGTTCTTCAACCTGGACTGAGGAGGAGGCAGCATGGTTGCGCCTGGGATAGAGGCCCCTAGCATGTTAGACTGACTAGAGGGCCCAGATACCGCTCCTGCAGTGGTGCTTTGTGTAGGGGCTGGAGCGGCAGGGGTAGCAGGGGTAGCACTGCCAAAGAGCCCACCGGGTGCAGGATTTGGGGCGGCTGGTACTGAGGTGGTTGGGGTGCTTGTAGCAGGTCCAGAGCTGGTCGGGGGCTTTCCGAATAGAGCCCCAGGAGCCGGGGAGGCAGATGAAGCAGGAGTGCCAGGAGGCTTAGGAGTGTTACCGAACAGGGGTGGAGTGCCGGTCCCGGTCGGTGCCGGGGTGCCTCCAAACAGTGGGAGGGGGCCTGTGCCAGAAGGGGGCGGGGGGTTGGCTGAGGCTGACGACGCACTGGGAGCTATCCCAGAAGTCGGGGCATTTCCGAATAGACCTGGCGTTGATGCTTGGGACGCACCATCTTTGGCTGGAGCGGCACCAAATGCTGGGGGAGCGGCGGGCGTAGACGCCTGTGCACCAAACAATGAAGCCTGAGGGGTTGAAGCCGCCGGAGCTGCTGGGGTTGTTGCTAGTCGGAAGCAATTGCTATTAGCACCGGCTAACCGAACGGGGGACTGCACCCCACTGTCCCGGCACAGCGTGGAAAAGCAAAGTGTAACACTTACAACTTGAAGGAGCGCCGCTAAAAAAACCCGAAGCAGGAGGTTTTGATGCTGGCGTCGTAGATGAGCCGGCAGCGCCGCCAAAAAGACCGCCTGGCTTCTGCTCTGCGGGTCCGCTGGTAGCCGGTGTTGAGGAGCCGGCGGCTTGTTGAGCCCGTGCACCATCAAATATGCCACCACTGGAAGCTGCTGTCGCAGGTGCAGACCCGAAAAGACCGCCAGATGACGGAGCAGATGTAGCCGCCGCACCAGTTCCAAACATTGGCTTTGGCGTCTGACCAGCCTGTTGTGACTGCCCCCCAAAGAGCCCACCACCGCTACCAGATGGCTGACCCATATTTTGCCCACCAGCACCACCACCGAAAACCCCGCCACTGCCAACGGTACCTCCTGCAAACAAATTTTTTGGGACCGATCCGGGAGGAGGTCCAGCAGGGGTAGTTGAGGCACCACCACCAAACGGATTTCCAGCAGGAGTTTGGGCGCCTCCAAACGAAGGGCCGCCAGGAGGCTTATTACCAAACATGGCACCTGGGGCAGGTGTAGATGTAGGGGTAGCGGACGAGGCACCAAAGAGCAAGCTCCCAGACGGATTCGGGTTGGATCCGCCGAACGTAGGCCTCGGAGTACTTGCGCCGGGAGCCGCACCACCGAACATAGGCCCTCCGCTTGGTGGCCCACTAGTTGCACCAGAGGCTGCACTTGCGAAAGAAAAGCCAGACCCCGAGTTTACACTGGTGTTTGTACTCGGGGCACTAAAGGGGCTATTTCCACTAGTATTGGTGCTACTAAACAGGGCACTGGAGCCAGTACTGGATGTAGGTGGGTTAGACATGACAAAACGACCCCGATGGTTATTATTCCCGTCAGTAATATTTGTAGAAATTGAGATACCCGAGCGAGAAGACGGAATAAAGAATGTCGCGTTCCTAACCGACTAGGTCTGAGAAAAACCCATTAGAGCTTCGAAAGAAACGACGATGGAGGCAACAACTTACCTGTTTGTAGATGAGTAAGGCAAAACAGAGATAGGGTGGTGAAGTTGGGGAAAGAGGTGTTGTTGCTGGAGTGAAATTGTGAGCTTTGCGATGGTCTCGAGAAGACGTGTAGCGGCGCGAAACCTTGGCGCTCCTTAATGCCACTGCTCATGTCATATCATATCAGACAGGCATGAAGCAAGGGCAACCAACTGTGTCCTTGCTTGTACTGTAGACTACTCAACCGCCTTGCCCTTGTTTGGGCAACACCAACTAACTTGCCCTACTCGAGCACACCCTAGGGACAAGAGCCGACTCTAAGCACAAAACGCGCATGATACTGTATCATACTTGCAGAGGATAAAGGTAAAACTTTTGCATAAAAGGTTCTAGTATCATACCGATACAATAGTTATTATAAAGAAGGCGGCTTCACCTGTTGCGTGTCTCGCGCTTTTCGGAGTACGGGGCCACGATATGATCTACTATGTTATGCTAGAGTACTAGAACTCGCCCAAGCTTGTTCCTGAACCGGACGAGTTCAAGTGTTCTACAAGGCCCCGGCTCACCACGGAGGTATGATACAACCTTCAGAGGTGTGATACTGGTTACATCAAATGAAAGAAGCCATGAACAAAGAAAATTTCAATCTCAAGTTGAAATCCCATGAAGTAGCAATTTAACTCATGAAACCCCATACACAACTTATCAATATACCAAACCATCAGTCACAAAAAGCCAAACCTTCTATCGCCCAGCTAGATATCGTTGCTCGCTTCTAAGGTACTAACAATACAGATTGCCGCAAAAGAAAGAAAGAAAGAAAGAAAGAAAAAAAAACGTCCAGGCATCAAACATAGGACATCAAAGATTCAAGTAGCAACCTTCTTCGACTGCTGCTGCTGCTGCTGAGCACTCGCTCTTCTCTTCAGCCAATCAGCAATCTGTTCATGCCTTGTAACAAACATACACCTCTTCGACGGTTTCTTCCATTTAAGGACACCCAATTCCTCCGCATATTTGGCCACTTCTTCAAACTCCTGGGTAGAATGGAAATCTTTGAATAGGAACCCGGTAGTTGTCCTCATTCTTTCCCCTTCAATCTGCCACAAGCGAATCTGGTCGACAACAGTTGGCGGGAGAGTAACAAGCGATTTTCGCATTTGAGGATGAGCATGGGCACTTAGGTAGTCAATCACTTGATCCGCCGTAATACCCATTTTTATAGCTTCTTGAATTGATCGTCGAGATATACGGCCGCTGACAAGGTTCGGATAGCGAGTACTGAGTTTGACGAAGAGGTTAAGCACAGCGATCTGGAGGGGAGAGTCTATAATTGCGGTTTCAGCGAGTCAATGATCTGAAACGTGCGGAAATATAGGGCACGGACCTGTATATGCGTAGACACGATAATTCGTCTCCAAGATGATAAATCCTTTCCCCTCTTCGGCATCTTTTACCATAGCAGAACTCATACTAGCAGAAGCAGACCGAAGGCCTCCCGATTCTGAGGTAAGTGTGGTAGCTAGCCTCGTCGGATAAAATCTATCAGAAGTTGACTTTCTCTGATAGACAACCCCGTAGTCCCTCAAGTCGGCTAACATAAGCTTTTGTGTCTCTGTTAAGGTATTAACAGAGTACGCTTGTCCCAACTCTAAACTACCCAACATGAGCAAAAAATGTAATACATCTGTCTGCTCCATTCCCAACTCCTCGGACATCTCCAGATATTGAATCAGTAATGCCCAAATTTGTGGGTTCCCATCCTGGAGCAGAAAGCTGAATCCGTTCTTAGTGATGGTAGCCACTGAACCCGCCCCATAGCGTTCCATCAGCCCACCCTTGGTGAGAAGAGTGATAACACCCTTGCTGGGCTTGACCTCATTATGCGTCCCAACCATATAATGCAGTATAGCTTCGAATTGTCTAGTGGCATAGTCGTCTAGAAATTGGACCGTGATCTTCTTCTTGTCTTCCGTGTTACAAGGCACGCCGAACGAATGGTGATCGCCCCTAGTCACACAGCACCCGTTAGCAACCAGTCATCACCGTCACTCAGCAGTTAAACGTGCCCTCCAGTCAACGCCAACCGAAAATTCTTTTTAAATACGGGGTCAAGAGAAACGTCCAAATTATTCTCGGTGATGATGTGCAGTCTGCGCAGTTTACTAAAAGCATCTTCCCGCTCTCTACTCCTTCAATTAGCTATGCTTGGAAAGCGTGGGATCAAATCAACAGCAAGCTAACCGATAGCTCTCAGGGCGGACCAGAGCCTCTAGGTCGCCGAGGGCAACAGGACTTTCATTGTATAGCAGAGTTGTGACAATTGTCTTAGCTATAGTATACAACTATTAGATATCACCTCTTTACCCATCTCAACATTCCTCCAATGACGGGGGTTTTGACAGACCTAAATTAGGCAGCATACGCCGGAAAATGGCCAACGCAGTGGCGGGCTGCTGGTATAGGCGGCGGAAGGTAACCGGAGGAAGACTCTGAAACAGATAATCCATCGTTAGTCGATCAACCCAAGCAGGTTGTGAGAAAATTTAAGCAAACCTCCAAGTACCCAAAGCTATAAGAACCACGGTTAGTCGCATACGCACATTTCGGGTCAGCGTTATGGGAAAAGCTTACCCACGAATGTTGCCGGACATGGTTATGACATGTGGGGATCTGTGAGGTTTCGAACTTGAAAGGACTGCGATGAGTCTTTCATAGGTAGGTAGGGATAAGTAAGACGGGGACGATACCTTAATAACGTCGCGGGAGTGAGCAAGGTATGTTTGACCCTAGGTTGCATGCAAAGGATGTTGTGCAGACACAGGGTTAGGGTCGTGCTTTGAAAAGCGAAGAAGAGCTCATTCCTCCAAGGGACCCCACTGCAGAGACAGTCTGCTTTCTCCTCCGCTCTACTGACTAAAGAACGAAATTCCAACATCAAGAATAGCCCACTATGGCCTTTAGGTTCAATTTTGCCGTGGACGATAGCGATGATGACCCCGCGCCTAATGCCCCGCCGGCTCCTGCCCCGCAGGCTCTGCCAGGGGAGTTGCGAGCACCAGCCAGGTACCATACACTTCAGGAGCTGGTTTGGCTGCCCCAAATTCTTCACAACACTCCCCTGGATTGTTCTAATTCGCCCGTTCCTTTGGTGTAGATGGCCCGCATTCCCCGAAATATCTCATACGCTACCATATCCATTACACCCACAGTGTCAATCCCCCGGCGGGAGCTCTACGATGTTCGAATGCAGCTTATGGATGAAGATGAGCTTAATGGGGATGGGTCGGAAAGGAGCATGATGGCAGGATTGGGTAAAGAGGATATTAGGACCAGCCTATACGAAGGTGGGTTGAAGAGCTGGGAATGTTCAGTTGATTTGGTGAGGCATCTGGCTAGTCTGGATGAACGAATTGGCCCGGGAGGCAAGAAGGTTCTAGAGGTAAATCATGCAGAAATTCTGTATAAAGTTTGACACCAATGGCTAACATCCCAAAAGCTAGGCTGTGGAACATCCTTCCCATCCCTATTTCTCTTCCAAACCACCCTCAGCGCAAAAAAAGGCTTTAAACCCCCACTCACTCACTTTACTCTAGCGGACTACAACTTAGAAGTCCTTCGTCTCATCACTCTCCCCAACATTTTCCTCTCCTGGGCGATGCTCAACCACCCCTCATCCTCTTCTGGGCCATGGGAAACCGAGGGTGACCTGGACGTCACTGAGTCCTTAATCGCAGCTTTCCTCACGGACCTATCTAGTCGCGGAATAGTTTTAGATTTCATTTCTGGGGAGTGGGGTGCTGGAATGACCGAATTGCTAAAACCTGCAAGTCCATATGACCTAGCACTAGGATCGGAAACGATTTACTCCCCCTCGACCACCCCGCTATTTACGGATGTTTTGTTGGAAGCGTTGAGGGGTGGAGAGGGAAGCGGACTTGTGGCGGCAAAACAAGTCTACTTCGGCGTCGGAGGTAGTGTGACAGATTTCGTCAACCTCGCACGGTCGAAGGACCCAAATGCTCAGATCCGCGTAGTTAGAGAGGAGAAGGAAGCGGGTGTGGGAAGGTCCATTGTGAAAATATCCAATAAATTGGGGCAGCCGTAGTCTGAACAAAGCATGATCCCAAAGCAATTCTCCCCGCCGTACCCCCGTTTCCCAGGAAATAGAAACACTTGCAACATCCCTCGAAGTTATAAAGTGCGCTTAGATGGCACCATATCTTCTGGGGAAAACCACCCGACCCAATCCATGCGTCCTACGAGTAACCTTTAGTACATCACGTACTAACGCCCCGTATCTCTCAAGCACACTGAAAGCAAACCCAGGGTATCCGCAGCATCTCCGAGGACCAGATATGAGCTTTAGAGAGATCCAGACGGTTATAGACTATGTGCTTAGATGTGTTCTCTGCTCTATCATACCCGCTGGCCAAGTATTCAGCAATACGGTACTCGTACTGAAACAGAATTCAAACAAGCCCTTAGCGCTAGCGTGATAGGGTACTGTACCTACCGGTATGCGTATGATATGATCAAAGAATATTGGCAGCTCCTGTTAGGTTACTATCATGCATCATAAACTATACAATCTCTAACGCGCGAATTCATGATCCTCATCTAATTTTGTGCTAGCAGCTAGGACAGTACCTTTAGCAAATTCCCATTTCATACGACTTCCTCGAGCACCCTTGGGCGCATACTGTAGACGGCGCACGAGTACGATACCAGGTAATAATATGTCAGCAAAGTGCGTACTCAAGTAGACTGCTCTAAGGAGACGGCCAGCCGCTCTACAACTCGCATTTAAATAGAGTATGATATACCAGTATGCTCTTGTCCCATCGCTCCCATCAAAAAACAATCCCCCCCCTTACCCCGCGGTACCGCCGGTACTGTACGGTACTGTACAGTACAAGACCTGAGTCAACTTCCCAGTTACCACTCAACGCAAGGCACACCCGGTCAACCCCATGCAAAATACCGGTAATCATACTGGCACCGCTGAGAACCCATCCCCTCCGTTCCCATCCACGCATCTTCGAAGCCCAGACTACTAACTCCAACCCCCAGCCTCTTCGGCCCTTCGTTGCCTCGGGAAGAAAGCCAGAAAGAATCACATGCATGCGAACAACCCTGCATCAATTAGAGCCTCACAAAATTCCCGACGTCCGAGTTTGAAGATTGGAAGAGGCGCGGGTAAAAAAAAAAAGAACAAAAACAGTGCAGTACTCGTACCGCGATAACCTTAGTCTACTCCCGCTCCACATTCCCATGTCTCCGTGGATGTGACGGTGCGGACCTTACTTCCCCATCGCTGGTACAACTACGAACTATCATAACTATAATACTGTGCCCGCCCTTGAAGATTTATTTTGGGTTGAAGACGGCATACGAGTGATTACCACCACCGTACTATCATACTACTACAGGCTCTTTCGAAGCTTCGGTAACCTCCCTTTCACCCCCGCGTGATACACTTAACGCGGATACCGGTATCGTTGCAAAGGGAGGGACGGAAGTTGACGTTATGGATGTAGTACAGGTACAGCACTTGAACCCACCCCTATCCTTCCTACATTGTTCACCAATCTTCGTCACCCCTTGAACACAAACACACACTAACTGTCGAAACAATGGACAGAAAAAGCTCACCGCCTTCATCCTCGACCCGACAAATCACGACCTCCTCGAGATCTTAAAAGGCGCTCGCAATGGACTGGTGTATGGGACTAAAGTCCGATTTCCTCATGCTCTCGTGTACGACACTCCCCTGCCCCCCGGTTCTTCTTCCATCAAGCTGTGCTCGAAACTGACCAACCATGTGACAGAATAACCTTCCTCTTCCGCTCCGGAACGTTCGTCTCCCTCTACACCACCCTACAGCCATGTAACTAATCCCCCCCCCCCCAACAGCTTCTACGAAAAACTCACCCAAACCCTCGAGGCGACAAGAACCCATGCCAAAAACCTCGCCACCTTCGTGACAATCTACAAGACCACAATGCTCCTCCTCCGCCGACTATCGCCCGCCGGGAAGGAGCGCTCCGGCGATTCCTTCTTCGCTGGGCTGCTGGGCGGGTACCTGGTCTTTGGCCGGGGAGACCAAGGCACCGTCAACCAGCAGATTGTAATATACGTGTTTGCCCGGGTGGCGCTCGCACTGGCAAAGCTGAGCCTTGATAAGGGCGTCATCAAGGATCCCCAGGGGAAGGTCAGGGGGAATTCCTGGGGGGTTTTCGCCGCGGTTAGTTGGGGGCTTGTCATGTGGTTGTTCAGGTGGGAGGAGGGCAGTTTGCAGGGGAGTTTGAGGAGCAGTATGGAGTATTTGTATGCTTCTTCCCTTTCCTTCCCTTCCTTGCCTTGGGATGGCGGTGCTAACTGTGGTTTTAGGTACATCGATTCCGGGCGGTGGGATTCGTTGCGGAATTTTCTGATTCACAACGCTTAGATGTGTATATATACAAGTTTTGGTGGGGGGGGTTTTTTTTATTTATACTTTTTGGGCCACGAGTAGCTTACAGGCTGCTTTGTGACTCCCCGATATTAGGGTGAGACTTGGGCTGTACAATATTGAGTTCGTCAGAAGAAGGAGGAAAAAAGGAGAAATTGAACCAAACTTGGGAACAATGCATGAACCCGGTGCTGGAGATTAATCAAAGGAAAAGGAAACCCCCGTGGATGATTAACCCAAGCTTCGACCGCTCAGCAAACACCATACAAAATCACTCCATACAAACCACACTATTGCGCTCCCAACCCCGATATGGCCAGCACACGACGCCCCCGGGGGCCCCAGTCACAGTCGTCCCATCTCGGTACTATCCCTAGCAGACCCATCCCTAGGGGCCAGTCTCACCGGCGATGAGGGCCCCTCCCCGCCCTCCAAGTCGATACTGTTCCGACTCCTCCCTCCAAAAAACCTATTCCTGCGGGAGACCACGCTGCCACTGCCAGATCTGCGCCTATTCACGCCTCCGCCAATCCCAGGGCTCCTATCAATGCTGCTGTCCCTAGAAGTAGTCCTGGCAAGTTCATCCCGCCTCTCCTGCCCCTGCCCCTCCTCCTCCTCCTCCTCCAAAACCCGCACCAGCTGGATAGAGGGAACATTCCGGCGACCATCATAGAATACATCTCCCGAGTCGTCACTCGAGGCCAGATCCTTCACCCCGAGACTGAAATCCACCTTTTTGGCGGAGCTCCGAGAGCCGCTCCTGCCCAGGCTGCCTCGAGACTCGGATCTTAGGATTCCGTGGGGTTCAGCTGGCGGGGCAAATGTCCTGTAATCACCTCCCTGCTCGCTCGCGCCCCCTTCTCGATCCAGGACGGATTGTTGGATTTGGTCTGCGTTTACCGATTGTAAGAAGACCGGGGAGGTTTTCCTTTGACCGGGCCAGCGCATGTTTGGCGATTCGATACCAACGTCCGCGATGCTGACCATTAAAGCGCACATAAATTTATTACGGCGTTGGAGTCGGACGAGCTCGTTTTGCCAGTTTGCTGGAGAGAGAAGTAAGCGAGTGATAACCCATGGGTGTGGATGGCCCGGTTCAGAGAGGACATACATTTGTAGAAGAAAACAACGTTAAGTTTGACAGAGTGCATATCCGGGATATCCCTACTCCGGGTTAGCCTGATGCCATGATCATTGGGTTGGAAATGCACCTCAATTCAGTGATAATCTTTCCCTGGTACTCCCGATTCTCAGACTGGACAAAGGTCAATAATCTCTCCCGGAGTTCCTCGATCTGCTCGAGAGAGGTGCCAAATTTACAAACAATTGGAACGGCCTGCGCATCACCATCAGTGGATCCGTCCAAAGCCCCCAACCAGAGCACATATTACCTCCGCTAGGGCACCGGAGCGCCTCATGTTGAGGATGAAAAGCGTGTTCAACAAGGAGTTTGGTGCTTGCACCACATGCCCTTCCAATTTCTTGAATTCGGTATACATCAGGGCGATCTCTTTAACGAAGAAAGTATCCACGGTTCCGGCACCAGTGTTATAGACGTCTACTCGGTCACCAACATCAAATGGATGCTTCACGAAAACGAAGACGATCGACGCTAGAAATTCTTGTGCGGTAGCAGAGAACAGCCATGAGAGGGCAAGCACGGAACTTGACGCAGAAGTCAGAACACCTGGGAAAAATTCATCAGTTCTGCTTCTAAAGCTATCGGAGAGCCATCGTATTACCGGCAGTGGACTTCGATATCAGAGATAAGAAGACAAGAATGACGGCGACTGTCACGAGGAGCGTGAAGACATCATCAAGCTTGCTGACGACACTATCCAGATCCTTCAAGCTTGCTGTGATTGCTTTCCGTTCCCGTCCAATCTCCACACACGCAATCTCCATTTCTTCGCACGAGATATCTCCATTAAGATCTCGGTCGAACATTTGGAATGCTGCCTCGGCCTCCTCTTCGCTGGAAAACACCTGCTTGAGGTTTTCAGCGTGCACAACTTCCGTCCCTTCGCGTACGAATGTTCGGAATAGCCGGCGAGCCAACTGCACAGCGGGGCATGTTAGCAGCTTGATCCTGGCCAAACAGTTTGTATTTGGGAGCGAACCGCTTGGCTTCCTTCCGTGGTATACAGTAGCGTAAGTACTACGTGTTGGGGTGAAGTGCTCGAGGAAACCTGCTTCCCAGTAAAATCACCCGCAACCTTTCCCATCACGTCGCCAACTTTGGTGAAGGCGGACTGGGCACCAGCCTTTGCCTGCTGCAACACGACCAGTGGGGTTTTAGCACCTGAGGTCAATCCTGATTCCTGCTTCTCGTCCAAGTCACGCTCCTTGGCTACTTCCTTTGAGTGCGCATAGAGCTTCGCAAGACTAGAAATTTGAAACTTGTTCAGGTCGATCCGGTCTTCATAGGTTCTCTCGTGGAAAGAGATGGCAATGAGCTGGATGATGATTTTCTCAAACAGATTCAAAATCATCGCAATGAAGAGTGACAAGAGGACGATGTTAGCTCTACTCTCCCAGTACCGGGTGCTCTTATCGCCGTCGTTGTGATGATTTGTCATGGTAGGCAAGAAAGAAACGTACACGGCTAGCCACCAAAAGAAGAGTGTGGCAGGGACCTCCAACATGCATCCCATGTCTTTCCACTTCTTGCTGTTGTTTGTGAATGCACCTGAGACGACACTCATGACATAAGGGACACATTTAGCCAAAATCTGGGAGGCAGAATAAGCTTTAAACCCCATTACCAGGTTTCCCAACCGTCAATGCTACTCACCCGTCCCGCCCACAAGGATAACCAGACTACCTCCAACCACACCATGAACCACATCAGATAGACATCCCCAACAGTGGCTTCCATGAACACCAGTGCCCCCAGGAGCAGAGGCACTAACAGGATCAGCACCAAGGGGATAATATACGTAAAATATCGTACTAGAATGGAGGATCCATGGATCTTAACCCCATATCAGCGATAGCTCATGAGACCACCCCCACGATAGGATCTCTAACCGCTTTCAAAAACCTTCCAAACTTCGTAGCCGGTCTCTTAGGCGGTCGCCAGACCCCCTTGCCATTACCGTGGACTGGGTTTATACTAATGTCAAAGTCGTCCACAGGGTCTGCTGTCCTAGGCCGTGACCTGCGTGCACCACTTTTCGATCTCGACAGGCCACCAGTGTTCCCTGAGGCACAACTCGCGACCCTCTCAGCCCGTAAGAGCTCAAGGTCATCTTCCAATCTGTAATTATCCTCTCTCCTAGCCGGCTGTGGACAGATTTCCTCTCCATCCGATGGGCTCGATGCCGTCTTCCGTGGCTCTGGCGATTTTTCAGAGAGAAACGCTCCGTCCTCGGACGAACCATCTGCATGCGGAGGGGGGGGACGCCCCGGAGTACCAGCCGTAGCGTCAATTATGGGATAGGTTGCCTGAGGCACCTCGCGCACAGGCATTGACATGCTTCTCAATGGCCCGAGTACGTATACTCCTTATAATACCTTGGGATTCGGATCTCTAGCCAGCGGTTCCGCGAGATACTCGAGCAGGGTACTTCTATAAGGAGAGAATGACGGGGCGGAATTGTTTGGTTGGATCGAGGAAACGACTGTCAGGATCTGAGGACCTTTCCCGGAGACTTGAAGGGAATGCTTGCGTTTCGGTGGGTTGCGTACTCGAATGGCAGTCCAGGCAGTAGGGTAAGTTCGGGCACACCATGCACGATGTGGAGAGGGGGAGGGAGAGGGAGGGGTACGCGAATCTTTATAAGGGTGTCATCCGCATTGATCCCCAAACGAACCCTGGATAACCGGGAAACGATAAAGAAAACAAGGGGACGCCAGGAACCTCCCCCCAGTGCAGAGATGCGTAGGCTATTTATGGAAATGGGCTGGCACGGAACGGGAAGCGCTATTATACGTTGATAATGTCTGCTTTTCTCCCTTCTAGCGCATATTTGGGTGCGCATTTCGATAAAAAGGTACTCCCTCATGGGAAGGAAATTTCTGAGAAGGGGAAAAGGTGATGGCCACTCGTGGTGGTGGGTGCATTGTGGAGTAAAGGTACGGTACGGTACAGCACTGGAGGACGGTACCGGTACCGGTAGTTGGTAAAGAAAAAGGTCCATCAATCATTTGCAGGGCACCCATGCCCTCGAACGCCGTTGACGTCAGACGACCGCAGATCTCGTTACAGAAGGGTTGAAAGAGAAGGGATTCGTTCTGGCCTCAGCAGCTTGTGAGACGGCAATTGGGAGGGTGCCGGGTGGAGAGAAGTGGGGTGAAAGGTTGTTGGGGAGCATGAATACTCGAGTGCTGGTGCTGTGCAAGCGGAGTGGGAATCATTGGTCGCGAGTCGGTACTGATGTGCAGGACCAGCACCCACAACTACCGGTACCCCATTCGGCCGCACAGAGAGAATGTGGGCACAGAGGCAACAAGGCTCTCCCGGGCCAAAGAAAGCCTCAAAACGGGAGGAATTGGAAACACTGGCCATGATCGCCGAACGCGGCAGGCGGTTGCCGTCTCCGGGTCGCGAGCCCCACCCATAGACTACAGTGCGGCACAGCACTCGCACAGCACTGCAACCGGTTCTCCTCATCGGCTCCGATTCGAATGGCGGAAAAGCACTCGGCAATGTCCCCAAATCACCTCCGCATCATAGCTTGCCGGGTTTCCTCTCCCGAGGTGCAGTGTTCGGTTGCATTTCCAGAATCACAGCACTGTGCCAGGTCCACACAATGTCATGGTACCGGCCATCCATACCCACACTTGTGCTGTGTGGTGCCGGTGATGATTCCCAAACGCATGTGGTCCAGTAACTTTTCGGCAAAGGGCCTGTTCGGAATGACAGGGAAGTCCATCTGCCAACTCAGCCGGTCAGGAATCGGACGGATAGTGAGCAAGAAACTCCGGCAGATGGGACGAATACCTTCTTTGTCCATTGTACTCGTATCAATACGATACTGTAAGTTACCCGTTATCATACGGCCGCACGAGTAGAACCATCCCTCCCCCAGAAGAAAAAAGAAACCCTACTTTTATGATACGGCAACAACAACAAACCATGCCAAGAACATTTTGGCGGCCCCCCGCGGGAGGCCTTTCTCCCTTCCAATTCCTCCTGGGGTTCTATTCCTCTCGATACCCGTATCCTTCCCATCCATCCCACCCTACCAAACCCACCGCAATTGTGCAACCACCAGTGACGTCTTGTCGTAGTTTTGAGGGGTCCTTCTGATCTCCCCTTCTCGTCCATCAATCCCACCGATTGACTTTATCCTCCAAACATGAGGGGCGAAGTAAGTGTTCCCCCGTGCTCACACCTCAAACCATTTTGGTGTCAGCTGCCGCACCTCACGGCCATCATCTGCCCGGCCGTCATTTGTTGCTCGCCTTACCCCATATCTGCTTGATTAGGGGCTATATCCATCTAACCATCACTTGTTAGGTCTGCCACATTCACGTTGGTCAGGCTGGTATACAGCTAGGAAACAGTGCTTGGGAATTGTTCGTAGAAACCTCTTGATCCCCCCCCCCCCCTCAACTTGAATCGGCATTGACCCATGGGGCTCTTATCGCTGCAGGTACCTGATCGAGCATGGATTAAAGCCGGATGGGCGTCCGGACCCCGAGATGGCAGCAGCCGCAGATGTTGCTGCCGACGGATCCTTCGACACATTCTTCTCTGGGACCGCGTCCGGCAAATATGTTCCCCGTTCCATCTTCGTAGACCTAGACCCCTCTGTCTGTTCACCTTAAAGCTTAGAGCTCTGCCATTGGTCGATCACTGGTCACTAACATCTCTTGTAGCCGGTTGACGAGATCCGGGTCGGAACCTATCGTCAACTTTTTCATCCCGAACTACTGATAAGTGGCAAAGAGGATGCTGCCAGCAATTGTGAGTTGGTTATCCGTCCGTTTGGCAGGGCACGGATATTTGTTAATCCCGGGGGTTAGATGCTCGGGGTCATTACACTGTTGGAAAGGAACTCTTGGAGAATGTCCTTGAACGCGTCCGTCGAGTAGCGGGTGGCTCCCCTTGCATCATCGCGAGGTTCTCGAGATCAGAATTACTAAATCGTCTTGCTAGATAACTGTTCAAGCTTACAAGGCTTCCTCGTCTTCCATTCATTCGGTGGTGGCACTGGCTCGGGATTCGGCGCACTTCTTCTTGAGAGCCTTTCAACAGAGTTTGCAAAGAAGTCCAAGCTCGAGTTTGCCGTCTATCCTGCCCCCCGGGTCAGCACGGCTGTTGTCGAACCATATAACGCTGTTCTGTCCACTCACAGCACCATAGAGAATTCGGACTGTACTTTCCTTGTCGACAACGAAGCTGTCTACGACATCTGTCGCCGGAACCTTGATATCCCACGACCATCGTACGACCATCTCAACCGATTAATTGCTCAAGTGGTATCCTCCATCACGTCCTCGCTACGCTTTGATGGGGCTCTTAATGTGGACCTCGGAGAATTCCAGACTAATCTGGTTCCTTATCCTCGTATGCCAACCCTCTTCGCGTGCTGGGGTTACTCTTACAACCTCTGACTCTCAAAAGGTATCCATTACCCGTTGATCAGTTATGCGCCAGTCATTTCCGCTAGCAAGAGCACCCATGAGTCGTTCAAGGTTGCCGACCTGACATTCCAATGTTTCGAGCCCAATAACCAAATGGTTGTCTGCGATCCCAGAAACGGAAAATACATGGCCGTTGCCCTCTTGTATCGTGGCGATGTCGTACCTCGCGACTGCACGTCTGCGATCGCGACCATTAAAGCAAAGGCCACCTTTAACCTTGTCGAGTGGTGCCCCACTGGATTTAGTAAGTTTATCTGGGGCGATAGGGCGAGGGGGAAACTAACCAATTGTAAAAAGAACTTGGTATTAACTACCAAAAGCCCATGCGCGTTCCGGACAGTGAGCTTGCTCCTATAGATCGCTCTGTCAGCATGCTCTCCAACACCACTGCGATTGCTGAGGCCTGGTCTAGAATCGACCACAAGTTTGACCTGATGTACGCTAAGCGCGCCTTCGTGCATTGGTACGTTGGGGAGGGTATGGAGGAAGGTGAATTCTCTGAGGCTAGGGAAGATCTTGCTGCCCTCGAAAAAGGTAATCTCGAACCCCAATTGCTAGTTCCTCTTGCGTAGGACTATTCTACTCGCTGTAAATCCTCAGACTAACGTATATATCAATCACCCCCAGATTACGAGGAAGTTGCGACGGACACGGCTCCCGAAGCCGCGCCCGACTACTAATTCAATGGGTGAGGGCAGGGTAGAACAAGACGGTCCAAGCCAGGATAGCTAGCTCTCGCTACCCATCTTTTAATTTCCTTGAAAACAAGAACTTGGATGCTTCTGTGCTTTTTCCCTCCCTCTGCAAAACCCAGTCAATGCTCCCATCACACACACACCCCCTCTTTATCTTGCTGCTATAAGGGTCGACAACTAGGCGTCTCGATTCCACTCGTGTTTTTGTATTTCCAGTAGTTAGCGTCTCCTTGCCAACTTCCAAGATACCGTATTCAAGTCTTTTTTATATTTTCCAGCAGGTGCTGGTATCTACATTACCTCTAGTCTTGTGAGGCCAGGAAATCCCCAAGATACATTGGTGAGGGACTATGATACCGGTACCATTGCTACCGGCGCCCGGGTCTTACTGCCCTGGTTGCAATACGAGCACGCAACCTGGCATTTGCGACATGAATGATCACTCGAAATGCTTGTTGCTATGGCAACCCTCGGCCCCCACCAACACACGGTTACAAGAAGCAACAACAAACCTTGCTAGCATCTGCTCCCACTTCCTTCCCTCGCTTCCCTCCTCTTTTCCCTCGCTCCACCAGAAGACTACTAACACCAACTAACAGCGTTCACGCAAAACACATGCATAATATCAGTTAGCCAGCAATCGTGAATAACGGCGCATACTCTGGAGAATTATAAAGACCTTATTTTATCCCATAGAAACACGTCATGTCTTTCTCTGCCCCTTCTGTGTCCGCACCCTCACCACTCTCTGCCCTGAACCGACCCACCAGGCAGAGAAGACAGAGCCCAGCGCTCCAGAGCTCGCTACGAAACTCCCCTCTGCTATCCCATCGAATGAACCCGTCAGATAACATTGACGATTCAGATGACGAAGGGGGAAAGGCACCGCAATTGAGCGCGTTGGCGCGAATGCTCCTGGACGACTTCCCCGAGTCAAATGGTGCTGCTTCTGTTAGAGAGACGCTAGCTAGTGCTCCTCCTCTTCCTGAGCCCGTTGCTTCCAACGGCGGGCACAGTCCACGCGACCGGATGGACTGGAGTCACTCCCCGGCCGCGGATGAGTACAAGACGGGTCAATTGGGACCGTCTCGCATGAGCCCCGATTTTTCCACTGCTCGTGAATTGGTGACTCCTGCCCCGGGGAGATATTCGAGAAAATTTTTCAACGGCACCTACTCGGCTATTAGTTCTTCCGGGTCGTCGTCGAATTCTGGTGAGCCGAAACAGGATGCAGAGAACCGAGTTTATGGTACGACGTATGGGAGCGTTGTGAGGCCTTCCGCGGCGGGATCTACAACGACCAATACACAGGCATCTACATCTGCGTCTGCCATTCGATGGAAACGCGCGGGGCGAGGGCTGTTGGGCGGCTTGGCTGGTCCTCCACGAAGGGGACCGAGGAGGGATAGCGAACGTGGAGACGAAGAATACCATGATGGGTATATCGATGAGGGCGCCGAAGGAAGGAGTAGTCCTAGCTCCACCGAGAAGGAGGAACTCGGGTCGGACGCGAACTCCGGATCTCGAGGTTACTCAACAAACACAAGTGAAGATGTCGATATGGAGCCTCCCATGCTCATGTCCCGAAGATCTCGAAGATCGAGTCCAGTATCATCAGCAGAGCAGGCGAAGATCAGTGTCTACAGGGGTTCGAATACGCCAGAAGAACCCGGTACAGGCGGGAGGTCTTCCCCAGCAGAATCTCAGAAGCGCAGTGGTTCGTCGTCGTCGTCGAATTCCATGTCAAGAGCGGCCGCCATCGCAGCAGCAGCAGCAGCAGCAGCAGCCGCTCTCCCGCAAGGCGCTGCGCTGAACGATAAAGAGAATATGCTCCCCCCGCCTACATTCCGCCGTCCAACTATAAGCAACTCCTATAAGCGACTGGGCTCCAGTGAAGAGAAGCCTGCTCCTGCCCCAGCATCTCCCGTCAAATACCAAATGAAGTCATTCGTGCCTTCGCCGGCGAAGGTTTCGCCATCACAAAAGAACAATGTACTCTCCACCAGAAGCAGCAATACGCCACTACGTCCAGCGCCGCCTCCACCCAAGATGTCGATGCTTGAAGCCGTCACAGCCAGTGCAGGTGCATCGGCGACCGCATCTCAGCAATCATCACGTAGACAGCGGTCGGTAATCCACGTAAATGGCAAGCCATACAGACGCCTCGACGCGATTGGAAAGGGAGGGTCCAGCAAGGTCTACAAAGTTATGGCCGAGAATTTCAAAATGCTTGCTATCAAGAAAGTCACTTTCAGTTCCCAGGACGGGGAGGCAGCCATCAGAGGGTATAAGGGCGAGATCGACTTATTAAGAAAGTTATCAGGGTTGGATAGAGTTATTCGATTATACGATTGGGAGATCAACGATGAGAAGCAGTGCTTAACTATGGTACTTTCCCCCCTTCCTCCTCCCTCGGGCAAGACACTGTGTTGATATGTATTATAGTTGATGGAATGCGGCGAAACCGACCTCGCAAAGGTCCTCACCCTCCGGCACGGGCACGAGGACTCCCGCATGGACGTATCCTTCATCCGCCACTACTGGCGCGAAATGCTCCTGTGCGTCCAAGCTGTGCACGACCTGAACATCATCCACTCAGACCTGAAACCGGCAAACTTCCTCCTCGTGCAGGGCAGGCTCAAACTCATCGACTTTGGAATCGCCAACGCAATCCAAGACGACACCGTCAACATCCACCGCGAGTCCCAAGTCGGCACGCTGAACTACATGTCCCCGGAGGCAATCGTGGACATCAACGCCACCTCGGGCAAAGCCATGGCCAGTGTCGGCGCGCCCCGCCTCATGAAGCTGGGCGCGCCCAGCGATGTCTGGAGCCTCGGCTGCATACTATACCAAATGACCTATGGCCATGGGCCATTCTCGCACCTCTCGCTGATGTACCAGAAGATCAACGCCATTCCCGACCCCAACTACCCCATCGACTACCCCGACACCGGCATCGGCGGCGTCCCCGTTCCCAGATCTCTCATCAACACCATCAGCGCGTGTCTTGCGCGGGATAAGGACGAGAGACCGACCATTCATCAGCTGCTCAGCGATAACGACTCCTTCTTGAACCCGGATCACGCTAAGGAGGGGCTCGTCGACGTTAGCATGGACATGCTCCGCTTATTGCTGGAGAATGCCGTGGATCACGTTACCGAGAAGGGGGTGCCAACGCGCGAGATCACAGCAGCGTGGGCGAAGGATGTGTACGGGAAGTTGGAGAGGAGGATGGCGGAGAATAGGAGGCGGTGATGTGGTGAGGGTGAATGCTTATATGATGAATGGTTAGATCGTGGGGTGCTAGGTATAAAAAAACCGTAATTATTACCGTTCTTGTGGGGTGGAGTTAGAAACTTCTTTTTTTTCCTCTCCCTTCCTCTTTCATTTATTTCCTTGCCGTCAAGGCTTCTACTCGATTCCCTACTGCCGGTACTACCATTAAACCTCACTTCTAATCGCGGAGTTTACTTTACCCATGATATTTCCTGACCAATCGATCGATTACTATTCCTGTCTTTTACACTTTTGGGGAGTTTTTTTTTTTTTTTTTTTTCGTTTTCGGAGGGGGGGTTTATCCTTTGCTTAGTTCACGCTCTATGAAAAATGATTGGTCCTTTCCTTTCCTTCCTTCTACTTCTTTTTCATTATCCTACTTGGGTGTTTGCATGACTTTGGCGAAGACGATGATGGGGTCGTTCTTTTTTCCTTCTCTTTTTTTTCTCCTTTTTATTGTTATTACTATTATCATTCTTGTGTATAGTTTTAGTGTGTTGGGAATACCGTTATGGTATGGTGGGAAGAGGTTTTTTGGTTGGTTGGGTTTATAAAGGTATAAAGGGATCAAAATTTTCAGCGATATATTCTGTTGAGTGCACATGTTCTCACTCGGTGCGGTAGCGGTGGTATCATATACTGTATGTCGTATGATACAGTGTTGTGGTTGCTGAGAGTGGGTAACTTGGATCTTGGCAACCGTTAGCCACAGAGCCTCAAGCGAGCTTAAATAAAAGGAGAGGTACTGTACGATATTATGATATTTATACATTATCAATCTTAAACCCTCCAAAACACCGCGATGACCCCAACTCTACTCTCACCACCACCACCTTCCACCATAACCAAGCAATGTTCATCCTAGTAACGTCCCCCCTCTCCTTCATGAAAAAACAAAAAAAAAAAAAAACCCAAATTAATCCCACCTTCCCCAACTTCCAACAGTCCAAATTCACCGACCTCCTCCACCTCCCCCCGCCAACCTTCGCCCATCCAACAGCGACAGCGCTGGAGGACAGAATAAACGAGAAATACGCCAACAAGGTAGTGCACAACGTGGGCCTCTGCATATCCCTCTACGACCTGTCCAAGGTCTCGGAGGGCATGATCGGCCAGGACGGGGGCGCCCACGTGAACGTTGAATTCCGCATGATCGTGTTCCGCCCCTTCAAGGGTGAGGTGCTCACGGGTCGGATCAGCTCCGCCACGGCTGCGGGGGTCAAGGTTCGCACGGACTTTTTCGACGAGGTGTTCGTGCCGGCTACCGGGCTGTTTGAGGGCAGTAGGTTGTACGTATGATGATATCGCTTTCTCCTTCCCGCTCCTTTCGCTTGGTGGGTGAGGAGGGGGTGGCTGATTTGGGTTTCTTTCGGTGTGGCGGTGAGTGAGTGAATAGTGATGGTAAGGAGCAGGTTTGGATATGGCATAATGATGATCAGGACTTTTATATGGATAAGAACGAGGTTATCAGGTTTAGGGTTGAGGGTGAGATTTTTGTGGATCAGTTGCCCGTGCCGCCGCATTTGAAGGGGGAGGAGTCGAGTTTGCATAATAAGCCGCCGTATGCTATTACGGTGGGATTTCCTCTTTTATCTTCTTGTGCTTGCGGCTGTGGGCTAATCGCGTGTTTTTTCTAGGCCTCCTGCCAGCAGGCGGGATTGGGACTGGTGTCTTGGTGGGTTGAGGAGGATGGGGAGGAAGGCGAGTGATTGCTGAGACTTTTTGAACAATTTAATAACCCTTCCCTTCCTTCTTGGTATACATACTATAATACGAGTATAAGTCGCCCAGCGCTCAAACAACTGGCATAAACCTCTCTTATTCCTCAGCCTGCAAGGGCCCAATACTTGGGACCTACACCTCACCACCGAAATCTTCTCTACGGATAGAACGACAACAGAGAACCAGCGTGAAACCCGATATCAAAGGACCCAAAGACGAAAACCCAACAAATGAAATTTGCCCACAAACAGATGCAAAATACATGAAAAATAACTCCCACTCTGCCGGCCATTCACATTTGCATCCCCCATGTCATTCCACCATCTCGTAATAGCCCACACCACCTCGACCAATCCTTAACCATTATAGCCCACTGCGCTACGAGAAGGAGAGGGGTAGAGGTGGGGGAAAGAAAAGAAAAGAAAAATCCACAAGTTTCAAGCTGGGACCATACAAACCATAATGTGTCCTAACCCAAATCCAAACACGACCCCCGTGCCTACAACGAAGGACGTCATCCCTCATCATCTCAAAACTCATCCTCGTCGTCACTTCCTAACAGCTCTCCCTCATCTGTGTTCACAACAGAGTAGTCCGCTCCTCTCGCAAACGAACTTCTGGATGTATACCGCCTCGTCCTCGTTAGTTTGCTGGAAGCCCACGAACCGATAGCTCCCAATATTGTCGGGATCGAAACTGCTAGAGCCACAATAGCGGATATAACGATGATCGGGTACCTGACAAATGGAGATTGTCCACTGTTGTCTTCTCCAAGTCTGATGGCTCCAAACCTGCCATCTAGGACGCGAGTCCAAACAAACCATCCAATCGTGGCGGCCGCAGCTATTGGTACCACAATCGCCAGGAATAGGGCAAACCCACGAGCGCCACCATGTTTGTTCTGGAACTCTTTTTCATGGCCAGGGCAAGGATGTGGTTCTTTGGACTTATCCAACTCCTGACCCCCTTCGCAGGTTGTCAGACGGAGGCGTCGGTAGCCAGTTGGTTCCCAGTACTCGGCTAGATCTTTATCCTCCTTACAAACTGCTTGGTGATCTGGAGGTGTAAACCCTTTCACCAAATAACAAGCATGGTCTTTGTCTCGTTGATAGTTGAAATCACTAGATTTATTTATTCGTTGGCCGTTGTCTTATAGGAGGGGGGGGCAGAGGGGTGGTACAAACCATTCATAGTCATGTCTAGTGCACTTGCAGTTCTCCAAAATTTTGTGTGGCTGCTTAATTACCCTCCCGATATAACAGTTGTGTGTGCGGATCTTGCGATTGTATTGCACGTGATGTCCAAACAAACATCCATCTTGATGTTCAGGTGACCATAGCTCGAAATCGTCGCTATCAGCGCCATCGCCATCCTTCAAATCACCTTTACCCTCGAGGTTAGTAATCGGGGAAAAAAGAAAACCGAAGTGTAACCCTTACATTCAACATCGGTAAGTCCCGTAAAGTCCAACTGCACAGTCCAAAACTTGTTCCCGTCGCCCTCTCTAGTGCCCCAGAGAATGAACTTCCTACTCGTGTCACTGGGCAAAGTCGAAATATCTGTTACACGCATCTTCTCATCATTGTTACCCGCAAATACGTATTCAGTCCAGCTCTCGCCCTCATCGAGTGAGTAGTGAACCTTGTCGGTGAGTGCGTTGTCTTCAATCAAAACAATGATAGAGCCTTGATCGCCGTATTCCCATTGGTATTGTCCTTTTTTAACTTGCTTCCAGGTGACGCCGCCATCTCGAGTGAGATATGTATCACCATCCTTATAACCAGTTAGGGCGTCCCCAATATTTCCGACACCCATCATCAATCCAACAGCAGACCCCGAGCCAAAGGTATCTCTAGGGTCAACCCGGTCGGTGTAATGGTGAAGGTTGAGTGAACACCTCTCCCTGTCACCAGTGTCACAGAGTTTGTGATCCTTGCCATCTGCGTCCTTCTTTGGCGCAGAGATATATTCCCATGTTGCTCCATCGTTGTGCGTGATCATACTCCTCAGTCTCTTCTTCTCGCCGTCGGCCGCTTTGTCGGCGTTCACGACGCGGTTGGCGATAGCAACTCCTTCGAGAGTTTTCATTTTTTCAAAGTCAACAAAACCCTCCTCGTTGCGGTTTACTGAATCCAACGACAAGACATAGTGGGTTCCATTGGAGTTAGACTTTAGTAAGCTGCCGAACTCAAAGCCCTTCCTGGGATTGACGGTGACGTGAAGGAAAACAGCGTGGGTCTCAGAGTCAAGAACCGTATATGCGGTTTGGTGGGGGACGTTGAACTTAGGTGGGAAGGCAGCCTCCGCAAAGACATTTCCGTCAATAGATGCTGACGCCTTGAGTGAGGTTCCGTCTTCGTTGATGCTTGCCACAATGATAAACTCAGCCATAGTTGCATAACCAATGATGCTATCAAACTTGACACGGCTATCCTCAAAGAAGTTGTTGCTAGCCACCAATTCTATGTTGCCCTCTCCATTGCCCTTTTCGCTTTCGAAGTGCTCACAGAATATAAGCTTTTCGGACTCTTGCTGTTTCTCGGTGCGAATCCATTTGCAAGTACCGACGTAGGTAAGCAATTGATGCCACTCTTCCCCATTATCCTTGGTAAAATAGGCGACGGAATGGCACGTGGAGGGCGAATCACAATCTTTCTGACCAGTCCAGATGAGCCAACCCCGCTTGGTCGGATGAAAGTCGATAACCTGAAGGCCTTTGCGATTTGGTTTGGTCTTGACGGATGTCATCTGCTTGATGTTTTCGCCCCGGTCGAGTGTGTACCAAACTTCAGCATCCGGAGTGATGAAGTACACAGAATCCCAGAGGTGGGCGTTAGGGTAGATTGAAACGACATTGACGTCATCAAGGACCCGTTTCCATGTGGCGCCATGGTCCTTAGTAATCCATACCTCCTGTTCTTCTGTTCTCATGATAATAGTCTGAAACCATAAGTTTTTGGAAAGGCAATATGGAAAGTAGTGATAGATGACTTACTTCGTCCGATTTAGAAGCACTCTCTGCGTTCTCAAGGTAAAAGTATTCCGCAACCCGCTTTCCAGCAAAGGAAGTCTTTACATCAGTAACCCTTCCATTGGAAGGCGTTGTAGTGACTAGACTCCTGTTAGCTCTTTGCTATTGCAAACATGTGACTAGTATAGGTGATTTAGACCAACCTTCATCGCACTTCCTCTCGACCTTACCCTCAAGATTTTCCCCACCCTCGCAGTCATTACCCGGGATCTTACGATAACCGCTGGGGCCCATATAGGTATCCTCGTTCCTTTTACATTCTCCGGGGGGGATCGACAGTTTCACACCCCTAGCAGGTACACAATTATCATCCTTCCCCCCTTTCTCCCGAACATAGTTGAAATCGCACTCAAAATCATGCTTGGTGCATTCACAGACTTCCTGTTCGGGTTCTGGATCCTTATAATCTTCCCCAACGTAGCAATCTGCCCCGGGCTTCCGCCTCCAGAAATATTGTTTGTGTCCCATGAGGCAATCCGGTTTGCCCTCCTCATCCAAACGAGCATACCATTTCTCATAGTCACCGTCCTCGCTGCCCTTATCGAGTTTGCATTTGCGCTCAAAGACCCCGGAGAAATCAAGGGCAAAGACATACGGCTTCTTGTCCCTCGTAGTCCCTATCAGGGTGAACTTGAGAGTCGTGGAGTCAGGCGTAGTGGTGAGCAGTCTCGCACGGATTCTCTCATCCAGCTTAACCTCTTCCCAGTTCTTTCCGTGGTCGGTCGAATATCTCACTTTTTCAGTCATATCTTCATCATTAACAGCAACCATTACTGAGCCAGATCCCCCAATCTCGTATTTGTGAGCGTCCGTCAGGGCCTTCCCCCAAGTCAATCCCCCATCATCGGAATAGAAAAGGTCACAGTCCCTGTATTCCGCCAAATGACCCCCAAGCGATCCAACACCCATAAGGATACCCGGGGCAGGGCTGGAGTAAATACGACCGCCATCTGCCAGTGCGGTGACAGAGTACAAATTTAGCCTCTTGTCGTCAGGCCCCTTCAGCGGCACCCAAGTACCCCATTTGCCATCATCGAAGGAGATCAAAGACTGTTTCTCTTTGCGGACAGTAGGATTCTCAAGAACTCTTTCCGCATTCTTCACCACATTCGCCAAGACAATTCCCTGAATGTTGGCAACTTGCTCGAAATCGACCAATCCTTCAACCGCGCGGTTGGTATGATCCAAATTCCTCGTAAAGTATGTCCCATTTGAATTACTGGTGAATAACGATCCCATAGGATTCATTGCCCTCGTCGTAAGTACATCCACCTGGATACTGTACGGCGTAGATTCCAAAACTGTGTACGCATCCTCCCTGAGGCCGCCATGATCGTGGGGAAATTCGGCACGATGCCAGGTCTTGGTGTCGTCCGTGACATATCTGTAACACAGTAAGCGAAAGTGAAAGCATAGCACCGACAAGACCCAGGGGTAACACACAAAGCCATCTCGTCCGTGCCGCGGGTTTTTACCGCAGCCACAATGAACTTCTGGATTCCCGCAATCCCAGCCAATCCATTGATAGTTTTGTAGCCATCCAGCTTCGGTTCTTCGGAATCTTTGAACCAATTATCGGACACGAGCAGCTTCCGGCTTTCTGTGTAGGCCGTGTCGCCATTGACGATGCAGAGAACTGTTTCATCTTTCACAGCCTTGAAGATCGGGCTACCGCGAGCGAACACACATCCATGTGTGCCTTCCCTCAGCTTCTTCATTTCGCTGTCGAACCCATCTTTCGTGTAATAAGTCTATCACTCGGTGTTCATCAACAAAGGAACCCTCTCCCCGGGGGTATCGGATGCTATAGCAGCAACTCACCACTTCCTTGCAAGAAAGTCCAAAGAAATCATCTTCATCTTCGCAAATCCTGCCAGAGTAAAGTATCCATTCGGGCTGCCTGGCGTGGAATATAAGAGGTGGCTGGGTAAGCGAGAGCGGGACTTCGGATTTGAATTTGTGCCATTTCGCGCCCCGATCCTCGGTGTACCAATGCTCATTCCCTTCTCCAAATATAAAGGCCCGTTTTTTATCAAAGGGATGCTCCGTGATATCCCAGGCAGCGCCGTCGGGTACCCCCCCAACCTTGTGCCAGGACTTTCCATCGTCGTCGGATCGCCATACGTTGTTTGCGTGCGAGTCCAATGTTAATATCACCTAGTTGACCACGGCCAGTCAGTCCCAACCGCTTGAAGGACGAGCCTGGGACTCCCATTACCGGACTATCATCGAAATAGAAGAACACCGATGGTAAGTTTTCGAGCTTGGCTTTCGAAACCTCGGGAGATCTCTTCGCAAGGGCTTGCTACAAGTGACGCGATATAGATCAGTTATCAAGCTCCGATTAGAAGGATAAAAGGTAAAGCGGAGGCTTACCGTGGCCAGCCAAAAAGCCGCAAGAGCCCAAACCCTCAGCAACAGCATATTGGGCGACACGGAGTTCAACCGCCGATCACGAAACAGTGACGACTACACAGGTCCAACAGGGCCCGTAGAGGGTTTGCGGCAAGCTTGACAGAGAAAGTAAGGTTGAGCTCTGGATGGGTAAAGAGGCCAGCTTCAAAGTGGCGAGTAAAAGCAATGGATGGTGGTGATGAGTGTGTGTGGTGGGGGGGGGGGTGGATGAAGATCTAGGAGAGAGGGTTTGAGAGAAGGAGAGATATTCGAAGGGATTCGTTCGTGTCCGGGTGGAAAAAAGGCTGAGGCTGAGTGCAGTTTGGATTGGATAATGAATGTATCACACACACAAGCTCTCACTCATAGATTCGTATTTACGGTATGCAGCGATATGTACTCGAGCACTCGTACTCGTACCATCACCCCCGAGGACGCGTTGCTTCCGCCACGGTAGATTTCCAACACTCACAGCTTGCTGCATTGGATGTCGTCGCCACGGTTATGAGGAACGACCGGCGCTCATTTTCTATGAGAGATGGGCAACGAGTCAAGTTATGATATCTCATTCCCCCTCTGGGGCTGATTCGAGCAACCAGCCTGCGCCACAGGTTGTGCATATGGGGCACATAACGCGGAGTTCTACGAAGTATGATATTATACATTCGCAGCATCACCACACCACGGCCGCGGATGTAAAGATTACCCTTGAATGATACTGTACGAGCACCGGTGCTCGTATCATACCCCAAATATCACCGCTCAACCCAGGCCATGTCTACAAGGCGCCGGCGTGCTACATAGTTGCCCGCTCACCGAGAATTTTGTAGGAAACGAACGGTTATGGAACTACTTCCGTTCCGCTCAACCGGCATAGACTACCCGATCGGGTGTCGAGGACGATGAGGTACCGTGGGTTACCGGCACAGGTACAGTACTTGGCTATCATACTCATACTTGAATACGGGTGCTTGCGCTGTAGCAGATTATCACCGCCTTCCTCGGAGGAGATATCCCACCGTACGTACCGTACAAGCACTGTACTATATCATACTTGACTCGTTCGCACCATGAGCTATGATACGATACGATACGGTACGGTAACCTGCTCGACACCCCACCAAGCCCGAACCTGGCGACGCGAGAAAATCCGTAGTATGATACTGTACGAGTACGGTACCCCAACAGGCACCGACCCACAACCACCACATCCTTGGGGTGACACAATCTGACGCGAGCATTCACACAGGTCAATTAACTTACCGTAAAGGCCAGGCTACAGAAGCCATGCTAAAAAATTCTGATCGCCAGAGTCCCGCATGAAAAGCCCTGCCAAGACGGCAATTTGCATGGGATTTTCACCGGGCAACCACTCCGGCTAACCTCATTCTCAGCTGGAGGGGAAAGGGTGAATAGAAAAATAGGGGATGACAATTTTATATGTGATTCTCTTTCATCCGGTCAAGTTACTGTACTTTGCCCGAGGAGCGGAATACGGTATGTTGTGCACCTTCACGGCGGCTGGCTAACTTGAGCTTGCGCATTTTGTGTGGATTTCCACGTGGGGGGTCAGTCTCCCTTTGTCGCCAAGCTCCAACATGGCGGCTAACGTACCGTAGGCCACGGCAGGTCGAAACACACGAAACAGCCCAAGTAAAAAGTACCCTTAGTAAGCAACAGCTAGTGTACCGGTATTTGCCACTTGTTTCGTATCACCGTGTATTTCGGCTCACCGTTATGGTGGATATTGGTGAGGATGAGCGGTCATTGCGGACTCGGCGGGCTCAGTGGAATGGCATTCGTTATTATACAGTCCGATACCCCAGTCTAATGAGCATACCGTACATACCGAATTCAGCGTCTGGCACAGTACCGGTACCGGTATCGCTACAGGTCGACAGGCTTCCCCAGAATTTACTCCAATGCTGGGATCATACTACAAGCAGAGTACGGTACGGTACTCCTGCCAGCATGGGCAACCTTCCCATCTACTGTATCATACTCGAGTACTGGTACCGTAGCGGTACCGGTATTCACTCCACCCCATCCATCCATCACTCGTGCACTCCCGTGCACGATATCCACAATTGGACAAAAAAAAGTATATAAAAAGAGCGAATTATCATGCATTTTCCTTCATTCCTAAACCTTGGAGCCCTCTCTCTCCTGACACGCCTCCGGAAATACAGGTATAAGGTGATAGCGCAAAGAACTCTTCAAGCTGTGTGAAAAACAGTTACTATAGAACTTGACGAAATCGGATTAGACACTCAATCAATGCCTGCGATCACCGGCACGATGTTTTATTTTTCAATACACATATCTGGGGTGGTTCGCCGGGCGCTTCCTAGTGTCCGGCTGGCTGGCTGCCTCGGCTCGATGGGAATCTGTAGACTATATTATCACAGACCACCACAGACTAAGGGACCGGCACTCTTGGCCACTACTAGCGGAACAGCCGGGAACTAACTGGTTGCTGATTACCCATCTACCTTTTTTCCCTCTCTGGATTTGGAGTGCGATCTTCTCTTGGGGGTGGGGAGCTTTCCAAGATACTATGGTAAAGTGTCATCATCATGGGAAAGCGAAGGTGGAGTAATTGCTGTGCGGGTACAGTGTGTTGGTTGGTTAGTTACCGATACCGGTATGTGCGTTATAGTACTGTGCAGGCCACCTTGGGGGTACAGGCATGATCGGTATTATACGTAACGTGCGGTAGTGGCGGAACGCATAAGGCTATCGCCGTCGTCATCACTTGTAGCAGTACTCGAGTACTGTTGATGGGTGTCCTCATTCTGTTTGTGGCTCTTTTGAGTCTGTCCTGTCTCCTCCATTAGTAGGGGGGGCGGAGGGCGACGCGCCTTGTAAAGGTTGCCATGTGTTATCACTCGGTTCGTGATGATAATCACGGTGCAGTAATCTTTTAGTAGAGTGATCAGGCAGACGGCACGAGTGCGGTATGATGCCCGTAGAGAGACTCAATATCTGCCCCGGCTCTCCACCTCAACTACAGTACAAGTAACATGCCACACATACACTGCCCCCAATGGTATTCGCAAAGGTATAAACTGGGCTACTCAAATAAAAGAAGAAAAGAACGGACGTCAGGGAAAAAACAATAACCGTCAAGGCTTTCCGTAAAATTACGGTGGGCGGGTGGGTGCGCATGTGTGCGGTGCTATTCCTATAACAGCGTGTCAAGGTGGGGGAATATCTAAAATCCTAAACTCCAGACAAAATACAACAAGGAAAGAGAAGAAAGGGAAGATATGAAAGAACTCTACAAATAAGAGAAAATCAAGAGTAAAAAAAGGGGAAATTTATGTGACCAAATGGGGGACGGGTATATACAATGCCCTTCACTTTTCTTCCTCTTCCGCCTTTTGGTTCTAGAGTTCGGTTCGGGGATCATTCAGGTCGGCCCATGTGTATAGTCCGTCTCGCACTGGCCTTCCCATGAGCATGTCGAATCGTTGGGCGACCTCTGAGTATGCGATTATGAATCTAGTGAAGAGTTAGCAGCTATAACGAAATTCGAACAGAGATGTGTGGGCTTACACGTATCTGGGGACGTTGTACCAGCTCTTGATGACAAACAAGAATGTCTTCCAGACGAGGTCGACCTCTTGCCAGAATTCTTCGCCCAAAGTTTGATCTTTGGGGGGTTCATCCCGCTTCTCTTCTTCGAGAGCACGAGGCGCATCCTTGGTCTTCTCAACATTCTTCTTTTCCTTCTCCTTAGGCTCGCCTTTTGGAGGCATTGTCTCCTCCTCTTCCGGGGCCTTCGTGGATTTCTTGCCGTCTGCTTCATCCTTCTCATTCAGCATTCGGCTGAATCCTTCCAGTGCGCGCAATGAGTGCGATACCCTGCCGAAAGTATTGAACAGCGCGACCATTTCTGTTCTCCGTAGGACCGGGTTGCCATCGGCATTCTTGCTCTCATCGAACTCAAAGAGGATTTTCAAAGCGGTTCCGTATCCTTGAGTCTGGACCTTTCCCCAGAGCCGACACTTGTCACATCCGACGCAGTCCATCAACCGACTGACATTTCTAAAGCGGTTTCTAAACTCCTCTTTTAGTCCAACCATTTCATCTCTAAACATCAACGACTCGTCAAAGATCTGTGGAGCGGTGGAAGCGGCGGTATTGGCCAGCTTGACGACTTTGGATTTGGTAATGCGATTCTGATAGTAGTCGCCCGAGCAGAAGGTATAGGTCGGTAGATAATTCCTGAGCTTTCCGATGGCGCGGGCCAGCAGTGCGTAGTTGAAATAGATGTTCTGGAGACGCTCAGGGTAGTTTTCGAAGCGACTGATGAAGCAGCTGAGATTCGGTGACTGGGGTCGGATGTTAGCTCAATTTTTACCCTAGGAATTGAAGATTTAACTCACCCATTCCCCAGTGGACTGGTTAAGGTAGTCCCAGCAAAGGTGCATCGAAATACTGGCGTGCATCCCAGAGATAACTCTGTGGAAGACCCGCTTCTCCAGGCACTCATCGTCAACCTCCAGATTATTAAGATCGAGCTTCCCTTTGTGCTGCATAACATTCACAAATCCCATAGCAGCTTGGCTTCCCGGGGGTGCGAATCCCTGAAATCCATTCCCACCAGCCCCCATGACCCCCCCGGCAGAAGCGAGCGAGCTCTCCCCGCGTGGTTTCGAAAAGCAGTTCTCCCTATAGATCGCCTTCCAAACGTTCGCCGCACCAGCTCCCGCGTACCCAGTGAATCTCTCTGGATTCTCTGTCAAACTGACGTAATCGCCCTTCCCGCCAGCTGACTCATCCTCAGGTAGACAGTAATCCCTCTCATCGCATTCGTCCTCCTCAACTACACAGCTCTCCTCGGTCTCCTCGCCCAATGCACCAGCCAATGGAGATGGCTCGTCCGGCTGTCTGGTCGCTGGGTGACTCGCTTTAGGACCCGCCAACTTTCCAAGCTCTCCCGCTCGCCATATTGGGGGGATATCCTTCTCATCAATTGTCGTTACAGCACATGCGATGTTGCCGCACATTCCTTCGTCGTCAGACCAGAATGGGCACGTTCGGCCAAAAAGATCGAGCCGGTAATAGCCAAAGTAGTCCGTCTCTTGGGTTATGTCGTTAACAAGTGGGTAAAGCTTCTCGTTCAATTCCTCAATCGTCGAATAAGACGCACATCCATCGGGTACCAGCTCATTAGGCTTATTCTGTAATGATGGAACAATCAGCAAGCCGGTGCAAAGCAAAAGGGATCGGGGTGATAACCTACAGGGCAGATTGAGCGCTTTGCATCTACAATTGTAGATACGGATATGATTAGCGCGGCAAACAGCTGCTGCGGATGCTTTACACGCATTATTTTTGGTGTGCTGCGCCGAAGGTTGCGCAGGACGCAAATGCCGGATGGCGAAGATGTAACAGTAGAGAATAGTCCTGGGGAAAACACTCTAGGCGGAAAGGGCACGGTCTATCGACACCTTAGAAGGAGGGATAAGAGAAGTGAGAAAGCGAATGTATGATATGCAGAGAATAGGTTAGGTTAAAGGGAGCGTAGGTTGAGGAAAGGCCAGATATACTGGGGGGGTTTGGTCAGCCAAGGGTCGGAAGACAAATCGAACGAGTCGTAGGGCTGTAACGATCGAACGACAAACGGGGTGGGATGAGCGACGCGAAAAGGTCGAACCATCGACTCAGAAGCCGTGCCGCTACAGGATTCAAAGCGGTTTCAAAGTTGATCCTGTTCGCGTCTGTCAGTACGGTACTGGTATCCTTCTAGTCTTGCCCCACGGTGCGAGTACAGGTATCATTCTTCCCTTTAATCCCATTCTTCACCCCTTTCGCTTCACTCTTATATGTAAGCCGAAGGCCACGGTGTCACAGTTCGGGGGGGGGGGGGTGAAACGAGGGGATGACCAAGGACGATAAAGTCAACACCGGGCAACCCCAGACATTGTGGCAATTTCCGGAATCCATTCGACAACTCCCGCCGTAGGGACATGATGCTTGTCGGTGCAAACCCGGAATCGGAACACGGGATGTGGGTTATAGGCCGAACTGCAGTTTCTCCGATGAGATTCCCATCGCGTTTGATACGGGATGTCTCTCCGCATCATGACATATCATAAAAAGGGTCGATCAATAGAGAGAGGGAGACTCCATTTCCCTTCGTTTCGGTAGTGTTCTCCCAATTCCTTGGCTGCATCCATTGCAAAGCACGGGTACCGTATCCGGTACGAACCGTGATACGATGTCCTAGAACAAAAAAAAAAATTTGTATGGCAAATTACCAATTCACATCTAAACACCGACATTGAACTCACTCAAATGATCTGGTAGACTATAGCACAGTACTCGAGTACTCTGGGCTGGCTGATACCTGTGCTGTACAGTACCCGTACAGCACGGGTCTAGGACTGCCTGTGGATTTTAGCGGTTGGCAACGCGGCTCCACGAAATGTGGCGATTGCCACCACCGAACTATGAATGTACTCGTACTCGTACTGTACCGCAGAGTACTGTAGAGAGTACGGTACGTACGAGCATACCCAGGCTGCTCTCATCTTACTGAAGAATTACAAAAACCGGTTGACCAACTTTCTGCTTATTTGTAGGCATCAATTAGAGCAAGACTAGAATAGCTAGACTAAGTTACATATGACGAGCCCTAAGCTCGCGAAACACCTAAAAAATAAGCTCCCATGCATGTCCATAAAACCTATCGAGCTCAGAAATACAAGAAACACCAGCAGATGAAAAGAAAATAGATGAGAACAGAGTGAAATCTAGGCAACCTTTTGTCTCTTGAACCCGGGCCCGGTGAATCCATTACCTCGCAACTTCTTCCTTTCCAACTCCTCCTTCATGATTCTCTCCGCTTCACTCATAGGCCGCTTTGGCTGTTCTGAAGCTCCATCCTTCCCATCTTTGTCCTTCTTACCCTCCTTCCTCCTCTTGCCTGCAGTCGCAAACACATTTTTAGGCTTGTTCAGGGCCATTTTAATGGGCACCTTTCCTTTGGTATCGGGCTTGACCTCTTCGACCGGGGTATCTTTGCTCGAATATTCGGCTGGTGTGGGTGATGCAGATTTCTTCGCACTCAAAGCTAACTTGATCCTCTCACCCTCTTCTCGATTCAACTCGTTCGGGGCACCATGATTCCCGAGCTTTCCACCCATCTCCGCACCCCTATTTGCACGCTCAATCATTTCCTTCAGTGCCTTCTGCTCTCGCTCCTCATCGCCACGGTCCTGTCGTTCCTTCTTCCGAATAGCCTCTTGCCTCTGCAGCGCCTCCGGAGAATTATCTACCCAGCTGACCATCAGCCCCCTCTCGCCCTCCTCAACTCTGCAAATGCCCTCACGCCCAAGAAATTTGATAAATTCCGAGAGACTCGTCCATCGCGTAGCATTCATATGAATGTGTTCCTTGTTCGCAATGTATTCCTGATAAAAGTGATTCGCGTTGATTTTTTTTTCGCCGTGCGAGGTGCGCAGGAGCAGCAAAAAGTCCCGCTGGAACTGGATGGAGTAATCGGCGATGTGCTTTTTCGCATTCTCGCCTACCACGAGCATTTGTCTGACGTGGGATTCGGACTGTGTGTGGCATTTGAAGCCGTTTTCGTCGCGGCATTGTTTTTCGCAGACCTGGCGATGCGAGGGATTAGCAATGGCCATCGCGAAGGGGTTGTGGGAAGCGGGTAGGGACTGACCTGACAGTACCAGCGCAGTCGCTGAAGCCCCTTGGACTTCATGCGGTTGCTGAGGTACTTTGTTGATCCAACTTCGGCCTTGGGCATTCTGGCTGCGGTGTTCGTTTTGAGCTGGTTGTGGGAGGTTGCAATCAGGTGGAAGGCATTTGACCCGAAGTTTTGTTTGCCGCCACACAATAAGCAGGCTTTGTCACGGTGGATTTACCTTTTTCCGAGACAGGGATCTTTTGGAGTTCTCCAAAAGCTCCCCCTGAACACTGCACCAGTACTGTACAAGCACTGTATATATAGGAAAGGATCAATCGCCCTGACAAATGCACCAAAAAATCTTTCCTCCAGGGGGGTATGTATGATAAATACAAAAAGAACAATGCGGATGAGATCAGTAAAGCACCAACACAGCGCTTGTCCGACGAAGGATGCCCCCTCGTCCCTCCAGCGCGAAACCCCTCGATTCTTTTCTCCACGATATCACTACGCTGAAAACGGCGCTTCAGTTGTCCAACTAATTATGGCAGCCCACATTTTTACAGCTACTGTAAGTCTACTGTACCGCCTCGCAGCGGTCCTCCGCCCCATCTTCCCATTGCAGTCAAGCTCTGCCGTGCGGTAGGTGTGATTGACGGCTATGGGTCTCGCTAAGGTTTCCCATTATGAGATGTGCATGTATGATATTGATATCTAGAGAGGCCCACGGCTAGCACAAGTATTGGCGAGGGCACATGTAATTGGGATTTCATGCGCTGGAGAGGACGGCTTCTCCCTCGTAGAAATCTACGAGTAGACTAGCTACAGTACGGTACTCGTACGGTAGTCTACTGCCCAGGAACCGCCGTAGCCATAGCACTTGTACGATAAATCTTTTGGATTGCGATCGTCCGGGACAGCGAGTAGCGACAGTACGGTATCCCGGGCGAGAGGAGCACCGGCTAGAGGCGGGGAATGAGGGGAAAGACAAGCAAGATGCCGGGGGCTCCAGTGTGGAGATCAGTCTTTGATCAGCAGCCATCGCGAAGCCGTACCGTACCATAACTGGAGGCTGGTGTTTACCATAATCCCATGCTCCTGGGTGTTGGCAGATCGGTCATTAAGCATCCCTCCCTGACAAAGCAAGGTACCGGTACGGTGCCGTGCTCTGCTGCCTTTTTGCATCACACGGGATTCACACCTACCTGTACGAGTACGAGTGCCGGCATAAATTATCTCTACTACGGTAGGGCACGAACAGTATGCTTACGGTAAGTTACCACTCGATGCGATACGATACTCGAGTACAGTACACTACGGTACTGCACGGTAAATTACCGTAAACATACCAGGTGCCATTAACCGATCGTCATGAAAAAGCTCAGAGCCTACGCCTGACTTCATTGCCAAGAATGCCCACGGTACTCGAGTACAGTACTCGTACATTAAACTCATAGGATGGAGAATCAGATTACCTGATATCAGGATTTCAAACGTCACAAATGCCGTCTCCCGGTATTCTCCCTTCCTGGTGTAATTTACCGTATTTTTCGAACACTACGGAGAGCCGGAGACTCAATGGTGGCGAGCGGCGAAACACGGACGTGGGTAAGGACAAAGGGAGCGAAACTGAACCTGGATACCATCACAAGCATTGTACGATAGGCAATCCAGTGCAGATTGTCTTTCATCCCTCCCCTTTGGGTGCTTTCTCGCCAATTGGGATTACATCTTGACCAGTACCCTTGTGGGGATCCTTAGTCATACGGCCCAGAGTGGGACAAGTATCGTACCCGTACCGATGGACCATGGGCTCGAATTAGGGGCATCCTGCTCGGGAGTTGGGAAAGGGTTTATGCGAGTCGAAGGACTTTGGTGTGTGTAATAATGCCCTTTTTGCGTGCAAATCTAACAAATCCACTCGAAACTTGGCACTCGACTTTGGGCTGAATCCCTCTTGTCGAGTGCAGGGAACACGGGAACTCCATTTCCGGGAGGTGACCCGTGGCGGTGGATAGGAGTTCTCAGGTCAATTCAGTTGAAAGCTCAGGCTCCCCCGAGAATTTTCCAAAGTTCACCAAATAGTCCGCCAAAGGTCCTCACCATCGCATCTCCTCTTCCATTGCTCTGCTGTGGTTGGGCTCTTCTCAGGATCGGCCGGACGCGCGGGGATTTATTTTTTCCTTCTTGTTCCTGAATAGCAAACACCTTGGTCTACAGCTGTACCGGTACCTTTGCGGTTGGGGGAAACATCCTTGGTTTACTGATACGAGTGCAGCAACTGAAGGGTCCACCATGTCCAACAGCAAGACTTCCCCGCAGATTTCGTCCCATTCACACTCGCACTCCCATCCGCACCCCCATTCCCATTCTCACGACTCTCATGATCACGACCATGACCACGATCGCGAAGACACACTTACGCATTCTCACTCCCACTCGCCGCCTACCGCCAATGGCCATTCCCTCCCCCACTCGCACTCTCGCACTCAGAATGGATACGCTTTCCCCTCAGCGTCCCAAATTACAGCCCCAAGATATATTGCCCCAATAGCTGCCTCGGGGGCAGCCTTAAGCACTAGCTTTGCTTCATCCGCGAGGTAAAATTTCTCTCCTCAGTTGGCGAAGATTGGCACTAAACACCCCAACCCGCTTTGCAGTGAACAAACCGTCTCTCCCGTAGATTTCGTAACGCCTCTCGCTATTGTTGCGAGTTTTATTTTCGCTGAATTATCCAAAACTTCGCCGACTTTCTCCGACCAAAAAGCACTCGGAGGCCTCCAAGGTTCTGCATCGAATGCATTGGATACACCTTTGGAAACGTTGCACCCGTTTTTGTCAGTGTTCACTAGTTTCTCGTCAGCGTCCGCACTCGCGGCTGGGCCCTTAGTTCTCCTTGGGGCATTTGGGAAAGCTCAACAGCTGCTTTGTGACGGGGGGATTGGGGGTGGGGGGGCAGGTGGAGGCGGGGGCGGGGGAAGGATTTACCCAAAGAGGGGAGGAGAACAGATTAGTGCTCTGGATGTTGCCGAAAAGGCAGCGAGTATCATGGTTCCATACTATGCTGTTCTGGAATTGGGTGCTGTTAGAACTGCGTCAGTGGTTATGGGGGCCTCAGCCGGTGGTCTAATAATGGCGGGGCGTGATGGGGGATGGAGAAGGTTGGTCCGAAGAAAAAGGGCCCTTTTGGGAGCTCTCGCAGCTACCGTTTGTTGGGACTTATATAGGGGTAGTTATTCCGATAACGGTTTATCCCGAGGGGACCTTGACTTTGCGAGTGAGTGCTAACATTTCCGGTAGGATCTTTGCCTTGTTTATTTGCTTATACGTTATTAATATCTTCAATCCTTTTCCTTCAATCCCCCTATCCTCTACCGCCCCCGTCGGCCGCGCACACTCCGGTTTCCACCAAACCCACTTCCCAAACTTCCTTTCCGAGGCTCTCCCGAAATCCTTCTACATTGATGACTTCCACGTTGTCTACTCTCGCTAGCCCCCCCCCTCCATACCAAAGCAAGCTCTTATCAATATCAGGAGGTATTCTCATGATCCTACCCCTGATAACATGGGTGGCAAATGCTGGGTCACCTAAAGGCGCAAGTAAGCATTTGAACGTCCATGGTAACCATTGGGTGATTTGGTGGCTTTGTTCGACATTTGCAGGAGCTGGCGCCCTAGTTTTTGGGAAAGGTGTAAGGGAAGCGGGGCTCGGTGCCGGAGTTGCCTTAGCTGCGCTTTCTGGGTGGGGTAGTGGGCTTATTGACGGATGGGGGTTTCCGTTAGTCGATGCTGGACTGGGCGCTGGTGTTTGGGCAGGTCTGTTAACCCCTTTGCCCTGTTTGCACCGGTAATGTTGCTTATGTATGCATGATGCCCGCAATTGCAGCGATTAAAATAGACAAAGCAGCTCACGACCATCATCGGCGCCACTATCACGATCATCCCTATGAGCACGAAAAGGGTCATGCACATCCAAAGGAGATCAAAGGTCCTTCAAGTATCACAAAAGCCTTACTGAACATGACAGAAGGGGTTCCTTTGGTTCACAGTATACTGATCGAGAAGGATTCAAGGAGAATTGGATACTTTATGTGGCAAGTATGAAGTGTAACTGCTGTTCAAAAGACTTGCTAACTTTAATAGTTTGAATTTCGCATTCATGATCGTTCAAACGTGTTACGGCTTTATGACTGGGTCTTTGGGCCTTATATCTGATAGTGTCCATATGTTTTTTGATTGCCTGGCCCTTGCAGTCGGACTTTGTGCAGCCGTCATGAGTAAGTGGCCGCCGAGTATGAGGTATCCATATGGATTAGGAAAAATGGATACGCTCGCCGGGTTTGCCAACGGAATTTTCCTAATGTAAGAACTAGCCCCAGAAGCCTCCCGTGGTATCTTGCTTATATTTGCCTGTTCCTACGGTATAGGTTGATTAGTGTTGAGATCGTGTGGGAAGCCATTGAACGCTTGAAAGAGCCTACCGAGATGGCGCGACTTGGTGAACTAATGGTTGTGAGCTCTATGGGACTAGCAATAAATCTCGTTGGTAAGCGACAGTTACTCATTCTTAAGAAGCCTATTCTGAGATGTGGAATCTAGGCATTATGGCATTTGACCACGCACATCATGGACATGGCCACTCGCATAGCCATTCTCATGGGCATAGCCATGCGCATGAGGATAGTCACAATCACTCCCACGACCACGGTAATCACCACCACAGCCATGACGGAGAGCCACCGGCAAACACCCATAAAGACCATGCCCACGCACACAACAGCGAGAATATGCACGGTATATTCTTGCACATCTTGGCCGATACCCTTGGATCTGTATCTGTGGTGATTAGTACGGGCCTGATTCACTACAGCGGATGGACCGGATTTGATCCACTTGCCTCCGTATTCATCGCTGTTCTCATTTTTGTATCGGCAATTCCCTTGGTAAAATCGTCCGCCAGCAACCTCCTTTTGACAGTTCCCGACAACCCCGAGTACGCTCTTAGGGAGACTATTGCTGATGTGGGCGGGCTGAAAGGTGTTCAGGGATATACGGTTCCCAGATTCTGGGAAGTTGAGGGTGCGATCAGAGGTGTCGTGCACGTTCAAGTCGCCAGAGGTACTGATTCGGATGAAATCAGACGAAGAGTGGAAGAGTTGATTGGAAACGGTCTTGGAAAGACTGCGGAGGTTGTTGTTGTTGTCGAAAGTGGAGATGGTGGTAGCCGTTGCTGGTGTGTCGGGGCACAGTGATAGAGCTTCGTGGCTCGCGGGGGACGGGTGCCTTTCTTGCGATTCTTCTGCCAAGTGCTTTCTCGCGAGAGCTAGCCTGCGGGGGTAATTGAAGCTATGCGACCTAACACGAGTAGAGTTAGCACTAGTGTGGGGGCACTGTATTAAAATTATATATAGTATCCGGCTCAAACTAGCATCGTACAAATTAGACCGACTTATTATAGGGCTGATGTGCGGGCAAACTCTAGAGCTGTGATTTGGATACCCGCTTCCTGGATCTCTACTAGCTAATCACTAGCCCACTTGTAGTGATAAGGTTCGCGGATGTCTGGGAGGACTTCCCCGGGGGACAGCGACAGTAGTGTTGTTCTTTCCACGAGTGATAGATAGTGACTCAATCCCGCAGTCTCGGAACACGCAATAGTTTCACATTCGGTGGCTATACGAGTAGAGCTCCGGAGCGCGGTCACGTTTGTTACGTGCAAGAGTTCTTATCATCAAGAAGCCCAATCTTCTAGCTGAGTTGAATCATGCCCGTTCAATTCGGGATGTGCGCTGGCCTGGCTTGCTGTGCTTGTATCACCACAACACTTTACACGATAGCCGATCTATCGGGCAAGATCCGAATATCATGTTACCGGTCATCGGATCTCGTCCCTAACAAAGCGAGTTTTGTCGCATAAAAAAGTGATTGTGATGGTCCCCCTGTGTCCAGCGCAACCCGTCCTATGAGAGGGCGCGCTCAGAAATGCGAGCTGCGCTATCGCTGAGGGGTATGCTGGTTCTTTTTTCCTTTCTTTTTCTTTTTCTGACCCGATGACACCCGAGAGTTGCTCTACAAAATTAATCTTAGTTATGATACAGATGTGTTAGGCTTAAAAGCCTATAGTAGGGATGTCGGAGAAGGCGGTGATTAGATGCAAAATATGTGATTTTGCGAGTGATGTCAGGTGACGACAGGTGCTGCTTGCCCTCGCTTGTTTCTTGCTGCAGCGGGGATCCTTGCAGCCTGGAAGTAGCCAACCGCAACCCACCTTGCCCCCCATTCTCCATCTCGCATCCAATGGTCAATGTAAACTTAAGCCTCAAACCCTAGCAGACCCTCCCTAAAAACGCCCAAGTCTTTTAAAAACCCCCCCCACCCCGCCCTCACACCTCTGCATAATAGCAAGAAAATTAAATATCGATAGCCCCAACGCCAGCAACAATGTCCTCGCTGGAAGGAGAGCTCCCAGACGTAAGAGCATCAGAGCTCGCCACAAAATCACTCGAGTACTTGCGATCCGGCCATCAAGATGTAAGCCGTTTCTATTCCTTCAATAGCGGTTGCTTACAATGCTTTTTCAGCTCTAATATGCCATTGAAATGAAATTAGGATGCCGTCAGATCTCTTCGTGAGGCTCTATCCCTCGCTCCGAAAAACGAGACTGTCCTCGCTGCCTTCCACAGCTTCCAGAAGGACCAGGCTGTTTGTCCCTTGTCAAAGCTTTGTCAGAAGTTGGTTGTCGAGAGTGATGTGGCTGCTGGCGAGGATGCGCTACGTTTGCTCGGGGACCCAAGCTTGAATTTTCATACCGCGACGGCTACAGAAGGTATCGAGCTGTTATTGGCGCATGCGAAAAATATCCCTTTGCCCATCGGCGGGAAGGTTCTGAGCGGGATATTGCGTTCCAGCAGGGGTGGAAGAGAACACATGGCGGACTCTCTCGATGAAAATACAAAGGGGATGTTTGGGACGCTTGCAGAGATCGGAGGAGAAGCTATTGATGGGTTGGTGGTGACTTTGCTCGATCCTGCTGCGTGGGAATCGGAGGCAAAGAACAAGAAGTCGATAAAGGATTGTTTCAAGTTGTTTTTGGAAACACTCAATACTGGATCTGGCGAGATCGAGGCGTGGTCTACTCGTTCTATTTCCAGGCTGTTGGCCACACATGCTACGGAGCTTCACTCGTTTATTGGCCAGGCCTCGCTGGAGCGAATCCTTTCCATGCTCGACATTCGATCTCCCGATGACTTGCGCTCTCATGCTACACTTGCCGCTGCCAGATTCGTTGAAACGGATGAGAACACTGCAGGCAGTATGTTGGGCAATTTCCTTTCCTCGCGGCTCGCTGCCGACTCGGATGACGATTTGCAGATTGCGTTCTCTGCTGCTGCCGCTATTTTCCCGCTCGTGCCGAAGGTTGCCGCGGGGTTGCTCTTGACCGAAGGATTTGTGGAGGGACTCGTGCCATCCCTTCAGGGACGGCCTTCGGAGGTTGAGCAGGCGGTTTTGGAGATGATGAGTGCCGCTTGTGTCGATAAGGCCTGTCGTGCTGCGATCGCTATACATTGCGAGGCATATCTTGAAACCGTTATTCGAGGTGATGAAAACTTCAAAGGCATTGCATCTACGGTTTTGGCAAAAGTTCGTTATGGAAACGAGGATCCTGAAGTTGCACCGAAGGGCATCGCCGAGCTTGCTGCTGTATTCCGGGAGATGATGCTTAAGGACGATGTCGGATCAAGGAATTCGGCTATGGAAGGACTGGCCTATGTTACCATGAAGCCATCTGTCAAGGAGTCACTGGTAAAGGATAAGGAATTTTTGCAAAGGATTTTGGAGACTCTGAAGGATTCGGTCGGGAGGTCAACCGTCATGTACGGAGGCCTCACAGTGGTAGCCAACCTCACGGGCTATTTGCCATCATTATCGGAGGAACAGAAGAGAGTTGCTCAACTAAGGAATTACGCAAATTCCGCGCCGCAGGCTAACCTCGAGCCCGACCCGGCGGATAAAGATGAAAAGGTTACGATGAGATGCAAAGTCCTTTTGGAGGCAGGAGTCGTCCCTGTCCTGGTAGCTTGCAGTAAGAGGGTATCCCCCGGCGCTGTCGCCATTATCTCTAGTGTATTTCTGTCACTTTCAAAGAATCAGAAGCATCGGGGGCTAGTGGCTCAGCAAGGGGGTGTTAGGTTACTATTGCAGTTCCACGCATCAGTCACCGGTGACTCGGAACAGGATCGGAAGGTTAGACTGTCGTCGTCTCACGCATTGGCCCGGGTCTTGGTTTCTACAAATCCATCCCATGTTTTCGGGTCGCAGCTGCCTATCGCTTCAGCTGTGAGGCCACTTCTCGCCCTACTCGAAACCAGCGAAGAACATAACGATCTGCTACCTGTTTTTGAATCCCTTCTCGCTCTCACTAATCTCGCTTCGACCGATGATTCAACGCGGGATTTGATTATCCGTATTGGGTGGTCTAACATTGAGGAAACGTTGCTTTCAAACAACATCATGGTTCAAAGAGCCACAATGGAACTGCTATGCAACCTCATGGCTTCCCCTACAGGGGTTGCTAAGTTTGCTGATGGATCTAAAGCTGCGAGCAACCGGCTCCACGTGCTACTTGCGCTTGCGGACGCGGAGGATTTGGCGACTCGGAGGGCTGCAGGTGGAGCATTAGCTATGCTGACAGAATGGGACAAGGCCTGTGAGGCCATCGTGAGAAGGGAGAAAGGTCTGGACATCCTCCTCGGGATGGCTGTTGAGGAAAACGAGGAAATGAGGCATAGGGGTGTTGCTTGTGTTAGGAACTTGGTCTGTCAAAAGCTAGAGTATGCAGAAAGATTCCGGAGAAAGGGTGCGATCGATCTGATCAGGGACTCCCTTCGTGGGACTCGAAACCCCGAGGTCCTACAAGTTGGCGTGGAAGCGTTGAAAGCACTTATGGAAGGGTAAATTATTTTTTCTATTGTCCTCTGTTTTTCCCTCTTATCATAGATTTTTTTTTTTGTTACTCGATGGTTGGGGCTCGGGAGCGGATTAGATTGTGGGTGGCTTTAGATTGTTGGGGCTGCATTAAGCGGAGAGGGGGCATGTGGTTTTGCGGAAGTTCCGTTTGCTTGTTTTTTCTCTTCATTTCTTGATATGATATGACGCCCTTTCCCATTTGCTCTTAGCATACTTTGCAGTTGGGGACACTTGTTTGTGCTGTATGGAATGGTTATGGGTACGGACAGCTGTGATGGAGGTGAGAGGGGTTTGTCTTCGCTCTCAATACTATACCGTATTATCGTCTCGGTCAAATCCAAAATCGATACCCCAGTTCCTCTCTTGATATTGTAAAAAAGCTGCGTAGCCCCGGATCGGCTCTCAGCTCGAGATACCGATACATCATAACGACGGCATTTGGTGTAGTGCCGGTAGTAAGGGTACTGGGTATCTGTCCAATAGCATCGACTCATAGCACATCACTCCCGCCAAGACCCTTACATAAAACAGGTGTGTTTTGCAGCCGGCCCGTGTCTTCGCACAGGAAAATGTCACCACCCGGGGAGACTACGGTAGCTACCGTATCGTACCTAGAGTTTTCAGCGTTAGACTCTTAAGCCTCAGGGTTCGAGCCCAATAAACATAACTCCGCAGTTACCACCCCCCCCACCGCCACCACTATCCTCCAGGGGCTCCAACCGCGGTTATTACCACCATCACCTCTTATCCCAACTCTCAACCTCCTGACGCAATGGAAGAAGGAGAACTTCCTACATTACCTACCCCCCAGAGAATTTCCGTGGCAATCAATCCCATCGCCCTAGTCACTACAGAATGCATTTCCGTCACCTCCGCCATGCGCAAGAATGCGAGGTGGGCCCAGAGCTCCGTGTCCGTCATCCTGGGGGGCGGAGGGGGTAATGTTGTCCCTGGAGGGTCTGGGAGTGGGACTGGGAGCGGGCTAAGCACCCCCGTTCCCGGGAGCCCAGCTAGGGGGTTGCAGAGACGGAAATTGGGCGGCGAGGAGGTGGGGCTGGATATGGGGCTGACGAGTAGGTGGGGATTGAGGGGGAAGAGGGGGAAGAGCATTCAGGTTGGTGCATCCTGGCCTGATCATTGGGGAAGGGGGCGAATTGACTTTTTATTTTCTTCTTTCCCATCGTCTAGGATAACCCCCTCATGGCGGCCTTCGCGAAATTGAGGAGCGATTTACAGGATTGTAAAGGTAATGGAAGCTTCAGTTTGACTTTTGGATGGCATTAGCAGGATTGACATTTAGGGGGAGGGAGATGTCTAGATGTTAGGGAATTCGATACTCCTTCACTTCTACATCCCTTTTTACAGGTTATCCGGTCCTCGTCAACGTCAGGGCCCATCACCTCACTTGCTCTAATTGCCGTAACAAAGTTCTTCGCATATGGTTTGATCAGCCGCAACTCTCCCCGACTCTCGCTAGCCATGCAGCTCCTGTCCTCGGCAATCACCCACTGCCGCTTCGAAGCTTCCGATTCAGCCCAAGACGAGGTCGTTTTGCTACGGATTTTGAAACTTATGGAGATGATGATTTCGGGACCGGGGGGGGAGCTTCTCGGCGACGAGAGCGTCTGCGAAATGATGGAGACCGGACTGAGCATGTGTTGCCAGATGCGGCTATCCGAGATGCTGAGACGATCAGCCGAGATGTCCATGGTGTTTATGTGCCAAGTTGTGTTTGAGCGACTGAAACACTTGGAGATCGAGGCGGATGTCCTTGGCGGTGACCTGGAAGAGAGCTCGAAAGGCGAGATGGAGAGCGTTAAGATGGAACCTTCAGTGAATGGTGATAGTTCTTCGCAAGGGAGTGAACCTAGATCTTCGCAATCTTCGGAAAAAAGTAGGGATGCACCCACACCCTCAATTGCGCCTGCGGGGGCTACTGGGGGGGATCAGGTTGCTGTCGCCGAGGTCGCGGTGGGGGAGCAGGAGGTTAAGCCTTACTCTCTGCCATCAATACGGGAGCTGTTGAGGGTGCTGGTGGAACTGCTAGATCCACATAATAAGACTCACACGGACACTATGAGGGTAATGGCAATGAGAATAATTGATGTTGCGTTCGAGGTTGCTGGGCCTTCTATTGCTAAACACCCTAGCCTTGCAAGCCTGGCGAAGGATGATCTTTGCAGATATCTCTTTCAGCTGGTGAGGTCGGATACTATGACTATACTCCAAGAGTCCTTGAGGGTTACTGGAACCTTGTTGGCTACCACTAGAGGCGTACTGAAGCTACAGCAAGAGCTCTTTTTGTCATATGTTATCGCTTGCCTACACCCTAAAATTGATATTCCGAGAGAGCCGGGGATAGATCCAATGCTCTATGAGGGGGTCTACCAAGCACCCAGCAGCGGCAGATCCACACCGGTACCTGTGAAAGAAAGACAGAAGCTTGGCATGGAGGGAGGGTCTAGGAGACCTGACGCTAGGGAGGCTATGGTCGAGAGCGTGGGAGCTTTGGCTAGGATACCAAGCTTCATGCTGGAGCTATACGTCAACTATGACTGCGAGGTCGACAGAAGTGATCTTTGTGAGGATGTTGTTGGTTTCCTATCTAGGGTAGGACATGTCTTTTAATGAGAGAACGAAGATCTCTTTTTTATTGACTATTTATGTAGAATGCTTTCCCCGACTCTGCAACCTGGAGCACGACGAATGTCCCCCCACTTTGTCTGGACGCCTTGCTCGGTTATATTGGTTTTATCTCGGAACGTCTCAGCAGTGAGCCGGTAACAGAGGGGTACCCCGATCCGGAAAAGCTTCAGAAACAGCGGGCACGAAAACAGCTCATCATCAATGGAGCCAACAAGTTCAATGAAGATCCTAAAAAGGGAATTCAGTATCTTGTCGCAGAAAATATCATTGACAGGGCTGACAACCCTGACTCAATTGCTCGATTCCTCAAAGGCACATCACGGATAAACAAGAAATTGCTTGGAGAGTACCTTTCTAAGAAGTCTAACATGGACATCCTCACAGTTTTTATGGAAATGTTCGACTTTTCTGGTAAACGTGTCGATGAGGCATTGAGAGACATGCTTGAGACATTCCGTTTACCCGGCGAATCTGCGTTGATCGAACGTATCGTCACTGTCTTCTCGGAGAAGTACTGCTCTGGTGTCAAGCCAGATGATGTCGAGGACAAGGACGCGGTTTTTGTTTTGAGTTACGCTATCATTATGCTTAATACAGATCAGCATAACCCTAATTTAAAGGTTAGCCAAGCAGTTGATCGTTAGAAAGTGGAGGGAACCGATTGCTGACGCAACACAGTCCCAAGCACGGATGAAATATGAGGATTTTGCACGGAATCTCAGAGGCGTCAATGGCGGCAAGAACTTTGAACCTGCCTACCTGCAAGCCATTTTTGATACTATCAAGAACAATGAGATTATCCTGCCGGAGGAGCACGACAATAAGCATGCGTTCGACTATGCTTGGAGAGAGCTGCTGCTCAAAACAATGACGGCAGGAGACTTGGTGATTTGCGATACTAATATCTACGATGCAGACATGTTTGCAGCTACCTGGAAACCTATAATCGCAACACTCAGCTATGTGTTCCTGTCTGCTACTGATGATGCCGTGTTCTCAAGGGTCATCGCTGGGTTTGATCAGTGCGCTAGGATCGCTGCGAAATATGGGTTGACTGAAGCTCTGGATCATATAGTTCGCTGCTTGAGCACTATCAGCACCCTTTCGACTGAAACGCCTCCCAGTACCGCACTCAACACTGAAATTCAGGTCAATAACAACAGTGTCATGGTGTCAGAGTTGGCGGTGAAATTCGGAAGGGATTTCAAGGCACAGTTGGCAACAGTTGTTTTGTTTAGGGTCGTTACAGGCAGTGAGAAGGTTTTGAGTGAGGGATGGAAACAGGTTTGTCAATCCGGCATCCGTTACCATAGCTTGCTTTCTAATTGTGATCCAGATCGTCCGCATTTGGCTAAATCTGTTTGTGAACTCCTTGATTCCACCATTCTTTTCTCAGTCGGAGAGTGGATTGGATATTCCTCCAATCCCATTACAAACGCCCTCAGTCGTCATAGAGAGAAGCCAGACTTCGAAGGAAGCTGGCCTCTTCTCAGCGCTCTCCTCATACCTTTCTAGTTACGCAAGTGACGAGCCTCCAGAACCTTCGGATGAAGAGTTGGACAGCACATTGTGTACCGTGGATTGTATCAATGCGTGCTATCTTGGAGACATATTCGTAAATATAATGTATAACACCTGTCGGACCCTCCTGAGGTTTATTATTGACGTGCCGCAGGCAACTCGATGCGACAAACTTGGGATCTTTAGTTACCGCGCTGCTCTCACAGCTCCCGAATTTCGATGAGGATGAAGATGATAGCGCTAACATTGTTATCATTAAACCTGATTACCCACCGCAGTCTCCCAATGGATCTATTCCTGTTAAGAAGGGGCCAATATATGATCCAGCTGTGGTATATGTGCTAGAGTTGGCAACCTGTTTGGTGTTGAGGGATGAAAAGACGGTGGCCGAACATGGAAAAATGTTGGCGGAGACGCTGACAAGCATCGTTCGGAACGCAGGGCTCACGCATCACATTGTTGTTTCGAGGGTCATTTACTACCTGTTTTCCCTGTTACAGGCTAGCCACGACAGGTCATTCCTCAATGTTCCTGTCCTGCTGCACTCTATCGCAACTCTGGACAGGGGTCTACTGGCTAAATCTGCCTCACCGGTTGTCAGGGGGCTATCAAAATGTGTGAAGAGTGCTTCCTCCTCGCTCAAGACGGAAATGGTCAATTCACCGGATTTCTGGGTCCTTCTGAGAATACTCCTGCCTAATGCCGATGCTTCGGCAGAGGCCTTTAGTGTTATGGAGCTTATCACTTCGGAGTCGCCTTATGTCACTTCAGATAATTATGTTCCGGTTGTCTCCCTTCTCAACGATTTCGCGTCTGCGGGTAGTGTTGGATCTATTTTCGAACAGAAACAAGATAGATTACCTAAACGAGGGAAGACAAGGAAGATCGTTGACAGGCCGTAAGTTTTTGATAAGTCTTGCCAGCCGTCAGAAACTAACGAAGGTTAGTGATGCCGAAATCGTAGCACGTGGCTCCAAGGCTGTACTCATGGTTTACCAGCTCACCCCAAGGGTTCCGAACTTGATTAAACAATCTCACCTAGAGAAGAAAGAAGGTTCGCCGCGCCCCCCCCCACCTTCCTAACCCAGCCTCTAATCGAGGGGCAGCATGGACCACCTATTGGAGTCCGATACTGGAATCTCTTAGTACTCAATGTATCAACCCGTGCCGCGAGATTCGTAATCAAGCCTTTTCATCGCTCCAACCTTCTCTACTTTCCCCGGACCTCACATCAGATGACCATCACGAGTGGACGGCGATATTTGGGGATGTCTTGTTTCCTCTGATAAATAGGCTTTTAAAGCCAGAAGTGTTCCAATCCGACCCTAGGGGAATGAGCGACACAAGGGTTCAAGCAGCCACATTGCTGTGCAAAGTATTCTTGCATTACCTTGTCATGCTTTCCGAATGGGACGGAATGCTGGACCTCTGGTTAAAAATCCTGGATATTATGGATAGGCTTATGAATAGTGGACAAGGAGACCACCTGGTAAAACCGATGTCTCAATACCCCACTTCTTGGAACCTATTTTAACACTATCTACAGGAGGAAGCGGTACCGGAAAGCCTCAAGAACATCCTACTTGTCATGGCCAGTGGGAAATACCTGGTTCCTCCGGAGGAGGACGGGAAGAACGCCAAACTGTGGAAACTTACTTGGAAGAGATTAGAAAGGTTTTTACCGGACCTACGTGAAGAGCTCTTCCGCGCACCATCCCCACCTCCGGAGTTAGGTGACGCGGTGAGGAGGACGGGTGAGAAGAGGGCGGAAGAGGAAAGGGAAGAGGCCAAGCCCCGATCATCAGAGGAGGCTGAGATAACCGTTGCGACGACGACACTCGGGGATATAGACTAGACCACGATTATACGGGTGGTGGAGGGGCCTTTCTTCTTCTTCTTTCTTTATCATATTTGAGAGGTTTGAATATGGGTCTCTTACGATAGTCTGGTTTATATTTTGTTTTTTTTTCCTTTCTTTTCCTTACCCTCTCCTTCTGTAATATTATCGTGGTTACATTCTGCGTCGTTTATGGGAAGTCATTCTTTTTTTCCCCCCAGCCCGGTTAGTATATGGCCTCAAGATGCGTAGGTTTCACATGAAAGTCGATACGTGTCATGTTGGTGAGGAATGACACCTTGGGATAGCATTTATACTCGAGATACCTGTCAATTGTATGATATATTTCAGGAACGGAAAGGGTGGCATATCCCTGACCAGTGGGTATTCGTGCCAAGTTGCACGAGGCTGCGAAACGAGAAGACAGATGTTCTCTTTCGGTAGCACTGACCCTGCACACACACCAACTCTTTTCTTTTTTTCCCCTATATGGCTCCGCCCCAACGCAAATGCTTCGGCGAGACGATCGACTCATCGCGCCAAAGACCACGCTGTCCACACCTCGAACTCCATACCAATCCACACAAGCCCCATACCTTTCCTCCCCCCCAGATTTCCCCCTCATAAACCTGCGTACCTCTCCTCCCTTCCGCCCATGAATCTAATCAGAAACCATCAGCACTCTTAACGCATACCTCTCCCACTCCCAAGCAGGCACTTTTATCCTAAGAATACACAAACACATAATGGACCCGGGCGCATCCCCTGAATCCCCCTTTGCCACAACTCCCTTCGCGGAGCACGATGCAGATATCTTCGGATTCTCTCCGACTGGCGGTTACGCTCCATCGGAGTTGGAGGAACTCGATTTACTTAGGCTCGACCCTCTGACGGACTCACCTGTTGAACTAAGGGACTCCTCGCCCTCTTTGTCGCCAAAGCCCGAACCTGAGAAAGAGAAGAAGCCTGCCAAGAAGAGGAAATCATGGGGCCAAGAACTGCCAACTCCCACCACAAACCTCCCTCCAAGGTTAGTTGGGGCTCCCTATGTTATGTTACTCGGGTGTGTCGGTAAAAACCGGAAAGTATAGCTTTTTCCTCCAAAGGGATGTGTGTTGGGATTAGTGGGAAAAGCTTTCCGATTTTTACCGACACACCCGAGTATAATTCGCGTCTGGTGGACGTGACTTTGCATCTTTCTCTTCTACTTGTACTAATACTGTGCATAGAAAACGTGCAAAGACCGCTGCCGAGAAGGAACAGCGCCGGATCGAGCGCGTTCTGAGAAATCGCGCAGCTGCTCAGGCTTCTAGGGAGCGGAGAAGGAAAGAGTTGGAGGAGCTTGAAGATGAGAAAGCTATTCTGGAAAAAGACAACGACGATCTCAAGACTCGGCTGTCGGCTGTTGAGGGGGAGAACGCATCTCTTGCCAAACGTGTGGAGGAGATGCAGCGACAGCTCAAGTCCTTTGAGGATTCTATCAAGGCCTTCACAAGCATGGGTGGCAATATGGTCGGCCGCCCCGCTCCTTCATTCCAGGTGTTTACAAACGATGCTATCCTCGACCTCTCTTCCATCATCCCTTCTTCAACCACGCTAGCCTCCAAATCGTCTGCGGATCCTAATGAGGCTCCCGATATGACACATCAATCTGCTGCATTGATGTGCGACCTGCAGTGTCTATCGGTAGCATTAAACCCGCGGGACCCACCAGCGGAGGTGGCAGCGATTTGGCTGATGCAGTTTGTGCTTTTGGAGATGATGGCCTCGACTCTCTATTCGATTCAGATTCCTTTTCTTCAACTCTTCTTGAGTCTCAGGAAGGGGACGCCCATTCCGACCTCGGATTTGATTCGTTATTTCCCCTTGATCTGTTGGTTGGTCACTGCCAAGCCAACCCGACAACTTTTTCAGCGACTGCTTAAATGCAGCCCGGCTTTGGCGCTCCTTCCCCAGGACGCGACGGGCCGGGCTATGTTGGCACAGATAGCTCAGAGTATGTCGGGACGGCTTGGCCAAGGAATGACCAACGATGGTGATGAGGATGGTGATGCATTGAATACGGTGAGTGAATGCCGGCGGATCGTGAAGGAGTTGCGGTCCACAGTGGTCATGGACGACCCGCGCCTGAACAAAATGGGTGATACTGGAGTTTTTGATTCTCGCGCTTGCATTTCTGACGGGAAACTGGGGGGTAACAAGGAGGGTTAATAGTTTCCTTTTGTTTCTGTTTCTCTGCTTTTTTTTTCTTTCTATTTTTTGTCTTTTCCACCGGTTGGAGAGAAAAGGGTAACAATAATACCCAAGGACGAGCACCCCTCTTACCCCTCACGGCGGGGGTGTTTTGGGTCTTTTTGTAGGGTGGTTTTGGGCTTTCCTTTTTCCTCGGGCCTTTCTTTTTCCTTTTTTTTCTCCCTCTTCTTTCGATTGGGATCCCGGTGGCAATACTGCGATGCGATTTCGAAATTAAATTCAAGTTGAGGGCTGGCAGTGGGTACTTTTTCGAGCCAGGCTTGACGCGGAGGTTATCGCTATTCGCTCGGGTGCCTGTATGGTACAGATGATACCGGTGGGATACCCCACCACCATACTGCAGTACCTATAGTCTGCCAAACTTGGCTTATAGCCAGGTCAACGACACTACTTTATCGTGCCCTTTTCCCTTCCGTGTTCAGGCACCGTATGTGATGGGAACTATGCAGCTGCCAAAAGTGACGCGATGATTCATCGGAAAAATTGCCCATTCGTGCCGCTAGGAACCCAACAGAATCAAGCATGCCAGTAGCTTAACCCGAAGTAGGTGGACCTGAGTATGATACCCGGTGCGTGGTCACGAATGCTCACTCGACCGACCAGAAGTAGATTTAGTACCGTAGAATGGATGAGTATTAAAGTCTAGTTAGTCAGGCACGTATCACACTGTGCTCCGTGCGCCTATAGGTGCAGGGTAAGCTATATAGTACGACAAAAGTGCGGTATCCTATGTTGTCTACGGTGGACGGGCGACCGTGGTATTAGAGTTGAGACGTCTCTTTTTAAACTTTCGGGTATGATACCGGTTGGCTTAGCTTAGCTTAGCTTGATCATGACGGTATCATGATCTGGCGACATCTGCTTTCGTACAACTGATATAATACCGCAATCGCTGGGAAGGGTAAGTTGGTTGGTTTAGCTAGTTGGTTAGTTTGGTCGGTTGGTGACCGCTACTCTACATACAAGTACATACGGAGTACTGTACGGTTTATGATCCTGGCGGCAAAAGTGTCGTCTCGTACAGCATAGGAGTTGGTTTGGCGTACCGGTATTGTACAGTACAGTACGAGTGCTTTGTACCAGGCACACCGAAAATGGCATAGCTGGTGATGTACGATGTCAGATTCTGGAGGGCCCCTCCTCGATTGATCGCTCTGATGAGATGGGGAATAAAAGTGGGAATGGAGGTAATTGTTAGGGGTGGTGTTGGATAAGTACAGTATTTTGGAATAGTGTAGTTTTTTTCTTTTCTTTTTTCTTTCTTTCTTTCTTTCTTTCTTTCATTCTCAGGTATCGTACGCGTAGAAGGAAAGGCAAGCTAAAAGGTCCTATCATAGTTCTGGCGGTATCTAGAACCTGTCTTGTCGTTAGCCAGATCACTGTCGAGACTGACGGAAATGATTACCATTATTAGTACTTTTTACTAAGACGCTCGAATATACACCTGCTGACCCCGCGAATCCCATCACTCGCACCTTGGTCAGTCAATAATTCTGCCTGCGGTGTTTTCTCGATGAATTGTGGATCGGTAGCGGCTGTGGGGTTTGGTGTGTGCGAGGTTAATATATGGTACAAGTACCAATTCGTGACTTTTCCTTTAGTTGTCACCGACTTTCACGCAGTGTTTTGTACAGTACTGTACGGTATCATACCACCGGTAGTGCAGTAAGTTACTGCGCGGTTATCATACGATGCTGTAATAGCGGTGATGAATACGATGTCTCGACCATGAGATTAATTTTCTTTGATGTGCTGGGGGGTTTGGCTGGATATTTGTTTATTTAATCACTTATATCAGCACTGGGAGAGTATTCCAAGGCTGGGAAAGTATCATGAATGGGGGAAGATCTCATCAGACCTGTTCTTCATTTAATAGTGATAGTGGTGATAAGAGAGCGGGAGACATCGTGGTTCTCCGTCCGATTCTTGGGGGGAATTGGGATAGGTGCTAGTGCTGCGAATTGGATATCCATCTATCTATCGTACTCCTGTGGTATCATATATCTGGCTGCGCAAGTCTCTATTGATAAGGTTATCTGGCTGCTCGCTTTTGCGGGCTTGCGGTTTGGGCTATTATTTCCTTCATGCGGCCTGCCTGACTGCTTGCCTGCCTCCGGCTCGAGCTGGATGGCGGGTGTTCGATCATTTACTCCTGTACTACGGTACAGCATGATATCATACTTATGATACCGTACTTTCTCGTTCGAGAAGGTTGAGACATATATTGCGCTAGTCCGGATTTGGGGGAAAGATTACGGTGGTGCTCTACTGTTGCTCTGGTGATAGGTGACTTGTGGTTCAAGTCAAGGCGACGGTATCATAAATTACAGTAGTATCGCAGCAATACCTCCCTATCGTAATATTTTGGGGGTTGGAGAAAGGGCATCTTGACCCGGCATTCGTGTCCATATTATGATGGACTACTGGTAGTACTGTGCTGGTGTGGTACTATACTTTATTCCAACGCGGTAGCGGCAGGCTGGCCTTCTTGGATGGGCGGTTTAATTTGTGAGTTACATGGCGTTTGGCTACGCAAAACCTGTCACGATGGCCCTCCCTGATGATAAGTTATAGTGTGGGTACGGTGCAGTATTGTATCATACCGTGCCTGTAAATATCCCAGGCTCCTTGGCTGTTGGACTTGAACTTTGCTGGAAATGTTCTATCAGCCTCTGCCTATTGTACTTGTGCTCCGCGGTTTGCGTCCCATTGTGCCGGTCGATGCATGCAGCCATCAGATTGTATACCCGGGGCTGGCTGGGGGATGTGTCATACCATACCGGCAGTGGGGTTTCTCTCTCTTCCTTTGCTCGCACCTCTTCATACGGGATTGTATGTTGGGGGGGGGGTGCTTGGTTTTTACAGCGGTTGTATTCACCGCATGATATCATAAAGACCTGCATTATAGGGCAGCTCGAAGGATGCCTTCTAAGGCACCCGGGCGGCGGGGTTGTGTCTAAAAGTTGGGGGAAATAAAGGATTGGAAAGGCCAGACACCACCCCGACTCTCTGCCCAGTTCTTCAAAGCCCGGTAGCACAAGGGCTCTATCGGCTGAGGTGCAGGGTGAGATAAGGTATTGGTGGTTCACGGGGTTAGTCCACACATGTCCTGTAATCGTATCGCTGATACGGTATGATATGCGCTTGTTCTTATGCCCGAATATCATAGGTTTTCTGCGCGTGTAGTCCGGCAGGGGCGGCCGTTGGGGTCCATATAGGGTAGGCAGGGATAAAAGATGGGACGAAGGAGGAGCCTCAATGATGTCAACCGGCAGAGGCCGTGCCGCTCTGGCACTCGATGATAGGACACTCTTGTTGGCGCAACCCCTAATATGATAGGTTGTGGTGCTCACCAGCCACTCCCTTGGCATTCAGGGAGCCACTGCCGTTCCCAGACATGCGCATGCCCTCCGAACTCTGGGGACTGTGGAGGGGTGAAGGGAAGAGGGGAGACTTTTGGTGAGGGCGAACGTCCGAATATGGTAGGGTAGGCAGAAACTGTAAGCATACGGTAAGTTGCTGCACTGTGCCATACCGGTACCGGTGGTGGAGATAAAAAAAAAAAAAAAAAGCGTGGAGGCTCTCGGCGCGTCCAGGTTCCTTCTGTTCCCGACTCTATTCAACATCTCGACCAACTTCCTCTCCCACCAACCCTTTAATCTCCCATCTCTTGTTGCCCTTCTACATCGCCCCTCCCATCTCAGACCATTCCACACGCCCCTTCCCTTTCCTCCGGGTTTCTTATCCTGCCTTGCTTGATCCGGGCACATATCTCCCACCCCTCCCCCTCCACACCACTCTCATCCATCTCCCTCCCTCCCTCCCTCCTCCTCCGTCGTAGCAGCCGCAGCCATCATATCAATGTCTACGGCTACAAAACCAAACCCCACAGGCGAGAAACCCGTCTCGTCCTTCTTGACGGAGAATCCCATCACTTCTCTGTTATCATCGCTCTCCCAGTCCTTCCATGAACGTCGGGCCACCCTGGGCCTGACGAACCCGGGCACCGTCGAGAATGTCTCCCGCGAGGTCCAGAAAGATGTGTTTCTCAATAATTACATGTTCACGGGGATGAGGGCCGACTTTTCAAAGAGTTTCTCCATGGATCCTATATTCCAGACTTCCCATGCCTTCGCCATGGGCGCCCAGGGAATCCCACCCTATACCTTTGCGGCTATCTTCGGGACCAATAAGGTTCGTTTCATTCCGCCCTTTCGCCAGTCTTTCTCAATGTTTGAATTATGCTTTGTTTGAATTGGGGGTAGCTGGCTGGTCCGCTTTGGGGAGCGGGGGGCAAATTTTTTTTTTTGTTTCTCTTTTTGGAAAACTTTGGTGGTGGTGGGGGAATTGTAAAGTTTTTTTTTTTTTCAGATTTGCTAACGCAGAACAGGCATTCCTTCAAGCCAACCTCGACAACGAAGGTCAATTGGCAGGCCGTTTCAATTACCGTTGGTCACCCGAACTTACCAGCAAATTCAATGTTCAATTGACACCTCCGAGTCAACCCCCCCAGCCTGTTTTCACCGTGGATACAGACTACTCCGGCGCGGACTTCTCCGCTGGAATCAAGGCCTTCAACCCCTCGCTGCTGGAGGGTACCCTCACGGGTATCTTTATCGGCTCGTATCTCCAGTCCGTCACCCCCAATCTCGCCCTCGGCATAGAATCTGTTTGGCAGCGTTCCGCGGCCTCTCTAGGACCGGAATCAGCCCTGTCGTACGTTGCCCGATACGCTACCAAGGATTGGATTGCCTCGGCACAGTTGCAAGCCGGCGGAGCGCTACAGGCAACATACTGGCGCAAGATCGCGGAGAGGGTGGAAGCAGGAGTGGACTGCCAGCTCACACTCGCCGGAGGAATGGCCAGGGACGGGGGAGGTGGCATGATGGGCGGCAGCATGAAGAAGGAGGGTGTCACCACCTTGGGTGCTAAATACGACTTTAGAATGTCGACTTTTAGGGCGCAAGTGGATACTCAGGGGAAACTGGCCTGCATGCTGGAAAAGAGAGTTGCGCCGGCTGTCACCCTGACCTTTGTGGGCGATGTGGATCACTTCAAGGTATAGGATCCCACACAGTATGCTTCTCTTCATATATATCTAACCCAATAAAAACAGAACCAGGCAAAACTCGGCATCTCCGTATCCATCGAATCCGCCACAGAAGCCATCCAGGAAATGCAAGAAAAAGCTGCGCTATCGGGCGCCGGACCAACCCCTCCATCTGTCCCTTTCTAGATTTCTCTCTTTTCTTCCCCGGAACCGGGAAAGGGGAACGAAATAAATTATCCGTTTAGTTCTTTCGTCTGTCTGTCTCATAATACTGGATTCACTTTGGGCGTCCTTGGTTAATTTATAGGTGGAATGGTGGGAGAGAGATCAAAAAAGTTTAAAGTTCAATGAGTCTTGTTTGGGATGCGGTGTGTGGGGGGGGGGGGGGGGTTCTGCGTAGTGGGAGCTGGGGGAGGTTTTGTTTTGATATATTTTATATATATACATATATATATATTCCTTTTTGCTCTCGGAGGTGGGGGCCAGGCTTTCCTTTTGTTTTCTCCGTGCGTGGGAAGGGAGGGGGTTTGTTTTTCCAGGAATTTCGAGAAAGAAGGAGAAAACAGAGACAAAAGCGAAAAGTGGAACTGGGAATTTGCCAACTTAGAGGTGGGGTGGGCTCGGTGTGAAATTCGAAGGTGTTGGTGATGGTGAATGCTATTGCTGTTCTGTTCTGTTCTGTACTGTACTTACTGTACTGTTTCCGTGGACTGGCATTGTTTTTGCTTTGCCTACATTGCTCGTATTGGAACGTCGGTCTGTTTGTGATTTGGGGGGGGTTGTTTGTTTTTGTTTTTGTTTTTGTTTTCCGTTTTTTTCCTTTGTAATGTTCTATTCTACTCTACTCTACCCTCATGTGATATAGCGGATGGACTGACGGATTTAGTGGTTGGATGGATATGGGGTTTGTGAAGCTGCTTACCGCTGGCTCAACTTCGACCCTCTCTACTACTACCGTTACCGGTGCTTGTAGTAGTATAATAACCTCCGGTTTCTATTGTACATAATATACCAAAAGCATGGCACATCCTTACATTTTCCCTCTCCCTCCTCCCATCTCACCTCGTTTACTTCTTTTTCCCCTCGCCAATACCGACGCACTCCAGACCATCCATAACCGCTTCCCGGTTCTCGCGAACCCACTGCAATAGCTCATCCTTGCCTTTGTGTGGATTATCGAGTTGATGTTGAAGGGATTCCACAATGGCAAACCTCACCCAGGGTCCTGGGGCGAGGGCGTATTCTGCTGCTATGTCTTTGCCCTGAACACCCCGACTATTAGTTACTCTTCCGCTATTGCGGGAAGAAAGAGGGAGGGAGGGTGAGGGTGAGGGGTAATACAGTCAACAAACTCTTAAAATTGAAAGCCTCTTCCAAGCCTTTCTCCGCGATCACATTCAGAAAGGTTTCGTATTTGTCCATTATTCCTCTTTCCTCCGCCCCACCGCCACCAGCGTTCCTCTTCCTCAAGTCCATGAGCTCGAACATCAAGCAAGCGCCAACCTGATTCCTCCAGTCGGCACCCAAATCGCGCATTTCCAGGCCTGCTTTGCCTCTGCTCCAGTGCTCCAAGCTGACGACTATGTTCTGGATGAGATCGTGGTTTGCGAATGCTCTCGCTATTGTCCCAGTGATGTTGTTGGAGCACCTCAAGCCCTCTTTTATGGCTGTGGCAGCGGCAGGCGTGTTCTTCTTCTTGTCGGCTGGGAACACGGGTTGGCTTTTCCAGGGGCTCATGGCGGCGATGTTCCAGGCAAGATACCTCTCGCCACTAGTCGCCAGGAGCTTGGAAATGCGTGGGTATGAAGACATGTATCCGAACAGTAGGTAGCGCATGGCGTCCGCGGCTATCTTCATGTCCTGCACGGGGAGGAGGGGGAAGTCTTGGTTTGGCGGGGCGAATATCTCGTTGTAGAGGCCCAACTCGTGGATTAGGCTCAGGGAGGCATGGGGATCACGCTCTTTGAACATCTTATCAATCTCGATGCCGACTCGTTCGCGGGAGATTTTTGTTCTGAGGGCGGCCTGCAAAACACGGGGAAGGGTTAGTTGGTGTGAGTGATAATCTGTGACTGGGGGGAAGGGAAATTGCATGCCTTGATTTCCGGGAGTTTCATGGCGGCCTTGGCTTCAGGAGCTATAGTGAATTCGAGGCGCGAGGAAAAGCGGATTAAGCGGAGGACGCGGAGGGGGTCATCGGTGAAGGTCTCTTTCGGGGGCAGTGGGGTGCGGATTAAGCGGGCGGCTAGGTCCTGCAGGCCAAGGCCCGTGAAGTCCTCTACCAACTCAGTGTGTAGGTTGTAAAAGAGGGCGTTGATGGTGCAGTCACGTCGGAGGGCGTCCTTTTCTGGGGTTCCGAATTCCTAAGGCAATCAGGTCAACATCCCCCCATGAAACAGCTGGATGTGGAGTGCAGCAAACCATATGGGGAATCCGACTATCCCCGGGATAAGTCTCGCTCCTCAGATTGACAAAGTCGATATCGAATCCCAGAACCTTCGTAGTAGCAGTCTCCAAATGCTTGGACTTCTCGGGATTGCTCTCGACCTTGTTCACACTGCGCGGTTCAAAGCCGTACCTTTCCATGTTTGCACTGATGTGCTCCGACAGTCGAGTTGCAAAATCGTACCCACTCATATTGTTTATCCCCACGTCGATGTCCACGCTTCGGGCACCCAGGAGCTTGTCGCGGACCCAGCCGCCGGTGAAGCGTAAAACCAGGCGGTCATCCCCGGGCCTGTCTCTGTCGATTTCTTGCGCAGCGTCGATAAAGAGTTTGCGCACAGCGGCTTCCTCGGACGAGAGGGTCAGGGTAGGTGGGGTGGTAAGGGCAGCGGGAGTTTCCATTGTGCTGTATTTCTGCGAGGCGCCTGTTGGGGTGGGAGAGGATGCGGTGGTAGTGGTGGTAGCGGCGGTAGTGTTCGAGATGAGTCGTCTGCGCTTCTGGTCGGATCTGCCCTGCGGGGATGGGGAGTGAATGCGGGTCCCGGCCATTAATGCCCGTAGGGAGAAATATCCCGGGGAGAGTAGAAGACGCGGCCTTAGGAGCAGTGGAAGTGTGAGTTTGGCTTGACTCATTATTCGGTGAGCCGCAGGAGGGGTTCTTATATGACGCTTCTATGCGGGGTGTTCCAGGTGGAGTGAGTGACGAGAGTGAGAGGCTCTGCCGTTTGTGGTGGGCAGACTAATGTTTGATTGAGCCCGGCTGCCGGTACATTGTATTACCGTAAGAAGTACTCGAGTACAGCACAAATGGGACACCGCAGCACGATAGACTGTGGATAAGATCAACCGGTCGATAAGTTACCGGTATCATAGGGTATGCAAAAGTCTCTAACGGGGCACATGATGCGAATTCTTCAGAACCGACGGGCCCCCACTGCTATCATATATACCGTGGAACCTCTCAACCAGGTTGCCGGCAGCCGGCATCTAGGGATTCTTATGTCCGCACAATTGTGCATCATTTAAAACTAGAAGTGCTGCTCTAAATGCAATACCCAAACCATCTTCAACTCCGCCAAGAATACTTATCCACCATGCACTTCTCACACAAAAACTCGGCCGCCCGCAAGCCCACCAAATGCTCGGGGAGCTTTCTCCCATTCAACCTCCCTTTAACACTAAGACTCGCTTAAATTAGCTGCTGGTATGATCTTTTGCCGGCAAGTTGTGCGTGCAAATATCTTCGACGGGGTAAGAGAAGTCAGATCAGAAGTCAGCCACGCTTGAAGTACGAGGCACAACCATAACTTGCTGCACAGTAGCAATTTTGTGGTATGGTAGTGGATTCTGTAGAAACCCCTCGCAGAGAGAGGGTGAGGGAGGGAGTTGGCGGCTGTATCTGCCTGCAGTCGGGGGTGCCACCGCACACGGAAGCTCTTCTTTCCCCCGACCATCCTCCATTCCATACCTACCCACCTAAGGGACATCCCGAGACTACTCAAGTATATAGAACCCCGGGGAGGGGTAGATGGCTCGGCAGGTCCCGTTCAGAGTGGTGAGGCGTGTCTCGGCGCCCTTTCTAGGAGCATTCTTGCTGATGAAACCCTTTTGAGTTGAAGGTTCAGTGGGCATTGGTTTGTCTAGTTGACCCACGGGCTCAGAACTCTACCTCTGACACTGCGGATTCTTTGCAAGTGTATATGCTTGTACGCTCCACTCGAAATGCGCATCTGAACCAATAACCTATTCTCGAAGGGAGAGCGATACTGCTAGTCTAGAATCTTCGATTCCCGGCTATGTCTACGAGAATGGTTGACTATCTAATCCCCCCCCCACCGTTAGCTATCAATATTACACAAATTCGGCTCCTAGGACGTTATGTGGGGGGCAATATCCTCTAATAAATGATAAGTTAAGCTATAACTGAGGCCTATATAATAAGCTAGGCTAGCATAACACTATCCCTATCCTTGAAGGGGAGGAATTCCTAACGAGTGATATGCATGATAGCTTGGCTATGCATCACCACCTATGCGCTCTCCTGCTCAATGGCAGGCTATTCCCCCCTCCCTAGTATAAAAGCCTCGGAGAATCTCAGATATCGGAACTTGGGAGGCAGTTTGGGCCATGGACGCCGGGGAATTAGTCTCTCTGATATCTTTTACATTCTATGGAGACAATACCTACTAGAACATATGCCTCTACCAACGCTATTAGGATTGACATTAGTCTTATTAAATCGGTTTGGTAATTCCCTCCCCTTAGCCATTATAGTATCAATAGCAACCAATTCCATCGCCCCGAGTGTTTTCAAAGGTACCGTATCCTGATGTTTAAGCATTAACTTAATTCTAAACTTACCAAACAGTACGATTCGAAATTAACGATGCAAAGTCCGACTGTGCACTCCCTTTTGTATGCATAACCCTTCCCCAACTATACCCATTTCCCTCCAGTTAACCACACTTCAAAGAGTCATTCCGATCTAATCCGCTCCCGCACCCTGATAACCCATTCTGAAACTCGCAACCATGCATTGAAATAATGTACCAATAAGCTTCCCCCCATAAGCCCTCCCTTCCTCAACATCACCGCCAACTAGCCCCTCCAAACCCAGACAATTGCAAGCCCAGCGGCTGCACAGAGCTGGTCGAAGGCCAACCCGGTGTTCAATTCGAGAACACCACCCCGCTTGATGCTGCGATCCTCAAGATCCTCGAGCACTGACAGGCGGGCACGTGGAAACCCGGCCCAGCCTTGGCCGACGGGGAAAAGGTCCAAGGAGTTGGCCCAAAAAGTGGGCTTCAAGGACGCCCAACTGCACACGCCGAAGAGGCCATGTAGCACATGGCTTTCCGGCAAAAGCCTCAAGACCGACGGCCACTGCAGGCTCATAGAGTACCATACGAGACGGCATTCATGGCTCCCTGTCTCGCTATGCTTAGGGATCCTGGGCATGGGCCAGGAGGATACACAGAAGGTGTACAACCTTTGCATTGAGGGATGCGAGGAGCCAAAAGCCGTATACACATAATTATCAGTGAGTCCTTTTTCGCTCTTTTCTTCCCCTTCGTCTCTCTAGGGGAACTTGGGTGTATACCAGAGCGATGAATTGATCATTTCGATCTATACAGTTGGCATCTCATGGATAGGCAGCCCTTGGGCGATAAGCATGGCAGAAAAGAGGTGAAAAGGCCATGGAGGAAAAAAAAAGAGAAACGCGAGATACCGGGGGAATATTTTATAGGACTAGCAACATTTCCATTTCGAGCCCACCTGCCAAGCTGTAGCGTTTCGATACGTACCCATTTCCCCACTCTGAACCCTCACGACAGAACATACCAGCGCCCAGAAACCGATGCTCCCTGAACAAATATTCCCCCCAACGCTATATCAGGCAACAAAAGTTGCCAAAAGCACGATATCCTACCCGGTAATGAAGAATCCCAGGAGGTTTTGTTTTTTTTTTAAAAAAAAAAGAGAGCAAGAGAGAGAGAGAGAGAGAGAGAGAGTGGAGGGGTTTCTTCCCATTCCGCAATACGATTCCTTCTTCCGGACAGGTTCTTGTCTGCGTATTTGGGCCGCTGCACGCTACCGGCTTCCCAATAGCTTACCCATGTATCGTATTTGTATTTCAAACGGGTAAGTTAGCCTGGAATCGTCACACAAAAACTAAAAAAAAATGTACGATATCGCAGAATATTGACGCGTATATGATATGATAAGAGGGGGGGTTTTTTTTCCCTTGTTTCGCCGGGGACCTTATACGAGTGACTTCTTGTGATGATGGTGTATCGGTCCTTATAGAGGTTGGATTCTTGCTAGTTAATACTTAATATTGTAGCACCGTAAGTCCACCTTCGGTGATTGCGCAATGCCGTGTATCTTGGAGTCTGTAATTAAACGGGAGCTATATACCAGCCTCTTCCCCCCCCCTCCAAGGTCCCCATGGCGCCAACCCCGTGTCTCCGTTTCGAATAACGGAAATCTCAAACAGCTTCTGGTAGGATCTTGGGCTTCGCTCCAATCACCACAGACTTTGAAGGAATCCTATACCTTGCGTTAGATGTGCATAGCTTGTCACCCTGGTTGTTTGAGAAAATACAAGACTGGGAAGCCATCAGTGGGAAAGGGGTTTGGTGGTAAATGGCCACCCTCACGTACTGCCTTAAGCATTCCCGCACCAGAGAGAGTTTGCATAGTATTCATAATTTACAGTAGCTCCTCCGTATCAAAAGACGGAAAAAAAATCGTCTTTTTTTCTGCCTACTCTGCTGCCACCCCGCCGATCGCGGACCCCACCTTGCGTGTAAGGCCCAGAGTCGGGTTCTACCATCTCGTAACAGCACTGGTTTCCCCTACAGCCCTGTTGAAGATAGCTACGGTAAGGTCTTCAGTCTTCCAGTCCCCATAGGGTAGGATTTCTTGTTTTTTCCTACCCTCCGTGATGGATCGTTCAACAATAACCCATTTCGAGATTGGAATTGAACTCCTGGACCCCTGCTAATTGCACGGGGGTTAATTGGTTCATGGCATATTAACCACTGCGCCAGCTAGGTATTTCACGAAATGTTACTGTGGGAACTAACACTTATCCCTCCAGCAGGGTAATTTGGATTTTATTTATTTATTTTTATTTGAATCGCGGGAGGTCAAGGGAAATGATACTACCTTATTCAGCATTGAATGCGTTATAGGAGCTGTGCCTCCTCAAGAGGTGAGAGATTGTGGACACCGATGACGGACACCCAGCGGCAAAGACACCTACGTGTGGGTCTACCAGGGCCCCGGAATGCCAGTGATGAGAAGGCACGATACCGTATGCTTGGTTTTGAGCAAGAGAGCTGCAGGGGCGGTCATGCGCCACAGATGTATGGACGAAGACCATCAGACACCCGCACATTGGTAAGTTTATAACAGAAGAGCACCGCAATATCATACAATATCCACGACTCGCAGCAACCTCGTTCGGGGCATTGCGTCCGACTTTCAAGTTGGGCGTAGCGAGGAAACTGGATACGCGGGAACACCAGACACCCAGCGTGAGTGACATCCCATGACGCAGATGGAGCATTGGCATCGGTATCCAAATTGAACAAAACTCGATCCGTGGTCCACTAGAAACGTTTCAATTATAGCCCACCCTTGCTAAACCGTATTCAATGCTTACATCCACAGTATAAACATAGTCGGAGTGCTAATACCTACCAAAATTAGTGCTCACCAAAATCATCTCAGAGCGGAGGGAACGGCTAGCAGTACCCATGATGGCGGATGGTCACAAGATCGCGATATAACTGGGTAATACCCGGTCTCGGACCCATCAACCGAAACCTTTCTTTGGAAAAGATGGTTGGTGGCAATTAAGATACAAAAGTGCATCGTGCAGCTCGCGGTGGAATTTGTGGTTGGTGGGTGTGGGGGGGGTGAGGGACGGAGACAATTCAAAGAGAGCATAATGACATTCCTGGTAACAGGGACATCCCCATCATCAAAATCCAGGATGTAAGTCCGAACTTCGCTAGTATGGGCCTCATCAAGGCCTTTGGACCGCAACATGGAATGCACACTGATCGAACGGCCCTCAAAAATACTTTTTACTCCTCCACCCTCCGGCGCCCAAGTTCGGAGATTGGCCACAAAGGAGAAGTGGTTGTGCACCTCAGAGAAGCTTGTTCATAATGACTATGTTACCACCTGACACTGATTGAAATACGGACCCTGCTTTGCGGAGATACCTAGTTATTCTTACTAGTGGCTCTTATGCCATCAATAAGCGTGCCCGGGGGCTCGCTGCTACCCCCTGAGGAAGTCCGAACACCCGGACTAGCCGTCGAAGCCAGGCTAGTATCTTTGGGAAGTGGGGGTCAGTTGACAGCCTAAATCTTAATACCCAGGGAGTCGGAGATCCTGTATGATGCCCAACTCTCTGTGGATGAACTCCTGGCTGGAACATGGAATCGAAATCGGTGCCGCATCTGCCCCTACACCACCGGCTAGCAATATAATCCGAGCCACCTAGACTGCACTCTAGAGCTCCCCGAACATCAGGTATCCAGTAGGTAAATCCTTTAATCGCGATACCTGTAACCACGAAAGGAGTATTATGTATCACTCCGGACTTAAGCCCGGCCACCAAACGCATACCTATCCGCTACCCCAGAATAAAACCATGTCAGAACGGGCCACCGACGTTGCGATGGTAGTGGGGAAACCCCGGAGGATCTCTCTGAGAGTCCTCCTGGCAACAATGTCCCCGCTCGCTTCACAGATACACCAATCCCACAATCAAGCATCAAATGAGTCGATATATCCCTTCTTTTCACCCTTACAGCAGACCCCACAAATGCCGACATCAAGAGATTAGGTGAGAAATCCTCTCAAGTGAAAGGGTAGCTGTGGACATGAATGAATCCATGTCCATGGGAGCTCCCCTAGATACCATAAACATGCGAGATCCCTCAACAAATGTTCAAGACCTTACATTGAAGCATAATAATAGTGTTATGTTCACTCGCATCGTAAACCTCGACGAAACGAAAGAGGGACTTGCGGTAATCTTCTCCAGTTTCGAACTTTCCACAAACACAATTATTCAGCGCCCTTCGCACCAACTCTTTCATCCAGACGGAGGGTAATGCGCTCGAAAGCCAACTAGCGCATCCCTAGCCCCTCGGATAGCCAGGAGTAGGAAGAGATTATAAGTACGATACAGCAATCGCCTCTCCCTAATTGCCGATGCTAGGGCTTTGCCGCCTTATTTACGAGACGCTGTATCACTGACAGCGCCATACCAGAAACAAATTCGCCCAAGGGATTGCGCAACCGATGGAACACCAGCATTTTTCCATTCACGAGTGACACCGCGTGATCCAGTGAGGGCTCGATAATGGGATACAGTAGTTTCGATATGCAGGAACCCTTAACTCTCCAAACCAATCACACCCCGCGCATATAATAACAAGAATAAAAAAGCAACCGCCAAAACCATGGGTAGTGACAAACCCACCACACGCACAACCCACACAACTCTCCTACTCGTACAAGACCCTCAGCCTTGTTCTGCACCCCCCTTGTAAGTTATGGCTGTGCTGTTGCCTCCTCACCATCTCTCCCGGACATAATTCTAAATACTGAAACAGGCGCAGCCAGTAGTGCACAGTGCGAGTACGAGTACTGGTATGATACAGTGCCCAATACATAGTAGAGTGCGAACCGATACCGGCATTTTAGACGCGAATGGTCGGCGTGACGATGACAATTGATGAAAAAAAAAACCCCCCGAATGAATGACTACGGTATCACACCATATCTCGCCAACCCATACAGATATCGTAGATAATAGAGACTTTGCGATTTCGCATCCAGAGTCAAATTCTAGCGATCTCATTGGCCCGGAACCCTGTTTGACCCACATCCAGGGTCTTTTCGCAAAGTCCCTAATGTGGGGATGCCCACGGTCCTTGTGTCCTGTTGCCCAGGTAAGTTGGTCTACCGGTAATATATACTATCAACATGTGATATATGCCCCATCCGCGGATTCCTCCATTCCTTCCGGGCCAAACTTGAAGGGATCGGGGATTCCAACTCTTGGGCGCGCACTCACGGTGCCGCCAGAGGGGCAAAACCAGGGACAATCTAAGAGCCGAAGGGGGGAAGAGGGATAACGAAAAGTGCACGTTACCAGTTACCATACTGTGTGCTGCTGAGGATGGATGGATCTACGGTAGGTGATGATTGTCCCAGATACCGTACTCGTATGATATCCCAAGCGGACAAAACGCTATCATACGGGTACAGTAGAGAGAAAAGAGCCAGGTCAAATAACTCGGCTTGTGTCGCGCATCCGGACCATAAGCTGTGTCACGAACCCCAAGTAATTGACTTCTGGCATGAGGTTCCCCACGGACATTAGTCTAACTTATGGTACAAGTCCCTTATTATAGTGGAAGGCAGCATCCCATCCCAATCGTACTTCCCACTCCCACCCCCACCCACTCCCACTCCTCGTAAATCTCCACAGTGCATACAAGGTTAATTAATGGAAACAAATGAGCTCCAAGGGTTCCCTACTGAAGATCTTTAATTCCCCCCCCCTCCCGAAGAGAACCCAGAATGACAATCCTAGCCGAGTGACCTTCCATGCAACGCGGGGAGTTGTGGGGTGGTGTGGACGCCTCAACCGCGTTACTAAATGAAAGTTGGCCTCTTGACAACTAGCAATCAATCGAAACCCTTCCCCCCCCCCCCCGAAAAAGAGCTCAATCATGAACAATACCGATATTCTTAGCCACAAACACCAATCCAAGCCCCCATCCACCTCTACCCCTTCACACACAACAATCAACGTGAAAGAGGAGCGATCAATCATCCTCGAGCAAAGATGGCGCGACTGGGGATTCTAATGCTCCTCCTTGGGGAAATAGTCGCGAGGTCGGGGGTTCACGGAATGTTTAGCGTTCATGACGACTTATTGGCATTTCCGCAGGTACCCTAATCCGCATATCTGTCCTACCTTTCTCCCCCCCCCTTTTTTTCTTTCACTAAGAGTTCGAGTTGGGTATATATAGTACGAGATCAAATTCCGCGACGACGTTATTCTCGAGGAAGAAGCTGAAGAACGACTCTCGTCGGCACCGACCATATCCTCCAACCCTCGGCCGAAAGCTACGGGTACAGCCGGGGAGGATGCGAGCTCGGACGCAACAAGGGGTGAAGAAGGGGAAGGGGAGGAAAGCCATGAGGCAGAGACTTACCAAGTATTATGGCTAAACGGACGCCGGTACCTATGTTCGGTTCCCATCGTCAAGCCAGCACCGCCCATGAACGCAACGGAGAAGGAGCTGTCCAGAGCAGCGGAAGAGAAGGAACTCGTCCGGGCGACGACGAGGGGGTGGGAATTACTGTCTGATCTTGAGGGGCAATGTTTATACTTCGTACACCCCCTCCTCCTCCTCCTCGCTCTGCTCCCCCACCTTTATTTGCTTCAGTATGTTGACATGAAGGATGGCACAACAGGTGTCCGGCTGGTGGAGCTACTCATACTGCCACAACCGCGAAATCCGCCAATTCCACCAGAAGCCGCCACAGAACGGCGCGAACACCTGGCCGCCGACTGAAGACCCGGCCACACCGTCCTACCTCCTTGGACAGGTCTCCCCCGAAGCGGTGAAGCGCACCAAAGGTCAAAAGGGCGAGGGCACGGAGTTGCAGGCCACCGGAGAATTGAGGTTCTTGGTGCAGAAGCTCGGAGGAGGGACCACTTGTGATCTCACTAAGAAGGAGAGGAAAATTGAAGTCCAGGTCAGTTTGGTTGTCCGAGATGCGCTTGGATTGGAGGGTTTCGAAATTGTTTCGTGTTGAGAGGGATCGGTGAGCTTTATGGAGAGGAAGCATCATAATACTAATTCACCTCGGGAAAATAGTTCCATTGCAACCCCCAAGGCTCCGACCGCATCGGCTGGATCAAGGAGGTCTCGATATGCTGTTACCTGATGGTGGTCTACACCCCTCGTCTCTGCAACGACGTAGCATTCCTACCTCCCCGCGAGGACCGGGCAAACAGCATCTCCTGTCGTGAGATCATGACGCCGGGCCGAATGGAAAAGTACTACACGAACAAGGCCAAGGAAGAGGATGGCAAGGCCATGAAGGTGCTCAGGAAGCCCCAGGAACTGGGCGCCGGCGAGGAAGCGGACAAGCCCGAGGTTAAGACGCTCGGGGGTGTGGTTCTGAGGGGTGCTGATGATCCGTTTACCGACGATGATGTCGAGATTATTATTCATGAGCTATGATGATGGTGACGATGATGATGCGAATTTAATTTTTTTTTCTTTCTTCTTTTCTTCTTCTCCCTTTTCTCCTTTTTCTCCTCCTCCTCCTCCTCCTCCTCCTCCTCTTGTAAGCTTCCCACTTTGCATTTTTTGTTCTTTATGGATGGATGGATGGATGGATGGAGTTTATCTCGGCGATACACTGTACAGTACCATACTCGAGTAGGGAAATTATTTCGTGGGTTCGCATTGGATTGATTGTGCAGGTTAGTTTGCTCGCTGGGCAGTTTGTTGGGTGGGACCGGTTGGGGGGTATAGCTTCTCCCGAGAGCACAGCATCATATCAACAGCTCTCCATCCCCAGCGAACCCTGATACAGTACGCAGTTTTAAAATTTTGAAATAAATCAATTAGACGAAGAGCGAATTATAAAATTTCGGTATCATATCAGACTCTATTCTTTGTTCCCGAGGTAGAGAGAGAGAGAGAGAGAGAGAACAAGCTTTTGTGTTTGTGTTGCTATCGTATCATACCCGGAAATGACAAAGGTGTCCAAAACCCTCGCCGCAAAAATCACCCACAAGGAAAAAGAAGAGAACCCCCAACGGGTTTGATAGAAAACCTCCTCCCCACAATCCCGTAGAGCACAGAAGTCCAGCAAGTCCACTTTCCCTCCCTCTCCCCCTCCATTTCCCCATCGCGAAAGTGGGTGAAAGCCATGAACGCCGTCCACTTCCCTTCCTAGCACGCACACTGCATCGACAACCATCAGCTCTATCGCCCCCCCCCCCCCAACCAACCAACCAAGCAATCCAAACTTACCTCTTCTATTCGCTTCATTTCGTCCCCACAGCCCCCGCCCGTCCACCATGTCCAGCATGTACAGCCTTAGCCCCCTTGCCGACCTTCTCGGCAGAGTCGCTGGAGTTGTCGCTGGCGTTCACGGCCAGGAAGTGGTATAGCACTATCAGGCCCATCATGAGTGTGCCCAGAAAGATTGCGATGGAGTTCAGTTGGGTATCGGAGATCATTGCGTCTCTGTTGTGGGGGTAAGTTAAAGGTGGTGGTGGTGGTGGTGGTGGTGGTGGTTTAGGGGTGGTGAGAGGGAGCCGTAGTATGGCGTGCAGTATGATACTCGTATACGTGTGTCGGATTGGACTCAGGAGGGAGCGGCAGCACCGTAACCGGTATAGTACGTACTCGAGTACAGTACCTGATTGCCAAGACTTTGGGGGGCTGGAGGCTTGTTTGAGCTTTCCGGTGGGGCCGGCTCGATGCTCGTGATCTGGAAACTTTTGTGCAATAATAGTCTTTGGGGCTTTTCGGGTATGATAGCGATATGATAGCGTACAGTATCCTCGGAGGGAACGCTCCCCCCATCATGAACCATCCATCATAAATATCATACGATATCTTGATTTAGCCCTGCTTCGTCCCCGACCTCCAAGTGAAACTCGACCGAATGGGACATTGCGATTCGTGATTGTGGCTACGGCACCTGTACCCGCCCCACTCGCTCGTGCACCGTACGGCACCACCCGCTGTGCCCGTGCCAGCCACTGTCTCGAGTGACCATGACCATGACCGTGGTTGCCAGCGCGGCCGGGTTGAAGTGGCGACCCCCCAGACAAAAGTGTCCAACCCTACCCGTACCTGTCCATGGCTGGCAAAGAAATGGAGTACGGTACTCGAGTACAATACAGTATCATACCGTACGATATCACGGTTCACGCATGCTGACGATACCGCGAACGGGATTGGATAGGATGCTGTATCGTATGCAATCCGAATCCCCCACACCCCGGACCGGAGGGGGAAGCGGTACCGTCCTATGAATATGTTATATGTATAGTATACCGGTATATCGGAAGCTACGATGCCGGTATCGGCAGTGCACTGTACTAGTATTATATTATACGAGCATCGTACCCAGCGCTGTAAATTTAGCACGAAACGCACGCGTACGGATAAAGCTTTCATCCGCCATCTTTTTCCAAATCCGCCCACTGCTGTACGAGTACCGGTACCGGTACTCGCCAACACCCTCCGTACCGAACACGGCATCATAGTATACAGGTGGTACGGTACAGCACAGTACGGTACAAACCTCGCACGCATCTCCACCCCACTGGACAAAGGAAGCCAGGCAGCCAGGCAGCCCATCCAGTGCAAGAAAGTAATACATCGAGCCGGCCCTTTGCCAATATCTCCCTCCCTCCCTCCCCTTCGTATCTATCCGAGTTACAAGTATCCGTCGCCCTTCGTCCCGGATCATGTTTGCCTCCGCTAAGCCGTACGCGAGTCCTTGTCTCACCATACTCGTGCCTTGTGACACGGAATATGCATGGAAGGGAGTGATGTGTGATAAGCTCTTGCTCACTGGCTTGCAACCATGAAACCATGGACGAGTAAAGGTGGGGGGGCGTCATGGTGTGGATGAGGGAGAGGCAGGGAGTGAGAGGCAGGGAAGGAAAGGAAGGGTAACCTTTGCCCTACTGCTATGATACAGTAATCCACGAGTATGATACCGCCCAACACCTTACCGCGAAACATGGAACTGGTGGGATGGGATGAGCATTGCTGGCGTTTCAGTTTTCTGGTTGGGGGCTTTTTTTTTGGACCGGCGTGACATGGGCTGTACAGTACGAGTACCGGTACTGTACCTGCCGTATCATGCGAGTCATGTAGTTTGCCAGGAGAGCGTGGCATTGTGTTGTATGTGGGTGGGTTAGAAGAACTCTTGCCGGGGGAGGGCTTTTATTATCATTTCTTTTACTGTTCGTGGTGGAGGGGAACTCGTATCATACTGTACTGTACTGTACGGTGCAAACGGGAGGAGTATGATACTGTACTCGTACTGTGCACTGTGCAGCGTTGGCTGGTACTGGGGCTTATGCTGTGCTCCATTGCAGATGTTGTATGATATACTGCGCTGTGCATAACGATATAATCTCCACCACCGGGTCGGGTTCGGGCCTGGAGTACGAGCACGGGTAACGATAGGGTACGGGAGCGTTCAGAGGACCGTACTGTATGATCTGTATCTCGTACATACCGTACAGCATCACACGAGCACTCAGCACTGTACCTATGATACCGTATCATACTTTGTGCCCTATCTACGGGGTGCGTCTTCCCGATCACGGTGCAGATGCTGTGTGCATCGCATTCATTTATCCGCGCCTTGTGGGAGATTGTCGCACGCTTTCTGCTGCCTGTTTCCCCAATTCTTGATCATTGCGGTTGGGTATATTGGATGCGATGGGAATTCTGATTGCTGCTGTTATCTCTCGTCCCGCGATCCTGTACCTTGCCGCAGACATCGCCACCGGAATAAGACCGGCTGGACGGCGGGGACCTGTCCTTCCTTTCCTTCTCTTGTCCTGTCTCTCTGTGTGCTATTATAGCTATTTTCCCGCTTCTCGGAATTGCCGTTCGCCGCACTCTTGATTCTCCGCCCCCCCCCCCCAACCTTGTAACTTAGCTACTGGCAAATGTTCTGCGTTGTGGTGCCTGTCAGCTTTCCTCCTCTCTCACGACCACAACCGCCACCACCAATACAGTACCCACCCCACCCTTCTGTTCCCCCACCACTCCCACGGGCACATCCCTCCACCTCAATTTCCACCACAATTATTGGGAATTCGAGCCTCCGAAATTTCTATTCCCCCATCGACTTTTTCTTCTCCTTCCTTCATTCCGCCTGAATTCTCTTTGTTTGACGCACGATTATGATACCCTTATGCGGCAGCGGCTGCTCATTGCGTCTGGGGATGGGCCTTATGGCTCAGGGTCCGTCATCGGCAATGCGTGGCCTGCACTCAACGGCTTCCTGCACGCTTCGAGCTTCCGGCCATTTTTTTCGTCCTCCAACTCGATCTCCCCCACCATTACGCCCCAAGCAGCCAGGCAGCTCAGGGGAGCCAGCTCTACACCACCACCACCACCACACCGCCAACCACTGCCAGCAGCAGCGGATTTATATAATGGCTCCCCCCCACCCCAAAACTTCTACCACCTTCTGCCCCTCCATAACATATTCGCTCCCTCCACCGCTCTCACCAATGTCTCCGGCGCTGACTTCCGTCCGTACCTTCTCCACAAAGGCCGTTGACCACAGTAGCTCTGCCTCGGGCTCGCCGCCCCCGAACATGACTGCCAACGCTGCCACCTCAAAAAAATTCACCTACCAGATTTCCGCCGCTTACTCTGCTAAGCAGAAGAGGTTCAGCCCGACGAACAATGTGTTCCATTATAATCCTTACAACAGGGTTCACGACACTGCGAAGAGAAAGTCTCGTCCGGATGCTGGGCAGGACGCATTTTTTGTGTCTAGGATAAACGACACCGGAGCTGTCGCAGCCGGAGTGGTGAGAAACACTGCTCTTTTTTTTTTTTTTTTCATTCCGTTTCCTCTCACCCCCCTCTCCCTCTCTCCAGTTCTCCTCCCTTCTTCCTAGGACCCCGGATCGTGGTACTTGTGTGAGGAATGGCGGTGAGAAAGGGAGAGAGACTGGTTGGCGGTAATTAAAATGAGATTAAAGGGCTCAAGCTAATCCGTTTTTCCAATGCGCGGCAATATCTAGGCAGATGGGGTTGGTGGTTACATTGAATCCGGAATCGACTCTGCCGACTTCTCTCATACCTTGTGCGAACGTATCGCCACAGCAGCGCACCAGTCTCCTACGGACAATATTAACGCAAAATACTTGATGTCGATCGGGTATCAGAAGATATTGGAGGAAGATGCGATCGCGGGCGGAGCATCGACCGCATGCGTTGGTGTAGCGAAGGCGGATGGTCAGCTGAGTGTCGCAAAGTGAGTACGGCTTAGTACCAGTCACAACAGTGGCTCCATTTTCGTTTACTCTTCCCTTGGTTACCTTCCCCCCCCCCCCCCCCCCTTCTTGCATGTTTCCGATTATTGGGACCTAACTGGGACCCGGCTGACAAAACCCACCAAATCCCAGTTTGGGCGATTCCGGATTTTTAATTATCCGACAGGGGAAGGTCCATTATGTATCATCCCCGCAGACCCACGACTTCAACACACCCTACCAACTCGCAATGATTCCGAAGAAACTCCTAGTCCAGTCAAAGCAGTACGGTGGCGGCCCTTTGTCCGACCAACCCTCGGATGCCTCCGTCTCCTCGCACTCTCTCCGCAACGGCGATGTTGTGGTGTTCGCTACGGATGGTGTCTGGGATAACCTTTCTAGCCAAGAAATCCTAAGGATAGTGTCAGACGAGATGGTCACGGGTAAGGGGTGGATCGTCGGTGGGGAGGCCGGCACTGTCCCGTCCCCGCAATTGGAGAACCTTACGAGTTTCACGGAGGGGCAGGGATTACAGGCTGCAGTCGCAAAGGCGGTGGCTGCGAGGGCCAAGTCGGCGTCTATCAACATGAAGGTTGATGGGCCGTTTGCAAGGGAGGTGCAGAAGCGGTTCCCGTCCGAGAACTTTCATGGTGGGAAGAAGGACGACATTTGTGTGGTGTGCATGGTAGTGGTTGAGGTTAGTTGGACATTTCGGTCCATTACCCTCTCCAACTTTCCTTGATTTGTGTTCCCGTCCCCTCTTTGCATTTTCCCTCCTGTCTCCCTCCCTGGATGGCTTGCGAAAGTAGTATACTGACTGACTCGACTGTATGAATGAACAGACAGGAACGGACCAGCCGCCTCGTGGAAAACTCTAGCCATCGCTTCCACGACCTCTGAGTTGAGTTGAGCTCACACGATTACGAATTGTCTTTTTCCTTCTCTTACTTTATATTTCCCTTTTGTTTCTTCCCCATCTCCCTTCTGTCTGGATGAAGACGCCTTACATGAGGAATTAGTTTTTAGACAAAAGTTATCTTTTTTTTTTTTCTTCACCTTCTCTTTTGTCAAAAACGGTACACGGAGTTACAACAAAACATGGCATTATAACATAGCATTTAATTATTCCCCACACAAGAGGATTTTCGATTGTCACCTTTTTTCTTCCTGTCTTACTTTATGTTACCTTACCTTACTTTGCCCCCTCTGTTCGGGGAATGTGGATATAGATAGGTCAAGTCAGGCTACTGCTAATAAGAGTTTTCCCTGCTATTATCATTGCTATTAGAAGTGGTGCTGCCAGTGGTTGCTTTAGACCCTCTTTTATATTATATATATATATATATATATTCATCATACTATATACATGACATTATCATCATTATTACGTTTTCCATTTATTCCCACACCTTTCAATTTCCACGCCACACGGCGGGGCACCAGTAGAATGGGACGGGAATATCCCTACCATGTCGAGTACCCAGAGTATCATAACCCCCACACATCCACCACCGCCACAAGTTAAATACATATAATCCACCCACTCATCCAACATTACTTACATCCCCCAACCCGGTACCAGAACTACAATGAGCTTCAACTCACTCACCATTCCCACCACCGGAGTGGGGGGGAACCTTTTGGTGGGGTAAGGCAAAGTCAGTTAGAAACCCGGGTACCGATTACTACCGTATTCCCGAGTGTGGAGCGTAGACAGCATCATATGGGAAGGGGGGGGGGGGCGGTGATCCAGGTATCGGAGGTTTATGTCGTGGGGGGCGAGTGAGAGATTGTGATTTCATCAAGTATCACTCGATGGCTGGATGGATGGTGTTCCGACCGGGTGAGAGGGGGGAGTATGTGGGAAGCTTGGGATATGGTGCGAGGATCGAGTCGACGAGATTCTGTCTATGCACAGTATGTGGTGGGGCGAGTCATCACCGGGAGAATCGGGCGTTGCTGTGAGTGAGCCGGGATTCGCCAACAGAAATTGTCGGTGAATGGTGCCGAGTTTGGAGTCCACAACCATCAAATATACACCGTTCCCCAAAAGAACTGTTGCCCCAGGTGCCGCAGCGTACAACATGGTATCGGCCGGCCTGCAAAGTAAAATTTACTAAAAAAATAAAAAATAAAAAAAAAGATAAAGAGATAAAAAGATAGATAAAAAGATAAAAAATTTAATGATAAAATAAATAGAACCCGTGGAAGCTTATTATGAATGCATCACGAATTCCCCCCCATCTTCCAAACTAAAAACACAAACGCTCCCCCATAGACACACCGCCAAAACTACTTCCCCTGCACCACCCCCTCCGTCCTGCCAATCAACCTCTTAACACTCGCCCATTCCTCGTTCCTTGGCGGGTCCATCGCAACTTCGAAAACGGTCACCATACCATCTAGCCCTCCCACTGCAACCCTCTTTCCATCATGTTCCTCCCAAGCAATCTTGTTCAAACTCTTGGTTAGGTGGGTGGCCCCAACTCTAGAACTTGGCGAGGCTTTAGCAATGGGTACCTCCGTGTCCACAGTGATATCCCAAATCTCCAGCTGGCCCGCTCCGTCCACTAGGCCGAATACGCCAGGTTTGGTTGGGCTCCAGGCAGCGTCGTAGACGACGTCTTCTCTGCTGAATTCCATTATTGGTGCGGCGGCTTGTGGTGTTCCGTTTGCCGTTGCAGTTGTAGCGGCTGGAGGGCGGGCTTTCCAGAGTTTAACGCTCCAATCCAGTGAGCTGCTGAGGACCAGGTCACCCAGGTCTACGGGGCCACGGACAGGGTGGAAGTCCACGGACATGACAGGTCCCGCATGTCCCTTGTATGAAATACGTGGCTCCACTCCCGCCTTTGCACCGGCTCGGTCGTAGCGGTGACAGGGGTATATTGTGCCCTCTTCTGTCCCGACGAGGAAGTAGGTTGGGTCAGAGTGGGGGAATGCCATGCACGTGGGACTGAGATCATCGGTCTTTGAAGGAACGGGAGTGGCTAGTTCCAGCAATTCCTGCGGCTGTGCGAGCATGTCCACTGTCCAGCCGCAGACCACTCCGTCGGTAGAGCAACTTAGGATGTTGTTCGCGTTTTGTGTTCCAATAACCGAAACCGAATATACCGGATGTGTGTGACCTGAGCCTGTTAGGGGAGTCTTCAATACCGGTTGTGATTTGGCACGGGTGTCCCATAGCAGAACCTGACCGCTGTAGGCACCTCCTACAATCAGGTTGGGATGGAAAGGTGAGAACCGGGCTGTCAGAACGTCACTCTATGCCGCATGTTAAACCCCGAGCGGTACACCTAAAGGCGGAGAAGAAACAAACCTGAGCGTGAAACACGTATTCGGGTCTATCGTGCAAATGTATATTCCAGACCTGAACCAAACCGTCGGGATCATGTGGCGCCGAAGGGTTCTTGGTGTAAGAAGCCAAAAGCAATTCTGGAAACTGTTTCAGAAAATCAGTTATCACAAATTCTCCCAACCCGTCTCGGAACCAAACACTAATACCTTTGGTGAGTAATTGATATCGCTTATCATCCGCTTCTTTGACCACCTCTCATCGTAGAATTGGGCAACCTCTTTAAGCTTCCTTCCAGCCTGTTCCTCGTCCTCCCCGTTCACACCCAAACCGTAGTCCGCCAACACATCGTATTCCATGTCCAAAGCTCTTTCCACAACCTTCGAAGACCTTTCAATGAAGTCGACAAACTCTTCAGAAGCTGTAATAGCTGCCTTCTCCTCGTCCGATAATTCCCTGACAAAAAAACCCCCATTGGCAGTTTCTCCATCAGCTTTCTCATCTTGCTCCTCGGAATCTGTAGCTTTCAGCTGCTTAAGCTCTTCCACGATTTCCTGCCGCATCCGCTCCCGTAGCTCCTCATCCGTCTTGAGGGAACCCTTTTCATCATCCCCTCCATCCGCTTCTGTCCAAGCCTCGGAGGTCTGTACCTCCTTACTATATGTCACGATCTCGCGAACAGGTGACGGTGGCTCGTCATATAAAACCGTGAGAGGTGCAGTAGAAATGTTTTGTAATGTGAGGGGTGTGCCGTCGGCCGCAATCCCCGAGGTCATAGTAAGGCCGCTAAGACTAAAGCCACAATCAGAAACATTATCGGCAGGGGTAACAATTTTCAGAGCTCTCTTACGAGTGAATTGTAGGGGAAGGAGCCTCCGAGATTCCACTCTCGGCAACAGACACTACGGAGCCGGGCCTACTACTGCCCCTAATCCCACCCGGCCCCGTAGACGACGGCCGTTCGCCCACCAGACCAGCCACCAGTTCCTCGACGCTCTGCCGGTTATTGTAGGATCGAGGATGAGGAGATGTGAGCTATGTCGGAACAGACGGTGAGATCCCGCCGGTTAGCCCGGGCCAATTCCAACACAAGTTTTGGCTTATAGAGGGAAAGAGCTTAATTCAGTCTTACTAACATCTGGGCTTCGTCTGGAGCTTGATAGGGACTGTTGCCGTTCCTGATTTCGACGTTTGATCTCGGCGAGCTTCGCCTTCTTTGCGGCTATCTCGGCCTTTCGTTGCTCCATGGCTGATAGTTCCCTTGAAGCTTTCGACAGAGCCCAGCTTGTATTGATTGAGTCGTGGAAAAGGAGGAGGAGGGGGAAGGGGTGGGGGTAAGAAAGATGGTGGGGGTGCTAGGGGCTTGAAGGTCCAAAGTTGTGAAGGGGGAAGGAAGAGAGAACACACAAGGGCCCTGGCAACGATGCCTCGGGCAAGCAGGAGTGAGGAATCAGAAAGCGAGCACGGCATGATACCATCTAAGCTCAGAGTCAAGTTACCATACATTGTTACCCGTAGTACCATAAGATAGCAATAAGCCAACAGTTAAGTCGTAGAGAATGATGGGACAAGTCAGCAGCATCAGTGGCTATATCCTTCTTAGAAGTGGTTATTAGTAGGAAATTTAAAAATCGGATAATTAATTACTTATCGATTTCATTCCGGAGGAGGCAGAAAGTTACCTCGATCTCAACCCTCTCGCACGAGATACCCGACACTTTCAGGACGGTGCCTCCGAATTCCATCCCAACCTTCCTCCCCATCTCCGGGAGAGAGAGGAGAAAAAAGGAAAGAAAAGGGAAGAAAGAAAACCCTCACCCACTTCATCCACCTCATCCACTGCATCGGGCCGACGCTCGTTCATTCCATTCAAACAACTCCCCTCCCACATATAGCAGACGACAGAACAAAGACCCATCCCATTCCACAATTGATCTGGTTCCCTTCGACGTATCATCCTACAAGAGTTCTTCCAAAAAAAAAAAAAAAAAGAAAAGAAAAGAAAAGAAAATTAAGAAATCAACAGATATGTTCTCACCGCAGACCACCAACGTGAGTTTCCCCCATTCGTTTTCCATCCACCAGTCTCATTGACCCTGCCACGCTCCCTTCCTCCATTATGACCACTATCATCCGTCATCATCAATCCATTACGCCTCACGAGTCTCTGCCTCTCCCCTATATCGATCCTCTCACTCACCAACTTGCCAGCCACCGAGCTTTACCAATGCATCCGTCCATTCATTAACGTGACCACACCAGGTAATCCGCTACTCCGCTCTCGGCCTCGGAATCTTCTACGGCTTCACCTACCAGAACAAACTCACTGCGCAAGCCAAGATCCGCAAGGCCGAGAACGAGTACCATCGTAAAGAGAAGTTGATAATGCAGGCGAAGGCGGAGTGGGCGAAGAAGCATCTCCCCGCCGACGGGACTGCCGCTTCTAGTGGGCGTATGTTGTTTTCATGATAGAAAGGGGAGAGGAGAGGCTAATTGTAGGGATTGGAGCAGTTGTCACCGACCCTAACGACTCACGATTCGACCTGGAAGCGTGCTTGCAGCAGCTTGCGGCGGATGATAAGAGGGCTCACGCTTAGATGTTTTGTTTTGTTTTTCTTTGAAACGGTAACGTTTGCGGGAATATGGGGGAAAATGGGAAAATATATTGCGGAGGCTTTTTCAATGATAATACTGGAGGTGTATCAGGATGTTGTCTGCCGGACCTCTTTCTCTACATTAATCACGAATAGAAATGGTTGGGGGAATACAGAAAAGATGGATCAAAGTCGGTGTTTTTTTCCTTCCCTCCCATGGGATGGGGGAGTGTATGGGTGAAGAACATGATGTGTACGCCCTTGCACAGTTGTCTGCATAGGGGTTCTTTTTTTTATATTTTTTTTTTAAAAAAAAAGGAGGATTCTGTACCATATTACTTCGTTTTTTCTTCTTTCTCTTAAAACTTCCTTTATCGAACTTTCCCGGATGGTCATTGAGTTCGTTTTTCTGAGGGGTGGACCCTCAAACTTACAGTACCATCGGTGGATCTCATACCATTCGCATTCCGCAAATCCTTTCACCGTTGGCAGCGATCTTTGGGTTGTGCTGAGTAGTGCATTACTTCAAACGCTGGTTCCTTTATATTATATACAAGTACAGTAGGGCTATGGTACATGCTTTTATAGACCACGATACATCGATACATACCATAACCTCGGGTCAAGCAGTCGTTTGTGTCATCTGCATGATGAAATTCAAAAACACCGTGCAGGGAGAACAGAAGGTTCAGTAATGTCCTGCTGACACACTTATATTTTCCCGGAGACAAGCAAGGGATGGCGGGGGAAGGAATCGGTCAGCTCTTGGGGGGCCCCGGGGACAACACAACATTCAGGCTCCACCCCCGCTCATCACAGCTCAATATCCTCCCTAGCCCACAATTTAACAGTCCGATCCTGCCCGCTGCTAACGATGAACCTATCGTCCCGACTGATGTCCACACTAGTGACGTTCCCCGAGTGGGCACTGAGATTCTTGACGAGGGCCCAATCGTCGCTGGAAAAGGTATTGACATTCCCATCGAAGCCGCTCGTGGCTAGGTACGTGCCTTCGGTCCGCATGGCCTCTGCTACGGCTTGCCCTTCATCTGTCCCGTCCATTGCTACTAAGGGGTCTTGCTTCCCACTGAAGAAGCGTACGTCGCTGACGAGGCCCTTATGGGCGCCGATGGTAGCGGTGCAGCGTACCATCCTTACGTCCCAGACTTTGACGGTGGCGTCCCCGGAGGATGATACAACCCTGTATCCGTCTGGGCTCCAAGCTAGACCTGTTAACTCTCGGATGTGCCCGTCGAGAACCATAATTGTTCGTCCGGTTCGAAGATCCCAGACCCGGCCGATTGAGTCCAATCCACCACTTGCAATCAATGCGCCATCGATTTGGAAGGCTACTGTGTACACCTCTCTGCTATGGCCTTCTTGAAGAAGTAATTCTTTTTGTGTGGGCAGATCCCATAATCGCCATGTAGTGTCGTATGATGCGGACGCAAGATAGTTTCCACTTGGGTGATGTTCGACTCGTGCAACTCGGGCCGAATGGCCGGTGAGCGTCGCAATCGGTGTATCCTGGGTCAGGGACCAGAGGTGGACAGTCCCTTCTCCGCCGCCAGATGCGAGATTTGCAGAATCTGGGGACAGTGATACCGTGGCTTGGGGATGCCATGTGATTCCACCAACCCTTTCGGTATGGCCGCGGAGGAGAGATTTATCCCCCAAGTCCGGGACGGTGAGAAGTCTAATGCTTCCGCTCCAACTTCCAGCTGCAATGATCTCACTATCAGGTGAGAACCTGGCAATAGAGACAGATCTTTCTCCCGCAATCTGTGACCCAAGGACCTGATATCCCGATAACCTCTCTTTTATAGCCCGGCGGTGTTTGATATGTCTTTGCAATGCAATGCTCGCTTCCGCTTTTTGCTTCGCGACGCGGGAGCGAGCCCTCGGTAATGAATAATTAGCCATCCATTGTCTCGCTTCAAGCAACCCAGGTACACCGGGGGTGTAGAACTCCTCCTCCTCATCCTCGTCCGGTTCTGGGGTGTCCGTCATATCCCGCATATCCATGTCACCGGGCTGAGAACCCTCCCCAGCATTCCCTTCCTGCAGCTGGTATAGCAGCCCCCTCAGTCGATCCCTCCGATCACCCGGCCCCTCACCAAACAGCGTCATCGGCTCCCCGAGTTCTCGTAGTCGAGCACGTACCCGGCCATCATCCGTAGGCACCACAATAGCAGCGGCTTTCTTCTTCCTGTCCATCTGGGAGAGAATAGCAGATGCCTTTTCCGGCGCAATCCCTGATTTAATGTTCTGTGGGAGGCTGTAGTCGCGATCGATTGGGACGTTTGCCAGATCAACCATGTCGGAGTCCTAGTGTTTTGGGTCGGCGTCAGATCTCAGTAGTGATGCTAGAAAGGGGGTCACTTACATCCTCCTCGACGTAGGCTCTGCGGGAGGGGTGAACGCCGGACATGACGGGCGAGCTTTGTAGTGGTACTCGCGGTTTAGCTGTCAGGGTAGGGACAGGTGCGAAGGGAGATGTGGTTGCGCAGATGCTGATACGTTCTGAGCAGGGGTTACGAGGCCGCAGATTAGGGTCCTGATTGCTCAACTCCAACTTCCGTATAGGTACAAGTATGATATGATACGATACGCCCACCCCATAGCAAAGCTAGGAAGGGTTATGTGATCGATGCGCCAACCAAATCTTAAGATACATCCCTCCACTACAGATCAGGGCTTAGGGCTAAGGGCGCAGGGCACTCAAATCTAGCCATATCCAGCCATAATAATATTGGACACCTTTTCACTTTCCCAAGTGACAGGCAAGAGTCTCATTTAGGCCAGATTGGCTGAAGGCTTCTTTCTTTTTTCCCCTGTCAACCATAGCTTCTCAGCCGCGTCAACTGCTGCGAGAGTCCTCCAATTCATCACCACTCCTCCGGGACAAGGAGAGCCATCTCTCCGCTTCGTGACTTTCTTCCTCCTCCATCACCACTGCCCTCCGTGCCTTCTTCTTCTCGCCCCTTTTCCTTCCTTTATAGGTTCCAACATTACAATACCACGTAGCCCGCTTCCAACAACCGCAACTTCATTCGTTTCCCTATTTCCTCCTCCTATTCTATAGTTTCCCCCGTGCATCTATCCTCTCCCTTCTGCCGCCAGCTTTTTCCTTTTATTTGGGAACCGTTTACAGATTAGCTATGCCGGATTCCCCTCCCGGGGTTCGCCAGCGCGCCTCGAAGAAGAAGGGTGCGGCGCAGGCTGTACTGAACATTGGATCAGGCTCAAATTCTGAGGACGAATTGCTCAGCAAGAGACAGAAGGCTTCTGCGCCTGCCCCGGGTGCATTCGGTCATGCCCAAGGCCCGTTCCGAATCTGGCTCTTCCTGTTGACTGTCGCGGCCATCTTTACAAGATTCTACAAGATTAGCCATCCTAACGAAGTAGTCTTTGATGAGGTCCACTTTGGAAAGGTATGGTGTTGCCGGAGTGATTATGAATTGATAGAATGGTAGCTGACTTTTATCCACAGTTTGCATCCTACGTACGTTCGTTGCTACAATAAACCTCCCAAAAGCTCGAATCTAATCATAGTTCAAACAGTACCTTCAACGGACTTACTTCTTCGATGTCCATCCTCCGTTTGGAAAGCTTCTTTTCGCCCTTATGGGCTGGTTCGTTGGTTACGACGGTCACTTCTTGTTCGATAACATTGGAGATTCCTACATCGACAACAAAGTCCCTTATGTCGCATTCCGCGCCATGCCCGCCATGATGGGCGCTTTGACTGTCCCGGTGGTCTTTTTGACTATGTGGGAAAGCGGCTACAGCCTTCCTGCTTCAATTGTTGCTGCCGGGTTGGTTTTGTTCGGTGCGTTTTGCATGCCCGTGTTGCGGCCAAGCTGGAGCAATGCTTACAACATGTATAGACAATGCACATATCGGCCAAACTCGTCTCATCCTCCTCGATGCGACCCTTATTTTCTCGATGGCCTGCTCTCTCTTGTGCTATGTTCGGTTCTACAAGCTTCGTCATCTCCCATTCAGCCGTAAATGGTGGAAGTGGCTGCTTTTGACTGGTGTAGCCCTATCATGTGTCATTTCCACCAAATATGTTGGTGTTTTCACCTTTGTGACAATTGGTGCTGCTGTCGGAATTGATCTCTGGAACCTTCTTGATATCAAGCGTGGCCTAACAATCCAGGAATTCACCAAGCACTTTGCTGCGAGAGCCTTTGGTCTTATCGGAGTCCCGTTCTTCTTTTACCTTTTCTGGTTCCAAGTCCACTTTGCCATCCTTTACCGCAGTGGGCCGGGAGACGATTTCATGACTCCTGAGTTCCAGGAAACATTGAGTGATAATATCATGACATTAAATAGTGTGGAAATTCACTACCATGACACCATTGTCATTCGCCACAAGGAAACCAAAGCTTTTTTGCATTCCCACCCAGACAAGTATCCTCTGAGATACGAAGACGGCAGAATTTCATCCCAAGGTTTGTCAAGCGGGTGATAATTTGTGAAGAGCCACGCTTACGTTATCACAGGCCAGCAGGTCACCGGATATCCGTATGAGGACGTTAACAACAACTGGATTATCATCCCCGGCGATCCGATTTCCGAAGGCAGTGACAAAACCCCTGTTGTTAAGAATGGTGATCTCGTAAAGCTGCTTCACGTTGTCACCAACACCATTCTTCTATCCCACGATGTTGCCTCTCCTTACTACCCTACGAACCAGGAGTTCACCACCATCGATATTGAGGCAGCCAGCGCGGATCGCCACAACGACACACTATTCGAGATCAGGATTGAGGGTGGAAAGGTCAAACAAGACTTCAGATCCATGTCCGGTCAATTCAAATTGATCCACAACCCGTCCAAGGTGGCCATGTGGACACACGGCAAGCCACTTCCCGACTGGGCCTTCAAGCAACAGGAGATCAACGGAAACAAGAACATCCTCCAGACTTCAAACCTTTGGTTTGTTGAGAACATCCCATCCTTGGCTCCCGAGGACCCGCGAAATGTCAGGACACCGAAGGAGATCAAGTCAATGCCATTCCTCAAGAAGTATTTTGAACTCCAACGCACCATGTTCCACCATAATAACGCATTGACTTCGTCCCACCCTTATGCATCCCAACCTATCCAATGGCCTTTCTTGCTGCGCGGCGTTTCATTCTGGACCAAGAACGATACCCGAGAACAAATCTACTTCCTCGGAAACCCCATCGGCTGGTGGCTCGCGTCCTCGGTCCTTGCAGTCTTTGTTGGCATCATTGCCGCAGACCAACTCACGCAGCGAAGAGGTGTAGATGCTCTTGATAGAAGAACCCGAAGCAAGCTTTACAACTCTACTGGGTTCTTCTTCCTCGCATGGGCAGCTCATTATCTCCCATTCTTCTTGATGGGGAGACAGTTGTTCCTGCACCACTACCTGCCCGCGCATCTCGCCTCTTCCCTGGTAACAGGAGCATTGGTGGAGTTTATCTTCTGCGTCGAGCCACTCGAGACGGAGAAGGTTGGGAAGGATGGAAAGAAGAAGTATACTCCCCGCTCCGGGCCTCTGAGCTTGGCTGCGGCCTGGGTTGCGGCAGCCGTTGTTGTCACAGCCGTCGCCGGTGGATGGTATTTCTTTACCCCATTAACATATGGTAGCCCTGGATTGGACGTTGCGCAAGTCGTTGCCAGGCAATGGCTCGGTTATGACCTCCATTTCGCAAAATAGGTTGGCTTAATGGAAGGCCGTTTTGGGGCTCGTTCGTCACCTTTTTCCTTTAGCTCTCCAAATTTTTTTCGCGTCTATTTACACCGGGGGCTGCTGTGCGAGAATTTTCTATTTGAATATGAGGTTAGGGTAATTCAGGAGAGAGGAAAAAAATATTACATTAGGAACATTTGCTCGTGATGATGGTTTGGGTGGGCTGTAAGGTCTGGGATTGTATGGAGCAAGGAGCACAAAAAAAAAGTGTTGGCGGTGTTCTCCCTCTGTATTTCTGAACGAGACTCTTGTTGGTGGGTTTGTCTAGGGCTGTCAGCCAAATGATGCTCCCCTCCTGTATGGACACCGAATTCTACTTCTTTTTTTTTTTTTTTTTGACTCGTGAAGGTGGGGAGGTCCTATATTATATACCGGTATAACCCAAGGAGCAAGACGCCAAGGACGTCGGGAGATGATGGCCGTAGGGTAGTCTGGAGCATACCGTAGACATGAGCAAAGGCTTCCGGGCGGCATCATACCGGTATTGCGGACAGTCCACCGGTATGATTTCATAGCTGTATCACCCTGAAACCCCCTCGTAGCCCACCATTGGCCGAAAGTGCTCGTCCCAGGCCGGGGAGAAGGGGGAAGGGCGAAATACGATGGAAATCCCACGGGGAGCGTCGTTTATTTCCACGATCGCTGCCACCTCAACCGAGTTTACCGTATCCGCACCGTCCTGTATCATAACTCGTAGCTAACCGGAAGAGCGCCGCCGGTCTGGCATTCGGCCCTGGAGGCATGCACTACTGGTAGTCACTGTACCAGTACTAGTACTAGTACAGTACGGTAGTACGAGTACCCGAAGCCCACGATACGGTACCGGTAGACCATCATACACTCACCTCCGCAAATATCTCGTAGGTTAACACCTCAGGTAAATACCGCACAGTACCGCACACTTCATCAACTCCGACCCTGCGTTCGATGCTGTGGCAAGACGAAGGGGGGGGACAACTCTCCCCTGAGAGTTTTTTTAAAAATAAAAAAATCCGACAACGGCAAGTTCCGCAGGGGATTCCTCCCATTTTTTCGTCCTTTTTGAACCACGATATCGTACGGTGCATCGGGCGTTACGAGAAACTTTTGCGGAAGGCGAGTGTACTAGTACAGTACATTATCTCCTCTCCTGGACTGCTGTGGATGGAGATGACTTTGACTCTGGCTTTGTCGTGACGGCGGGCGGGGGGGGGTGGTGGGTGTATCACAGGTATTATACCGGCACAATACAGGTACTCGAGTACAGTACAGCACGGTCCGCTCGTACGTAAAGCTTGCAAATTTGTTAATCTGTACGAGTATGATACGGTAATTAGTGATGAACAGACGTTGCTTATTAATCAATGTCTCAGGGGCACGAGATGGCCACGAGACCCGGCCCTGACTGAACCCTTCGTCTCGGGCGAAAGAAGCAACAACTTTGTGCGCGGACGGGACCGCCGGAAGCAGCGGGCTGCGAGGATGATCCAAGGAATAGGTGGATGCTCTGTCAAAGATGGGTAATCCTTCCCCCCCCCCCCCGCAGCCACTCGTACGAGTAACATCCCGTGACAATTATTCAGCCGTGGAGAGAGAGGTGTGGGAGGGGTTCCGCCACAGAACCCTTGTGGGTGCTTGGCTGGTGGGTCGGTCCCACATGAAGGGGCTGTGATTGGGCGTGCCCTGGGATTACAAAAAATTACGATATCGCCGGAAAAACTTGGAGGTCCCGCAGAAAGTGAGTGAGTTCCACAGGCACCACCGCAAAAGTGAAGGAAGAAAGAGTCGCCCAAGTTTGCTAGTCAGCGATTACAGAGGAATGGACCCAGGCTTGGAGTTAACTTGTAATACGGTATATCGCAGAATTGCGAGGATACTGCAGCATCTTCTAGTGGCATCTCAAAGCTTTCCCTCCCTTCTTTTCCTCTCCTCCCCGTCTCCCCCAAGTAGTGTATAAAAGATCGTATCCCAGTGCCCTTCTTTCTCCCCCTTCTTTCCTGGAAAGATGCAAACAGCCGCTTTCTTTGCTGCCCTTCTCAGTATTGTGCTTGCTTATTTTTACTCCACTTCCAGCGAATCTGTGCGTGAGGTTTTAGCTTCCTTGGTTAACCCTGGTAACCCGACAAATACGAATAACCCCGTCCCCTCTGTGGCCAGTGTTACCGGTATCGCGACGACGACGATATCTTCGCTAGTTAACAAAGCCGCTGCAACTGCAACTTCTTCTTCTTCTTTGTCATCCTCGGAGGAAGGTACGGTATTTGCGCCAATTGTCCTTGCAGAAGAAATGATTGTCGCACGCACCATCGTAAAGGCCTTCAAGGCGATCGAGAAGGCCGAGGGCGCCGGCGCAAAGGTTCGCAGATCAGTCGGTACCAGTCAATTGAAGAACTTTAGTCCCTTCCTGATGCTCGATCATTTCTCGGTCGGGTCGGAAGCGGGGTTTCCGGATCACCCCCATCGGTATGAAAAGAAATAAAACATCCTCCCACCACCTTGTCGGTGCACAAGAGAGACCGTGATGCTAACAGAAATGTTTCGCTTTTCCTCCCTTCACAGTGGCCAAGAAACAATAACCTACCTTCTGCACGGTAGCATCGACCACGAAGACTTTGCCGGGAACAAGGGCACCATTCACCCGGGAGACCTACAATTCATGACGGCCGGAAGAGGAATCATGCACGCGGAGATGCCGGGCAAGAACGGTGATGGGTCGCCCAACGTGGGGCTGCAGCTCTGGGTGGACCTGCCCAAAGACCTGAAGTTCTGCGAACCCCGCTATCGCGACCTCGCCGCCAAGGAGATACCCACCGTCACCACGGACAACGGTAAGGTCTTCATCAAGATCATCTCCGGCACCTCCCATGGCGTGGACTCGGTCCGCGACTTGGCGTACACGCCCGTGTGGATCTTGGACGTCACCATGAAGCCGGGCGCGAGGCTCGAGCAGGCATTGCCGAAGGGCTGGAACGCGTTCGCGTACACGTTGAAGGGTAAGGCCGCTTTCGGAGCCAACGGCGAAAAGAGGGTCGGAGAATTCTACAATGTTGTGTTCGAGCAGGAGGGTGATGGAGTCGTTGCTGCAACGGACGATAACGCCGAGGAGGATGCGCACTTTAGTATGTATACGCCACCCGCTTAGGTTCACGTGCGGTTGCTAATGCGTTTTGCGCTCCAGTAATCATCGCAGGCCAACCCCTCGATCAGCCCGTCATCCAATACGGGCCCTTCGTCCTCAACACCGAAGAGCAGGTCTACCAAGCCATGCTCGACTACCAGACTCACAGCAATGGCTTCGAGAGGGCGAAGCACTGGCAGTCGGAGATTGGGAAGAGGATGACTGGTCGTTAAACCCCTCCATCCGTGACACGGCATAAATGTAACTTTAGAAGATCGTCTTGTCCTTTTCTCCTTTGTTCGCCGGTGTTTGTCTCTTTATTGATTGGCAATGAGGGGGTGGAAATTCTTTTATCCGTCCTTTTTTTTTCTTTTCATTTTTTCATTTCCTCCTGTGGGTTTCCTTTTTATTACTATGATACCGAGCCTCGTGGTGTGTGGTGCGGTACCATACCTGTAGACGACAAATAAATTAGGACAAATAGATTTCCGCCAAAGCTTATCCCACCATTTTATCATTCACGGCACCTTGATTCCCCCAGCTCGTAGGCATTCAGAAAGTAACTTAAGGCTCCCCTCCCCGCAGCATCGCGTATTTTAGCCTATCCGCCAGCTGCTATTCTCCGACTCCTCTTTGCTTGCATGTATGCACGCGTACACTCGAGATACGCATATACCGGTACGTACGAGCAGACCACCTAAGGTATGATATGTCTGTAGTCTATGTATGTATGCAACCTGATATTCATGCCCCGCCCCCACCACACAACGCACGGGCGAACAGAACGCACAAAGAAGGAAAAAGAAAAGAAAAAAAGAGTGAGAGCGCGTGATCCGCATGGAGTTGTCCGGATAGGGCAAAGAGGGCTGATTGATGGCCGTATAATACTTGTATCGTACCTTAGGCAACAGCGATGATCTCTCTCTTTTTGTTGCCTGAGGGGCACAGCGCGGAAAAGTGCCGACACTCGCACCCGGGAACGACAACAGGGATTCGAAAAGAAAAGAAAAACACTCTGTACCGGTACCGTATGATACACGGTCGCTTCGAATAAAGAGGTGGTCTACCGGTAAGGTAAAGTTCCGTGCCGGGGAGGCTGTTCGCGACGCGCTGTGGGGCTTATACAGTACGGTACTTGCACAGTACCATACCCCGTTGGCATTATATTGAGAAGCCTTATCGACGAGAAGTGGTATTATATGGTACGTACTGCGCCGGGGAGAACGAGGAGGTATTATGCTGGACGCCTGCTGCCCTGTCCTGTCATGCCTACGGTGTACCTCCGTAGGCACTCTGGTCGCGATGCTGGACCTACCGTACTTGTATGGTCGACCACCGTGTCGTGAAGACGTGCGCAGGGCTGAAAGGGCTTACTTGTGCTCGTACAATACATAACATCCCCCCCACTGGACAGTATCTCGGCACTACAATACAAATCGACGATTTACCGTACAGTAGCGTGCTAGGGACCATGGTATAACAAATAAAGTATCATAACGCAAATTATGATACCAGGCTAGACTTCGGCAGGAGATTTTGCCCTTACCGTATTGCGCGATGGATTTGCAACAGTACCGTTACCGTACAATTTGTCGCGGTATTGTGGTTTGGTGCGACGGTCCGGATCATCATGGACTACTCGTACCGGTACCGTGCCGCACTTGCTTGTTTGTTTACGGCACCTATACGAGTATCGTAGGGGAATACCGGTATGGGTACCTATTCTCACGACATGAATGTTCTTCAATGGAGATTGAATTCACTTGTATCATAGTCTACCCAATAGAGTGAGCACTCTCCAGGTATGATACCGGTATCTCTTTGCTCGCGTAGTCTACAGTACAGTACGGTAGTCTACCCTCGACCGGGTTCGGTGTCATAACAAATTAACCAGGTGCGGTACCGGTACGCCTCTCCGATTATGATACGGTATCGTACAATTCTGTGCTTACTAGTTGGGGGCGGGGGGAGGTTGGGGCCGGCTGGCTAGGTGGTTGAGTGGGGCGAGAGAGAGAGAGGAAAAAAATAAATAAAAATAGGTTAAATACTTTATCGGATGGGAAAGTGCGAGCAGAGTAAAACTAAATTGTGTCATAATGGGTTTAGTTGGGGATTGGTAACCGGATAATTAACCGACTATGATATTGTAGAGTACTAGTACAGCCTCCTTTGTGCCCGTCTGAAACGCAACCCAATGTAAGGTATCGTGCGGGTACCGGTAGACTGATTATTCGAATTTGTCGCCGGCAATCCAGAACAGATTCGGCGATCGTTTTTCCGAACCGGGTTGGGGTAAAATAAAATACTTTTTTGGATTGATTCTGATAAGATGACTCATCACCCCTTCCGCATTTGGTATGATACAGTAGGTACGAGTCCATTCCGGGTAAACTAAATTAAATCACTAAAAAAAAAACTCAAACTCCCCCCCCCCCCCTCCCACCACCCCAGAAACCGAGAAAGGCTTATTGTAACTTAGCCTGTCTGACGACGACGGACGGAAAGAGGTTTTGTCTCAGGCGGGAAAACCAAGTGAAGTGAAGGTGATACAGTTACCGTAGCAAAACGTTCCGGAACGCGCTAAGTTAATTACGGTAATTACTCTGTGTGGTGGTGCTCATTCCAGCCAGCGCACTATAATACCGTATTTCTTTTCCTAAATTGGGGGGGTGTTTGTTTGCTCTTCCCGGTTGCGGAGATTGTCATATTGCATTGTGGGAAGTCACCCGGAGGTTGATGGGGGTAACTTGAGTAACTTGTACTAGTACCAGTGCTTGGTAAGGCATCAGGGGTTATTTCGCTGGTTAACCTGGATTAACTTGACTGTTGGTTGTCATTTTCACCCGCACTGTATGATACCAAGAGTACTCGGTATGATGATAGTCTATGGCCTTTCTCGTCTATGGTGGTGCGCATCGTACCTAGCTACCGTAGCAGGGCGAGTGCGAGGGGCTGTGTGCGTGTCCCGCCCCAGTGTCTTCCTTCTCTCTCTCGTTCTCTCTGTGAAAAAACCCCGACTGTAGAGCACAGCACAGCACGGTAAGCCTTGAAAGAGCCTTCTAGCTGCTCTGCATGAACGATACAATATCATGCTCGTACGGTACAGTACGAGTACTGTGCCCTCCTGCCTCCCGCCCTCAATCAACGGTCAAAGAATCTGTCCCAATAAATGGTCTTGGCAGGTTGACGGAGAAGGCAGTGATTTTATCCGCGAAAATGGATGCTGTGCCCGTTCTTCACTTGTCAGCGGCCTGGTTGTGTTGCGTGCTTATGGTACCGTACGAGTACGGTACTCCTGCCTGCGCTTAGATTTTTAGGCATAGACTTATCTTTGGGTGTGGATGGGCGTCGTATCATACCGGCATGTGCTAACTTTTGAATTTAATGGGAGTTAATTTGGGCCATTTATATTTTGTTCGTTTTATTATTATTATTATTATTATTATTTTATTTTGGTGCACTTAAAAATTAAGGTATGATTAAAAACGGTCATGGTTGGGCCCGATCGAAATGTCTTGGGTTGGCGGTCGCCAGCGAGTTCCTCCAGTGCGGTGCGATACCTAGTCTAAGCTGGGTCCTCACTTGACCGCATGGTACGTCCCGCATACGGGATGGGTTGGATTTATTTTCTTGTTTTTCCATTTTTTTTTTCTTTTCCCTTTTCTTTTCTTTTCCTCTCTTATCCGCTCTTCATGCAGTTTTCCATCCAAGGGCTTTTCGCAACCTTTGATTCGGTTAACTGGTGCTAACTCGCTGTTAGAGAAAGTTCGGTACGATCTGGGGACTTTCTCATCCTTTCTTCTTAAGAGCCCGCTGTTAAGCGATTTGATTCGATTTGATTGGCCCTCCGCTGGGAGGCTCTGCGGAAGGAACCGAATCGGTGGGGAAATGCCATCTAACAGGGACTGATCGTCGCCGGTTTGGGTCATGTGTAGGACTGTTATGGTATAGCGCTGGGTTTATTATCGCTGGGGTAAGAGGGTTTCTGGATTGGGGTGGTGGATAAGACGACGGCGGCTCGTGCTTCCCCCTGTCAGAGGGTTTGCGATCTGGGGTCTCCTCGTGTGATACGAGTAACGAGGGAGGGAGGTGTGTGGGAGCAGAGCAAAGGAGCATCCGGGATCCATTGTACGGTGAGTCCCGTAATTGTCAAGTTTTGGTCGAGGGCGAGCAGGCGCCGTGCTGCGAAGTTCGCGGGCTCTCACACACACTATTCTCTCTCTCCCCCCCCCCTTGAGACCCCCCGGCTTCCCCGGCGATTGTCGGCAAAATTTCCAACCTGCGACTCTCAAGCGGCCAGCCTCCCCATTTGCCCTCCTCCGGATCGAGCTATCCAGCTACCGTATGGCCATCTCAGTCTAGAATTATTTTCCTTCCTTTTCTCCCTCCAGTTTGTCCTTCTTCCTTTTCTTTCCTCCCTCTCCCCTTCTTTCCTCCCTTTCTTTCCATCCCATCACAGCTAACCTCCTCACTCGCTCACTCGCTCACTCACTCAACCTTACACTACTATTCCCACCCACTCCGTGCCTCTTTTCCCACCTCTCTAACAAACATCTGCCCTCACCCTCTCAAACCCTTACTTGTTTGAACAAATCGACAAGCAATCAAGAAAGATGCAAGCCACCACTCCTCAAACCTGCAACCAATTCCTGGCACGCAAGTCTGCCGCCTCGTATCCCAAGCGGCACCTTTACACCGGGTTTTCCTGTGGGATCGCTGATCCCGACTGGGAATACATCGATAGGGACTACAGAAATTCATGCCATGGAGCGAGTACCGCCTACAAATTTGCATCCGAAGAGAATCCCATGCAACTTCGAAATGACACAGGAGGCATGGACGACGACGAATTCAATGATGAGGGTGAGAGCGTCGATGTCGTCTATCCCTACCAGTACATGAACAAGGCCCCCGCTGTCGCTTCGGAAGAGGAGATGAGCGATGTGCCCGAGTACGAAATGTCCTCTTCTTACGAGGGGTCCGTTATGGATGATGACGCCTTTGACGGAATGGACCCTGGCGTTAATAGCGGCTTTGGCACCAGTACTTCTTCTCATTGTCCCGTCGTCTTTAGACCGGAGAGCGGCGAAGAGGTCATGGAGCTGGAAATGGGTATGCAGATGGACGATATTACCGCCGATTGCTCGAAGAAGAGGAAACGCTGGACAGACGACGACGACGACAATGTACAGCAGCTACAGTATCCTACACAGCCTGAGTTTGCAGGTGCTTCCTGGGGCGGCGGCATCTTCCAGAACAACGCCAAAAGGGTAAGAGTTAAACACACATAAAAGGAATACGATTAAACTCGCCCGAATTAAAACAGGGCATATTATTATCTTTCCCCTTCCTCTCCTCCCCCCCTCTCAGGTAAGTAATGGAGTGGTTGCGCGGAATAATCTCACATTTCCTTGAATTCTTTGGGTCCAGGAACTGGTTAACCGGATAACTGCTGGGAATAGAAAACCAGTGTTTCTCAATTCTTACGTCTTCCAGCTCTTGGTTTTTTCGCCCATTCAGAGGTTTTCTTTTCCTATTTTTTTTTTTGTTATATTTCCTCCCTCCATTTTTACCAAAATTTGGTCTTTTTTTTCCTCTTTCTTCCCCCTCCCGTTCTCCTTGACCCCCCCCTCCTCCTCCTCCTCCCTCTCTCCCCATCCCCCCATCCCCCGTCCCCTTCCATAATCTCTTGTATTCTTTTTTCTTGCTGTTCCATCATCTCCGGTTTTGGGTATCGGTCTGAGTTTTTTTTTCCACGGAAGGTTTTCTTTATTTCATTCATAAGTCAAGGGGAACGGTTTCTTTCTGGGAAAATATCACTGGAACAAAAAAAAAAGGGGGGAAGAAAAGAGGGAAAGGACCATTTGTACATTATTTTGCGAGATCATATTTAAGAAAATTTACAAAGCGAACGAATAAGTTATTGAGCGGTGCGCAATCAATCACATACATTGTTTGTCTTGAGCGCAGGGTGTCGAAAGGGGCTCTCCCTTTCTGGACGAAGGCCAACCGCCTGAGCAACATGCACGGAGCAGGCAAACCTGAAGTCCAACCTCAGGCTCCGGCAGTCAGAGCGATAGAGCGCAAGTGATAAGGTTCCGTGTCTTACTTTTCCTCCTTCCTTCCTTTCTTCCCTCCTCTCTTTCTCCCTCCTCTCCTGCTTCGGCAAGACACTACAGTGGGATTGCCCCGGTTATTTTGCGGACAATGCGTTCCTACGGTAACATTGTGCACCACCCTTACCCTCTGCCCTTCCCTCCATTACATATAGTCTACCGTAGTGTGATATGGATAAATTGTTTACCGTATGATACGAGTATTTCTACAGATTTCTTTCCTCCACCCGCGGGGAATTATGATGCCGTATGTCCATTACCGCTTTTGGCGATTGTAGTTGGGAATGACCCTACTGGCTGAAGAGCCGGTGGATGGTAGGAGGGTTTATCGGAAAGTAAGCCACTGTGTTTAGTCTATTGGTTCCGGAGATTTGTGGTCGGTTGACTGGCTGATTGGTGTGTTTGGATTGGGGTGGGCGGGAGGAGTTTGGTCCGGTGGCCGTGATTCCATAGGGTAGGGTTTGGGGTTTGGGGCTGGTGGGTGTGGGGTACGAATGGATGCAGTGGGGGGGGCGAGGATTCTGTAACGATGATTTTGTTTTGTGCATCCTATTATGGTATCATACCAGCAGCATCTTTGAGATGGGCTCCATCGCAAGAAAAAACGTCATCCATCACCAAACTTTTTCACACTCGGGATAAAAGACGCCGCTGCGTGCACTGACACTGACATACTCGTCTCCCCCCACCCGAATGAATGATGGTACCGACGAGGACAATGGCCCCGCGCCTCCTCCCCTTCCTGCGAACCTTCACCACCAAACACCCACCACCGCCCCACTACTACACTCTCTTCCCGCATTCCCTCCCCTCGGGCCCGCCACCCTCGGGCCCATTCACCCTCTCCCAGATCACCTTGAAGTCACTCCGCCGCGAATTCCTCAAATCCCAGCAATCCGTGCATCCGGACCTGACCCAGGACCCGTCGCTGAAGCTCGCCGCGCAGAACACGAGCGCTTACCTGAATACCGCGTACAGGACGTTGGGAGACCCGTTGCTGCGCGCGCAGTATCTGCTGCGGATGCGCGGGGTGGAGGTGGAGGATGAGGCCGGGAGTGTGGAGGATATGGTGCTGCTGGCCGAGGTCATGGAGGCTATGGAGGAGGTGGACGAGATTGAGGGTAGCGATGAAGGCGGGGGGAAGGGAGGGGAGAAGTGGGACAGGGCGTGGGGGGTTAATGAGAGGAGGATTCGGGAGGAGGTTGATGGATTAGAGGAGGCTTTTAGGAACGATGAGCTGGAGAAGGCTAAAGTTGGGTGTGTCAGGTTGAGGTATTGGGGGAATGTTAAGAGGAGGTTAGAGGATGTTCAGGAGGGGAAGGGGATGGGTGAGAGCAAGGGGTGAATAGATGGATAGATGGGGGGGGGTTGGGGACGGGATACCAAAAAGTCTTGATTCACTGTACCCTATTGTGTTTTCTTTGGGGCGATAATACTTAGAGACAGAAGGGGGGGGGAGGAGGCCTCCCATGTCTGTATTCTGTATTCTGTACTCCGTTAAAACCTTGTCTGTACTGTATGTGCATAGCTACCGTGTAGGAGCCATAGAACTTGCACCCCACGATGGGGACTTTATCTCCCTCAAGCGCATGTTCCACCCAAGCTCCTTACCGCAACGCCAATATCAAACCCATATTCACACACTGCTCATCCCCAATCGCTCCCCTTCCAAACCCTACCTTTATCATACCTAGCGACAGCCGCCTGCCACTACCATACCGGCACTGTACAGTACTAGTACTGTACATCGCCATCCCAAATCTTTGCAGCCCAAATTCAACCAGAACAACAGACTTACCATACGACACCCATCAACTACAAGCATAGTGAAAAGCACCGTAGTTGCGGGAAAATCCTCATGGTTAGTTAGACCTTTAGGGACTCATCCAAACAATAGGGATAGAATCGCCAAATACAAATTCAGACATGGCATACCGTACCGTACATGGCAATATTTTGTACAGTACCGTATTGTACAGTACCATCCAAAACCCCACTGGACTACCGGATTTACGGAGCGCGACGTCCGCGGGAATCAGGAGCCTGTCACTCACGGCATTCGCACCGCAGTTCGTATGAGTAATCGAAGGTTTGACCGCCACGGTAATGAGTTTTGCGCAGTGATACTTGGCGGTTGTGTTTTTGCCTTGGCTTGGGCACTTTTGTACATGTACTGTAACATACCATGAGCACCGTACTGTACAGTACAGTACAGTAGTCTTGCCCGGTTGGAATGTTGGCGTTGGGGGTGGTCGGCTGGTCGGCGAGAGGTTGGCTCGGTACGAGTAGACCAGAACTAACTCAGTCTATCATACAGCACCGGTAAGTTACTGGTTATTGCGCGTGACCACAATGTTTGAAGTGCTAGTTGTCTCACCGGTACCATACTCGCACAAGTCAAGTTGCCGTACCGGTACCCGAGTACGGTAGGTGAATTACCGTAAGTCATGTATCATACCGGTAGCTGGATCGCAGTGAGCGGTTTGTTTCTATCGTTTACTAATTTGTATAATAATTACCGTAGCGTTTGGCAAACTTTGGCACGATACGAGTACAGGTACTGTACCGGTAGTCTAGTGCGCATTGCAATAATGAACGACGCTGCCGTAAGCGGCTGTCCTGATCGGCGGTTAGCGACGGTATCACGATAGAGTACTACAGGTGTGGTGTGGTGCGGTGGTCTACTCGAGTACCGTATGACAGTGTGAGCCGCCACCCTCAGCGGAGCTTGGCGATATTAACAGTATCATGGCTTGTGGCCAACAACAGTACTTGGCAATTCCAAAAATATCAGGAAATATTGGGCATTTTTTTGGCAGTTAACTTGCGCCAAGCCGCCGCTCCACATTTCCGGATGCAGTACTTTTGGAATGGCCAAGTAATTAGAAGAAGCCAAGCCGTAGCGCGCCTCGCTGGGGGCTCACCTCACACGGTTTAACTCGCGCTGTGTCATACCGTATCATACCCGTACAGATACGCGGTTCACTTCTCGGCTTACCGTGCGTCCAACTGCATCTTTCCTGCAGCCTCGCTTACTAAAGGACAAAAGTCGCCGACGGCGCTCCTTCCACTGTTTGCCGTGCATACCAAACCACCGATCGCCCCCGCTATGATACGAGTACCATAACACGCGCACCTTCATCCCGATCGTAATCTAAATTCTGATTCATCCGTCGCCACAGTTCTTCCTGTCCCTCCCTCGGAATGATAAGATTGAGATGTGAGATGTGAGCTGGGGAAGGGAAGCAACGAGAGCTTCCATCTGCTCGAACTTTTTTGTGTTTCGGTGCGTCGGTCCGGTGCGTTTTGCATATAATGATTGGTCGGTGACTAAGGAGGAAGGAAGAGGGGGTCGCCAGGGATGGCACGGTAAGATTGGTCTCGTACTCTTTTTTTATTTTTATTTTTACATGACCTTCTCGGGATTTGGCAGTTGGTTGGTTGATTTGGGATCGCGATTGGAGTGGTTTAGATCAAGTTACGTAAAGTTCCGATAGGGTATGGGTGTTAGGGTATCGTGTGATAGGGCTACGGCACATTGGGTGTCATGTCGCGAGTGAGGGGTTGTGTCTATTGGAGAAAGAGATGTATTCGAGCCATCAGGGTTAATAAAAGCGCAATCCCGACACAGAGAGAGCAAAAGAAGAAACACCGGTCGCAATGCCCTCTCCGGATACACAGCGTATAGCACAACAAACTTTAACACTAGGGACGTGGAAACGAACAAAAAAGGAGGCGATGATATGTTACAACTCGTTCAAAGCTTCATCTGATAGCATTGGGGCGACTATAGAGATGTCCAGCAACTCCCTTGCGAGCTCAGGCGTAGGCATTGCTAACTGCGGCAGTACTCGTGGCCGGTCGTCCGGCAGGGGGGCGTCTGAGTCGTTGCTGGCGGTGGCCAGTAACCAGAGAATGACCAGGATGGAAATGAAGCCCCATAGTAGTCTCAGTCGTCCTATATAAAGAGTCCCCACCACATTAGCTTCTCTCCCCTCCTTCCCAAACCAATCAACAGACCAACAAATCACCACACTGGGAAGCAGGGAGAGCATGAAGGATGGGGGTAACTACTAGAAGCCCTCCTCCTCCAAACCACCTCCATCTCCTTATGTCTGTCGACCCTCTCCTGAACTTTATCAAGCCTCTCATGGTATCCCCTAACCCGTTCTTTCTGCGCTGCCAGCCGCTTCCGCAATGATTCGATATTCCCCAGCTCATCCTTGAACCTCTCTATACCCCTAATCTGCGATTTGAACTCACGCTGGTAGCGGGCGTCTGCTGCATTGAATTCTTGAACCGCAGACTTTGCTACCTCGCCTATTTCCTGCAGACGTGTGGCTAGGCTAGAGAGTTCGCGGAGTTTTTGGAGGACAGAGGAGTAGGTTGCGTCTAGTCTTCGCATTTGCTTTTGGCTGGAGGTTTGGAGAGTGGTAATCGCGCAAGAGAGTTCCCTGATCGATGGGTGGAGTTGTTAGATTGGGGGTTTCTGGAGGGTGAGGAGGGGGAGGGGACGCACTCTCGTCCTGTGCTGGAGACAGTGGGTTTGTTCCTCGGAACAGAGATCTTGCGCTCTGGTATTTCGTGGTGTAGTGAGCCTTTTCGACTGGACGGTAGCGAGACCGAGTGTTGATTTGGTTGGTATTCGTGATTATAGGTCTCTACACCTGGTGAAGTTGGCATGACCTTCGAGCGTGAGGTATCCTCATGGTTTCGGTGGAGGTGGAACGGAAGGGATAAAGAGGGGCTTTTCTGTAGGATTTGGTGACGTTTGGATGATCCCAGGTTTCCGGTATTGGATCGGATCAGTGGTGGTTTCTTTCCTCGCTCCTTGAGGTGGTTAAAATCCATAACAATAGGGGGGTATACTCGTATCTTGCCCTTTAATAGAGCTTTTGTTCTGTTCTGCGAAGGGGTTGAACGGGGATACCGGTAGTTCGGTAAGGTACGAGCGGTCCGGAGCGCATATGATACCGTATGATACTATGTTCGCCCTTGACCTGCTCGAGTAGGTAAGGTTCCGGGTGACCCGGCATGCTGAAAATATGATAGCTTGGCATTATGTCCTTGGAGCCGCGCCAAGACACTAATATAACCCTAACCCTAATGGCGTCCGATTTCTCCAGCTTTCTGCCTCTCTCTCCCTTTCAATTTCTACTCGTACAAACAACCGATCATCGATAAGCCTCAAACTTTCTCCGTTTCCACTGCGTTGTCCGCCATGTCGTCCTCCAAACGGAATCCGGAAAAGCAAGCAAAGAACGAATACATCCCCCACTTTATCGCCAAAAAGCCCTTCTACCTAGAAGACAACACCGAAGGAGACTATCGTAAGTCCGTCTCAATTCATTACCGGCGACCACGGAGCTAACAGTCCAAAAGTCGAGCATCAGCGCCTACAGAATAAGAAAGACCTCGACCTCGCCAACCAAAAATGGTACGACAGAGGTAAACGCGCCGGTCCGGCTGCCACCAAGTTCCGTAAGGGAGCCTGCGAGAACTGTGGAGCAATGACGCACAAAGTGAAAGACTGCCTCTCGCGGCCACGGAAGAAGGGTGCTAGGTGGACTGGCCAAGACATACAAGCCGATGAAATAATCCAAGAGGTGGAGCTAGGTTGGGATGGGAAGCGGGACCGCTGGAACGGCTACGATTCGCACGAGCACAAAATGGTGGTGGAAGAGCACATACGCATGGAGGAACTCCGCCGTGAGAGCGAGCGGAAGAGTACCGAAGATGCGGAAATGGAAGGTGGGGGCGATGAGGACAAGTACGCAGAGGAATCCGAAATGCCCGGACAGACGTACGATGCTGCAAGCCGCATATCCACCCGGAACTTGCGGATCAGGGAGGACACGGCAAAGTATCTCCTCAATCTAGACCTCGACTCTGCTAAGTACGACCCGAAAACGAGAACCATGGTTGACCGCGGCGCAACCCAGGACCAAGCTGCCGCTCTAGTCGAAGAAGACAACTTCATGCGCTCTTCTGGCGATGCCGCAGAATTTGAACGTCTCCAGCGCGCGGCCTGGGAATCACGGGAACGCGGGAACAAGACGAAGATGCACCTGCAAGCAAATCCCACCGAAGCAGAACACATCAAGAAGAAAGAGCAACAAGTCGCGGAGGAGAGACGTGCGAGGGAAAAGAAAGCGCTTCTGGAACGTTATGGCGGCGAGCAGCACTTGGTGGATAAACCGCCCGTACTCGAAGAGGAGGAGAGGTACATCGAATACACCCCCTCCGGGCAGGTCAAGGGCCGGGAAAAGGCCGTTGCGAAGTCGAAGTACACGGAGGACAAACTCATCAATAATCATACCGCCGTGTGGGGGTCCTGGTGGCAGAGCTTCAAGTGGGGTTTTGCATGCTGTCATTCTACCGTCAAGAATAGTTACTGCACGGGCGAAGAGGGGATTAGAGCTGCCGAAGAGGCCGATAAGTTGCGCTTGGGATTGATGGAGCCGCCCGCTCCGCGGAAGGCCGAGCAGGAGAAGCAAGAGGAACAAGAGGGGGTAGAGGAGGAGGACGCTGTGAAGGACAAGTCTAAAGAAAAGGATGGAGAGGGCCACGTTGAAAAGGGGAAGAGAAAGCTCAAGGAATTGAGAGACGGCGTTACGGAGGAAGATATGGAGCAGTACCGGAAACAGCAAAAGCTCTATAACGATCCTATGGCGAACTTTGTAGACACGGTATAAGTTGGTTCATTCTCGGTATTTTGTCAATCACTTTCCTTCTTTCTTTCCAGCTTGGGTATTTTCTTCATTCACTTTTTCTGTGCGTATGATAGGTGTCATTCAATCGGTGTACGGAATTTCCACTTTGTCTATTAATTCACAATCAAACCCGCTAGGTTAGAAACAAGAAAAAAGGTCAAAAATCTCATGACAATAATGCAAACAACAGGCAGGTCCGTTTCCAGTACTCCCGTGCGCCACCTTCTAGTCTTCTGCGTAGCTCTTCATCGAAGCCGAGCTGTATTTTATGACGAAACTGTCAGTGATACGGTAGGCTCGGAGGGCATTGAGATTGAATGTGGGTAAAGACGTACCTCGGCTCCAACCGCAGACTCAACTTTACCTGCAAGGCTTGTGATGCCAGAGTTACCGGCGTTGGCACCTTTTCTGAGGAGCGCCTCGTCAAGGTAGAGTGTGTCGAAGAGGAGCTGGATGGCCCAGTCCTTGCCGATGACTTTTCGGGAGTAATTGTCGTCGTGGCTGTTTGCTGTTACCTCAGTCATGGGCTCTGATGCCCCATTGGGCTTATGATTGTTGGCCTCATTGTTGCTGTTGTTGATGCCTGCTTCTTTACACTCAGATTCATGGTTCGGGTGTTCCGAATCATTGCCGTTGGTTTCGGGGTGGTGCTTGAGTTGGTTTTCGTGCTCGGTTTTGGGTTCGGGCTCCTTTTGCTGTGTGTTACCGTCGGCCGATCCGTTGGTTAAAGTAGCTTCTACTATCTCCCTGTCTTGAAGAACACTCTCCAGAGCTTGCCAGAGATGTTTGCTGGCCCAGCCCTTGATGCATTTTACGGCCATTGGTGTCCAGACGTCGTCACCAACTCTGTGCATGTCTGTTACTAGGTCGTGTAGGAATTTGAATACCAACGGAGAAGGCTGTATAGGTAGTGGCGGTGTTCCTATTATTCGATAAAGGGGTTAGTGTGGGTATAAGACAGGACGCCGGCTAGCACTAGTTACCACCTTCCCATAGTGTTTTTGAAGCTAGCTTCCCGCTCCATTTTCTGTTTTCTAGGAGTCTCTTGACACTGGTGAATGGCTTCTTGCCTACACTAGTGGCAATAAGCACATGCAGTCTGGGAATGAGCATTGTTCCAAACCAACTGAGGGCTATCAGTGAGTCGTCGTCTCTCTTGGGCGGGTTTTGTCTGATTTGCCTGATTGCCCTTAGGAGGAATGCTGCACGCATCGTTGTCGCTATATTTGTGAAATGCCAGTAAGCCATGCTTTTCTCAAGATATTTCGTGGGATCTATACCTTTCTCTTCTTTGCCCTCCTTTGCCTCACTGGCCTCGAGGCGTTCTACAAGCTCTCCTACAACATCCTGTAAACCGCCGTACGCTGTATCCAATGATTCACCCATCTTCTTCTCTACATATACCGCGTCTTCCATACCTTCCTGGATCCTCTCCTCTTCGGCGTCAAAATCGTCCTCGTCTTCTGCTGACGAGGCGCTTGGAACCCTGAGCCCTCTGGCAACTGCGGCGCTATCTGCAATGCTAGAGAGCCAATTTTCGTGCTTCTTTCCAAAAGCTTTGACTGGACTGTCTTTGCCTAGGACACGAGATTGGACTGCTTCTTTAAATGCAGATCCACCATTTGCGAGGCCCATTGATGACAACGAACTAGACCAGAGACTGACGCTGTAGTCTATCAAGGCGAAAAAGGCTATTTAGCATTATTTTTATTATCGGAGCCTAGAATATTACCTTTGCCCGCACCATCAACACCCTTCAATAGCTCGCCAAGCTCGTGGCCCACAGCTGCGAGACTGTCGATTTTGGCTTTTAATACCTCTGCCAATCTAGCGGTAGCAAGGCCTCGAAACTTCTCTCCTTTTTGTAAGAACTCCCTTCTCCCCTTTCTTCCCGCTCTCCATAGCCCGAGGATATTTCCTCGTAGGGACACCAGCTCCCTGATATCCTCGATACCCTGCAGTGCCCTCTCGAAAGCAATGTTCAGGTTCTCCAGTTCTTTTGTTGCCCATGATTTCCCTTGTTCTACCACACGTGACCTCTCTAGATCGTCATGGCGAACCCAAGGGATGAACTCTCGAACCTGCTCCGTCAGCCACCGGCCATTGGAGTCTAATCCTAGCTCGGCTAGGCCAAGAAGATCGGGGTCTTGCAAGAGGGATTGGGATTTCAACTGCAGTAACGACTCGCTCAGAACTTTGGGGAAGAGGCCTTGAGCATTCTGTAGAGTCTGGTTGAATAGTGATAGTGCTTTTAGCGTAGCTTCCGCTGAAGGGACTGGTGATTCTGTTAGGATCGAAGATATGGCCGTTGAGCGGACAAAGAAAAAATGACGTAATACGTCGGCGCAGGAGGAGGTTTTCGATAGAGAGAACGAGGAGAGGGCCGGTATGAGTTGTTCGATAGGAAGATAGGGTGTCGAAATGAGAGTATCGATGTGCTGAAGGAGAAATGCACGGAGGGCCGCCAGTTGGGCTCTGAGAGAGCTTAGGAGGGGTATTGAATCCTGAGTATGTAATTAGTACATTTAACCTACGATTTTGGGTAGGCAGTCTTCACCTGCTGTGAAAGTGATTTTAGGAGGAGCCGGGAGACGACGAATACTTTTGTTGCGAGTAGACAGGAGTCTCCCTTGTTGTTGGGAAGTAGTCTGGATACCGCCGGGGGGCAATTCTGTAGTACAGCGAGCTGTGAAGCGAAGATATACTTCTCCCGATCTGCCAAGATTAGCAGGACCCTTCAGAATTCATGTAATTGAGTAGATCTTTTCGAACCTCCTGCTCCAACCCTTTCCTCAAAGATCTTCAAATTCCTTGCTTTCTTGTCTAGCAATCGTGAATTGCAGCTTCTCGAAGTCTCAGCCAGGTTCCGTTCCACCTTCTGGGCTGATGTATCCATATCGATGATTCGCTCGGCCGTCTGTAGCAAGTCCCGGTAGCTCTCACTGCTCCGCTCAATCAGTCTTTGAAACCTGCAGAGTTCCATCAAGGAATCGCATACCCCACAAGACCCCTCAGCTTCATTTTGTTTGAAGATAACTCAGTCTGGAGCTGTCGTTCCAACTGGCGGACCTGTGGAGTTGGATACTGGAATGCATCCTCCCATTTTTTCAATGATTTAACGTCGGGAGGTGCTGCAGCCATTGCGCTGACAAGCTCGAGTTTGACAAGATAGTAGTCAAAACTTATGCTTGGCTTGTATGTCAAGCATGCACGCACGGTGTTCCACTAAGCTGTAAGTTGCAGATCACGTGCGGGGAAGTTGCGGACAGTTCTGTTGCACTTGGGTTAGATAGTCAGCTTAAAACGGGACCTGATTGAGTGTTCATTTAAGATTGACTAAAAAACACATTTGATGAGTATTTATCAGTACAGTGATATGTGGTTAGGGTTCGTTGTTCCGAAGAGAGTGGTATCATATCATCCTGTGCTGTGCTGTACCGGTGCTTGTCCAGTTTGTGTACCGGTAAATTATCATGGTTTATAAATCTTATCTTGAGCTTAGTCAAGTTAAAACTAGTTTACCGGACGATAGCGTGTGCCAAGACCTCGCGACATCCGCTGATCCACTCTACGCGTCGTTTAGCCTCAGGCACAACCCACCTTTTGGATCTTGAACCGCATTGTCCACAGCCGCCCTGCATTGTCCCCGTCATCTGGTTTGCTTTGCTAAACTTAGGTATTTCCTCCCTCTCTCCCCTCAACTACTCCTCGTGCCTTGCGCTCTCTACTCCCTATGGCTTTGATTAAATTATTCTTGAGGGTACAAGGCTCTAATACAACCTGGATAGCTTCAAATGCCAGGGCCGAAACGCCGTCGCCATGACGCTCCCGCATCGGAGGAGGAAGAGGAAGAGGGGGAATCGCCTGTAGAGGAGGAGCCCACTTCGTCGCGCAATTTTGTACCTTCCAAATCTATCTTGGTATACCTTTTTCGCCGTCCTTCGTCTGATTATCAGTCAGGTTGCAAAGCGCCCCCGTTTCAACTATGAGAGTGACGGCGGCGACGATGATCTGGAGCTCTCAAGCTCTCCCCGCGTCCCCGACTATGACTTCAACCTTGAAGAACTTTCGACTCAGAGGGCTGAGATGGAAATCCGCGAGGAAATGGCGATAGAGAAGCCTAATGTATTCTCGCAGAATATGCTTAAAGTTTCGTCGGTGTTTGTTAATTTGAAGGTTTAGGTCCCCGCTGAAAATGGTATCATCCAGAGTGTTACATGTCAGAACTTCATGGTATGTTTGCTTTCACTTTGCCATGATTGAGTTACTTACATCTGGGAAGTGTCATCGTTGGCTCGAAATAAAATTTGGTCCTTTTGTCAACTTTGTGATCGGGCATAACGGGAGCGGCAAGAGCGCAATTCTTACTGCGATAACTCTATGTCTCGGGGGAAAGGCAGCTGCCACAAACCGTGGCACTTCCATGAAGAGCTTGATAAAAGAGGGAGAGGAGTAAGTCTATGGCACTACCACATCTAGTCACATAAGCTATGCTAATAGGATCAAGCACTTCCCGAATTACTGTCAAATTGAAGAACCAAGGCGATGGGTTCAAAACGGAGCAATACGGTAATGCCATCCTAATTGAGAGAAACTTTACAAGAGATGGTAGCAGCGGATATAAGCTTAAGAGCAGCGATGGCAAAGTGATATCCTCGAAAAAAGAGGAGCTCGAGGAAATATGTGACTACTTTGGGCTTCAGGTCGACAATCCGATGACCATTCTGACGCAGGATTCCGCTCGGCAGTTCTTATCCAGCTCAACTAATGCCGAAAAGTACAAATTTTTCGCAAAGGGGGTCAATCTAGAGCAGCTCGATCAGGATTATGCTCTTATCAAGAATGGAATAGATAGCACGGACGCCGTTTTGCACAACAAACTTGCCGATATAGATGATCTTAAAAAACTCATGGTCAGGGCGAATAAAAGATTGGACCAACTCAAGAGCCATGAAACGCTCCGTGATAAGATTGAAGTCCTTATTAGGCAGATGGCTTGGGCTCAGGTCAGGGATGCTGAAGTGGAATTGGAAGAGAAAGTCAAGAAGACCAATCTCGCGGGGAATAAGGTCACCAAGGCGGAGACCGAGCGTGAAACGGCTTCAAAATCTTTTGACGATGCGCACCAAGCATATGAGGAGGCTGTAGATAGAGTTAATAAGGCAAAGGCTAAGCTAGCTCCCGTCGTGGAAGCTAAAGAGACTGCAAAAGAGGCTGTTGACAATAACAAGAAGGAACTGCAGGGTCTACTGGTTTGTTTCTCTAGTTATATTCCGTGTTTAGCTTGCTTACATTCTGGCATTTGCAGGCGACGGAGAGAGAGATCAAAGGATCCTTCGAAGGAAGTCAGAGAAAAATCACCGAAACTAAGAACGAAATTCTCGCAGAAGAGAGAAGGCTTAGCGAGAACGATGGTGGGAGGAACTCGAGATTGGTCGAAGAGCAAGAGCAGCATGAAAAAGAAGCTCAGCGTGCAAGGGACGCTCTCCAGGAGCTTGAAGTAAAAAATACGGAGAATAAGTTGGCTCTCGAAGCAGCTAAGAGAGAGATGTCGAAGGCTCGAGCTGCTGTTGAATCATGCACCGAAGACCTTCGGGACGCTCAGGCTCATCTGAGTCAAATCCGAAAGTCTGAACAAAATTTCATGAATGCATTTGATAGAAAAATGCCGCAACTCCTTTCCGCAATCAACAAGGAGCAACGTTTTAAAAAGAAGCCAGTTGGGCCCGTTGGAGTTCACGTAACTCTTCGAGATCCGAAATGGCTTCATATCGTTGAAAACATCCTTGGTTCGGGTCTAAATGCATTTTTAGTCGCTGATTATGAGGATGTCACAATACTAAAAAAGCTAATGCGAGAGGTCGGGCTGTATGTTTTACGAATCCTAAGTATCTTCTTACGCTAATTGGGCTTAATAGGGAATGCCCAATCAATGTCATTTCCCAAGGACGAATGGACCTCGAGGAGCCCTCCCCCAATTTTAAAACCGTTTTAAGGATTTTGGAGGTATTTCTTTCTGCGTATGCTCAAGTTCCAAATACTTATAAATTCTAGATTACCGATGATAGTGTGCGACGTGGTCTTATTGTCGGAAATACAATTGAACAGGTAATCCTAATAGAGGATCTTCAGGAAGCAACCGATGCCATGGAGCGGAAGAGACATGGTGACAATATCGGCATGTGTTTTTCAATCAATAAGCAATCACCCGACTGGGGGCACAAGGTTGGCGGAGCGTATGTTACATTTTAGATTTTTTTCTGGATTGAGTGGTGAGCCTGACCTATCTTTCTAGCGGCGGCGGCATGGGAGTTACTCCTGTTCCGCCAATCAAGCATGCCTCCCGAATGAGGTCCGACCTCGTGGCCCAGACTCAGTATGTAATTCGCCTTCTTTGGGTAACTCCCAGATGCACTGACATCCATGCTATAGGCAGGTTGAGGACCAGATAAATCGGCTCAGGACATCCTTAGACAATGCCAAGAATGCATTGTACAATAAGCAAGAGGAGCTTAGAATGATTGAGCGAGATATCCAAGAGTATCGTGTAAGTTGCTATGCATAAATTTTTGAGGGAGATCCTAACTGTGTTTCAGAGCAATAGAAGCAAGCTTAACTACGAAGTTCACAAGTGTGAGGATGCAGTCGACAAGGTTAAGGCATTATTGGAAGAGAATGCTCAGAACGATGGGAAGCTCGAGACCCTCAAAGCCAAGCTCAAGGTCTGGGAGGAGCGCATGGAGATGAATGGTCGACAGTACGAGGAGTTTGTAGTCGGTAAGGAAAATTTGAGCGCGACGGCCTCTCGTCTGGTAGCTCAGTTGAGGGCGGCGAGCCAGGCTGCAAGCCTAGCTACCAAGCATGTCGAGGACGCGCAGCTTGATGAAGCTACCGCCCGGCGCAGGCGCGAACAGTGTCTTGCCAACAAGAATCACTGGTACGAGAAGCATCGCCAATATGAAGAAGAAGCTGCGGCATTGAGAGCGGTGGCTGGGGAAGCGAAATCTCGAGTTGATGTATGGTTTTCCTCTCCCAATCCCTAAGCACCATACTAACAAAGTTATAACTACTAGAGGTACATTCAAGCGGCTTCAACAGTTTGCCCACGTGTCGCAGTTCCCCGCGGGGACTCAACCGAAGCTTTGGACAACAGGCTCACGAAACTGAAGAGGGAGCTTGAGCGCGCAGAGCAAACGCTTGGAGGCACCGCTGAAGAAGTCACTGCACAAGCCCAGCAGGCAACATTGAGTTACACACAAGCTAGGGACCAACGCGCCTCCTTTCAAGAACTCCTCAGGATAGCGATCAGCGTCTACAAGGAGCGTCTCCGCCGCTGGGGCCTTTTCCAGTGCTACATTAGTGCCCGCGCAAGAGCGCAATTTTCATGGATGATGAGTGAGCGGGCATTCAAGGGTCGCTTGCGTCTAGAGCACACTTGGAAACCCGCGGAATTAATCATTGAAGTGCAGCCCGGCCAGCAGGACACTGGAAATCGCGGACCGAAGACGCTATCTGGCGGTGAAAAATCTTTCTCGACTATATGTCTGCTGCTCTCGTTGTGGGAGGCAATGGGGTCCCCGATTAGGTGTCTGGATGAGTTGTATGATCTCTACTCCTTCTTTCCTCCAGTTCTCTTACCTCCAGCTCTAATGCGAGTGATGCAGCGACGTTTTCATGGACGCCATAAACCGCAATATTAGCGTAAACATGATGATTCGAGCTGCCGAAAGATCTATCGGGAAACAATTCATCCTTATTACCCCCCAAACAATGAATAACCAAAATACTACTAATCAAGTCAAAATAATCAAGTATGCCTTCGTGTCATCCTTTGTCCTTTCTGGTGCTAATCTGGTGAAATCAATAGAATGCGCGATCCAGAACGCAACAATGCGGGTCAAACCCGTATTGACGGTCAATAGGACCCCTTCCTAGCAATACATAACCCTTTTCTCTGTATACTATCGTGATCATTTGTTGTATGATGCCTTTCTTTTTCCTAAATCAGCAGTTGGTTAATGCCCCCCACCCACCCATTCTGGAGATAGAGAAGTTGTGCCGTTGGTGGTTTGTCTTGGCAGGTGCGCAGCGGATATGATGAGTTCATTTTAGGGTTTCTAGATGGAGGCGGCTAAAAAATTTCGAAGATTTGCATACTTTGTTGCTACATAAAGGTGGTGGCTCTAGGTAGTTTGACGTGGTGAACCCGGTTTGCTGGCGCAGCTATTCATATAGGAAGGCATTATACTAGAGGTGCAATAAAGGGGGATGTACCGAATCATAGGATATCACTCGGTGTAAATCATCGTTTTCGGTGCGGAGCCCGGGACAGGGGTGGCCTGATGTGTTTGACCGAACGGATCTAGTGACTGCAGGAGGGGTAATTTAGGGGGTAGAGAAGGTTTTGTCCTCGGGATACGTACCGGTACTGAAAGAAAAAAGGGCCCAAATCCGGTCGCTCCATACATAATACTTAGTTGAGAAACCGCACATACAAAAAAAAAGAATGGGTGCGAAGCCCTGAAAAAGCATCGTGAAGGAGGGAACCAACAAATACCCCAGAAACCTACCGACGCTCCGGGAAAGGGCTTCAGAGGGGGGGGGGGGCGTCCATACATCCACCATCGCACGACACCTAAGGGCCTGTTTGGCAACGACCGTTCCGTTCCGTTCGCCCATACAAATTGCCTTATGGTTCCGTTCGCGAACGGCCATTTTGTATGGGCGAACGGAACGGAACAGTCGTTGCCAAACAGGCCCTAACCCATCACTACTCGTATATTGTGTGTACGCTATTGAGTGAGTGAGTGAGTGGGGGGTGGGGAACGGGACTGGTCTAGCCCGTCCCTTCGTACGGACTATATATCCCACCATATCTATCATGCTCAAAGAACGGTACTAGTATGATCCGTGATTGCATGGTAAGTTTAAGCTAGTATCGGTACAGTACCACACTGTACAGTACACCACGAATCCGGTGGCTACTACCTACCAGTCAGTATTCGCCACCACCTCAGCGAATCGTCCCATCCGCACGATAACAAAGGATTATTTTCACTTTACAAATTGACTTTTTCTTTCTTTCTTTCTTTCTTTTGAAAACAAGAAAAGAGAAGAGAAGGAAACCGTACAATGAACAGAATGACGGGCTGGGGACTAGGGGGAAAAATCCCATCCCATCCCATCCCATCGCACTATACTCAAACAGTGCCGTACCGTACCATAAAAAATCCACATAGCAACTAAAGAACCAACCATACACAGTAACACCAGAACTCTATTTCCTTTATCTATGAAATACAACGGCCAATGCCCCTTTTTCTCTTATCACCCTCAAGAAACGATGTGTGAATGTTTATCCGTTTGTGGAATTAGGTTATTCCTGTGCGGCACAGTACGGCGCGGCGCTCCTGTATAAATTTTGTGCGTGGGTGGGTTGGGTTCGTTCAAGGGGTTTCTTGTTATATATATATATATATATATATAGGACTGCCCACTTACTTACTCACTCACTGGCTAGCTAACTATCTATCGTGCCTAACAGGACTGACTGACGAATCCTCCACAACTTTTCAGTCTTTTTTTTTTTCTCTCTCGGGGTGAATAGAAAAGGTAGGTTACGGTTCTTGTAACCACCCGGCAGGAGGAACTATGGTATTTCGTTTCGTAAGGTTGCGAGTTGTGGGATGGGTAACGGTACGGTAGGATAGGATCTGTGACGTGTGGAGCTCTGGGCCCAAGTGGCAGGTGGGGTGGGTGGGGTGGGTGATCCTTCGCTCGGGTTGGGATCACTGTGCGAGTACGGGACTGCAGTTCTGACTATCGTACTATTTTGGGTCCTCTTATGGTACTGGTGCTTTTATTTTATTTTATTTATTTTTTATGGTATGTTATGTTTTGTGGCATACTTAGATACCTACCTACCAGGTCTTCCAGCCCGTCACTCTTCTCGTTGGGTTTTGGGTAGGGATTATCCATCCGTCTGTCGGGGAGAGGTGGATAACTTCTACTGTGCCGTTGGTTCGGCTGAGGATATATTATAACGTGGTTGTACGTGCCGTGCCGTACAGCACAATTTATGCGTCTACCTACTCGTTTACTCCACCTAACAGGTCGCGAGCAGGTATGTGGGAGATGGAATTTGTTCGTTTATTGGTAGAGCTATTTGTGAATAGAAAAACGGCTGTGTATGACTATCTCGGACATGACCGGCAGAAAAAAGTAAAAATAAGAAAGAAAGCCATATTAAGGAGACAAGTATGACTAAACTTTGGATATTCTGGTTTGAGTAGTGCAAATCAAAGCAAGTCAGAGAAGGATAATAGTAAGAGAGACCTAAAACATCCACTGCTCATGCTAACAAGTAGGAAGGAATGTTATTATCACCTGAAAATTCAGTCAAGAGATGATAAGATGAAAAGGAAACAAGAGAACCATCCGTATATCCCTAATTACAAGAAATCGTAAAGGTGATTTGTCATCCCTCTCATGCCTACAACCACTTCTGTACGTGATATGTATATATTTATGTACGCATGACTGAGGAATATATGCAAGAACGTAACATGACAACATGGATAAAGTAGTAGAGAGCATCAGCAAGTAATTATAGACTCGAAAAATTTGTAAACACCGAGCAAGAGCAAAACAAGAGGGAAAAAAAACAAACGGAAAACAAAAACAGATAAAGCCGCCGCCGTTCCCAGGAGTAAATCTAATAGGAATGAAAAAATGATAGGGAAGGAACATATACAGCGGAAAGGGGGGTGAAGAGTACGGTATGCGATAATGGGGTTGTGAAATGATAGCAAGGTATGTGAAGGAAAAAGAAAGAAAAAAAGGGGGGGAACATGAAGTATGAGTATGCTTTGGTGTAAAACTGTTATGAAAAGGTGAGGGTGCTAAGATAAGAATGCATGGGGGAAGAAAAAAAAGGTACATGAAAATTGGCTGATTAAAAATAACGTAGCACAACAATCTAAATGTCCGTTATTGTGAGAGAAAAATTGGAGCAAAGAATAACGGAAAAAGGAGATAAGAAAAGAGACTGCTATGCAAAGCTCCATCTGAGAGAAACTCAAAAGGAGATAGAGATACTGTATTTGAAGATGAAACAGACCTCCTCAGATGACATTGAGCGAATTGCAATAATGAGAACTAAAACATGGTTTTTGAAATTGAGCCAAATACCACCTCGCCACGTTTCACCATAGATGAGCGAGCGTTGAAAATTACCACTCAGGCTCAAAGTCAAGGCAAAGGGCCATGCTGGTCCACCCCTTGACTCTAGTCAAAACAACAAGATATCTTTCATCTCTGTCGGCCTCCAGCCCACTCATTGCATCGCCTCTGCTGTTGCCCCCAAGGAATATGGTAGGATTGGTCCTAACAGGCATCATACCCCAATCCTCTTCGTCCTCACCGAGGTTCTGTCGACGTCTCCTTCTCATAATTTCGGGCTGCTGTAGTTTGTGTCTCGAAACTTGCTTGAACCATCTCTCTCTCGGGAGCGTAGTTGAACCATGAGAATGGCTGGCAAAGGGGGGCCTTGGATAGATTGTAGACGCGGTTGGCGCAGATGACGCACCGGAGCTGGATCCCGATAAATTACTGGCAGCTGAGCTCGGCCTCTCAGGAGTCGTACTACTGTCACTCCTCTTCCTCTTGCGACAGCCTTCGGGAGTCATCGACATCTGACGGCTAAACGTCGACTCCTCATTAACACCTTCCCACCAGATCCCATCCAAAGCCCCGTCCACAACCTCTTCATACCCGACCGTATCTATCCTAGCCGACATGGGTTGGCTATGGCCCCCCGGAGGATGCCATATCCTCATGGCCGGGCGGAACACAGGCCTAACCTCATCCTCACTCTCATCATCGTCGCTGATGTCACTAGAGGGGGCTTTGACCGGACTTTTGTTTTCATCAAAGATGATCCAACTCACACCACTATCAACATTGAGTGCCTCCATCCTGGTATGTTCTGCTACCGGTACAGCATGGGCGCCGACACGACTCTCAACCGATGGGCGTATCTCGTCTTCCGCATACCTGCTCTGATACCTACGGATTTCGAGGATATCAAAATTAACAGTTTCCAGGGTCCAAACTGAGAGGGTAGGGTATTCAAGCTTCTCAGTTGAATTGCGCGTCTTTGGCGGAACGACATGTGGGTGTGACTTGGATTCAATTATCATAAGGTTCGGCCGCTCTTTATTCGACTTTGGTTGGGAGCTAAACTCGATCCGGATAGCCTTCTCCAATAGGCCGGTTCCAATCTCAATCCCGCTCCTCTCTAAATCAATCTCCTTCAACAAAGATGCCTCTTCTCCAATCTGCCTTCCCAGAGAGTAAACAAGAACCTTATACGCAGCTTTCTTGGGAACCTCCTCCCCCGGGATTCTAGAACCCTTGTCCTCGAAAGCGACAACCATCTTTTGCGGCTCAGCACCCTCAGCATTAGATGCTGGGAAGACAGTATAGGCACCAGGGTTCTCTGGAAGGTTGTTGGGATAGCCAGAGCGTTTCTGTCTCGGCCAAGAGTCGTGGAGAGCAGTTCTTGTAAGCAATTTTCCAGTAAGAAGGCAATGAACAACCAGGGTATATCTGTACTCCTGAATAACACCACCCCCATTAGCTGGCACAGGCACCTGCGCCTGAGTGAGGTAATGCACCCATCCCTTGGTTCGTTGGAGAGAATTTGGATTGTCGTGAAGCGATACTTTCCAAACCACTTCATCCGTCTCGTAATCCAACGCGGCCATCTCCAACCCCCAGGTCAAGACCTCTCTAAACAAAAGCACCACCAATCCACTCCCGTTTCTACCCGGCACGTTTTCGACAGCAGTGATTTGGTGAACGTGGGCGATCCTATTACCGACACTACCGAGTTTAAGACCACGACGGCCACTAATGCCTTCGCCGATCTTCTGCTGCCAGATCTTTCTGTTCGATTCGCACCAGAATAGATAGCGAGCGGTAGAAGCGAATCCCCGATCGCAGATGTGGTGTAGGCGATACTTGTGAACCTTTGTGGGTTTCGCCATTGCTCTTGTATGAAGACGGTAGGTAGCTCTGGAGAAACCCAAGGAGACCTCAGAAACCTCACGGCTCTGGGACTTGTTGAGGCGACTAGATGCGAGAATCGATTGAAGCTCCAACGATCTCCTGAGTCCGGACTTGCCATTCTTCCTTCCAGCTTTGCCCGACCTTTTACCGGGTTCAGGTACCTCATCGTCGATCTCGGCAACATTGTCTTGTAAGTTTGATTGCTTAGTAGCTAGAGCGTTCCTTTCATAGAGCTCTCTGGTTTCTCTCGAATGCGGAAAGTGGGCTTGAAGAGCAACTTTACAGATGTAATCAGAGCTCAGAACTCTATCCCACTCACTTGAGACTCGACGCAGGCGCACAACATCGACCGGCGGCAAAAACTCAACTATCATTACGATCTCATAGATGGTGAGTGCCCGGAAGGGGTCCGCGCGACCCATGA